TATTCCCTATTTTCTCACTGATTTTCCCACAAAAAGAGAATGAAATATACATAGAATTAAGAAATGTTTCTTGTGAAGGTGGCAGGTGACATTGAGCTTCCTGACTACGCATCCAGTCTCATTGTTCCCCAAGTCTAATCCCAAAACCACAAAAAGAAAAATTTCTTACCACTTGGGCTTCTAAACAGGACAGGTGCAGATGAGTTGTCAGGATCTTGTGCGGGCCCCTCCAGATCCACTTCATCACTGTCAGAGTCTTCAGCCACAGCCTCTTCTGCTCCCTCATGTTGCCAGCTGCCCTGCTCTGGCTCCTCAGTCTCAGCATCACTGCCCATCAGTCCAGAGTGAGAGGCTGCCTCTTCCAGGCCATTACTGGGCAGGGCAATTACCTGGGCGCTCATCAGGGCTTCCATCTCTTCAAAGAAGGGACAGGCCTCAGGTGGGTGGCCACTCTTGACTTTCCGATAGCTCTTCTGGAGACCTTTGAACTTGGTCCGACACTGTTCCAGGGTCCGGAGGAAGCCATACTCCCGGAGCCGCTCAGCCACAGCCCCATACACTTGGCTGTTTCGATGACAGTTTCGGAGAGCCTCATAAAACTCAGTCTGGCTGAGAATTGCGAGGAGAGTTCTGGTCTCTTCATAGCCCCAGTGCACACCTGCCACTTTCTCATCTTCAAAGCCCCAGTGATCTTGTTCTACCCAGCTTCTTCTCTCTCTTTTGGATGGTAACAGATCAGCATGCACTCGTTTATCTCCTCTGTGGCTGCCTCTTGGGGATTCTTTTTCCTTGGAGCCCAGCAGATCTGGGATCCATGGCTCTCCTTGCTCCAACCTGGAGACCACACCGGATTTAGGAAATGGAAATCCTGCTTGCAGGGAAGCAAACAAAGGGTATCATAGTTTGGACAGATCATAAAAGAAAAAAACAAAAAAAACACTCTGAATTCAGTCCTGTCTTTTTTATCCAAGAGGATTATAAAGAAAGTGTCTAGGGAAGTGTTTTCAGAAAGTTCAATGGGTTGAAGAAAGTGGGGAAAATACAGGAAACCTCAAAAGATGAGAAATACTTTATTTTCCATAGCAAGGTGACAAGAGGAAAAAGTTCTGTTGTGTGTTCAGAGCAGATAATTCTATTCCAAGTAGTTCCCTAGCCCTCATGACTACTGTAGGCAGGCAGGTCTTAGCTGGAAAGTCATCACCTGTCTCCTACTATTCTTTACCTAGGGCTAGAGAATTAAACTCAGAGTGATTTCAAGGAGAGAAGGGGAGATCGTCTTCAACTCATCTGTTTCCCTCACACTCAGTCACCAAGTTCTAAAGGTGCTTCCCTTAGTATGTCCTTCCTCTCCATTCCTACTGCCACCATCTAAGTCCAGACTCCTTATCCTCTCACACCTGGATAACTCAGAAATCACTGTGTTCTGACCACAGGCTCTTGCTTCCACAGCTCACATGCTTTCCTGCTGACTCTTAACCTTAGTGTCTACCATCACTACCCATTTCTGTTAGACTCTTTTCTCTAGAACACAGCATACTTTTATTCATCACTATCTGCCTTTCCTTTAACTCCTTTCCTCCTATCCAAATTCAACCCATCCTTCAAGAAGCTGTATTTTTTAGTGCCCCCAAGAAGCCTTCCATCAGCACACCCTCATCTCCCACTCTGCCAGACCTCTAAAGTACTCACACAATTGAACAAGTCATCGTTTGGCATTGTTTCAATACAGTTCAGTTCAGTATACATTTTATAGTCTGCTGTTGTGTACTCAAGCATATTATAAGTTCTTTGAAGATATAAACCTTTTCTTGTTGCAGAGTACCCTGCAAGTGTTAAACACATGGTAGGTGTTCAAAAACTGATCAATCCTGCAAGTCTGTGTGTGAGGTTGAGGGATTTCATCTGGATGGTTAAACAGAGACAGTTACCAAACCTGCTGAGAAGGCTGTTGTCTTGGTTGATAAGATCAGAATTCAAAACAACCTCAACAAGTTTTAAATGAAATGATCAAAATTCTGAAGTAAAATTCTTACCTCTATCTAACAGACTTTTACTAGAATAATATATAACTTAGTTCTGTACAATTAACATAATACTTGAAGAACTTAAAAGTTCCAAAGTAACAAAAACTTAGGTCTAAAGAATGAATCTTTTGGGGAAAGAGTAAAGAAACAAATACAGTTTAATTCGGAGAAGGAAAACAACTAAAAGGAAGATGTGCCTTCAAGTATAGAAAAGAATTTTCATCTAGAAAATAGTGACCTACTATCATCATTACTAAGAAATAGTAAAACACGGATAAAAGGATAAAAACTCGGGAGTCATTCTCTAGCAGACTTGTCAAAAGAGGTAACATAAGAGTACTTACTGTACCAGAGGGCTAAACTACATGTCTTCAGGAGATCCCCAGCAACCACATACTCTACAGTTTCCACTCATTCCTAAAATCCCTTTCCCAATCCTACTTCCCAATTTAGTGGGCACTCTATCTTCCCATATGAATCTACTCCTCACCGCTCCTTTGAAAAGGTCTGAGCTTCTCCTTTGGGTTCATCTGCTCCTGTGGTCCCAGGTCTGGGCTTCTTGCCCTCTCTTTCTTGGGTACACCCCTGGGCTGGGGTTCCACTGACTCCTGCCGAACACTTAATAACTCTCGTGATGCTTTCAGGGGTGCCATCTTCTCCGAGCGCACTTCCTGCCCCTTCACAGAGACTGTGACCTAGAAACAACCCCCATTAATTGTCACTGCAAGGTCATAATGAGGGGCATTCCTAGAGGAGACTGTTTAATACCCCAAAAGAGATCATCCTTCTGGGACATGGTTAGGGTTGTAGGGGTTGGGGAGGTTAAAGCCAACAAGGGTCTTATTCTATTATCATTACCTTAGAGCAGCTGGAACTCCAGAAGGAAAAGATCAAAATAGTAAACCCAACTACAGGCTGAAAAAAAAATTTCCTTTTCGGCCGGGCGCAGTGGCTCACGCCTGTAATCCTAGCACTCTGGGAGGCCAAGGCGGGCAGATTGCTGGAGGTCAGGAGTTTGAAACCAGCCTGAGCAAGAGTGAAACCCCTGTCTCTACTATAAATAGGAAGAAATTAATTGGCCAGCTAAAAATATATATAGAAAAAATTAGCTGGGTTTGGTGGCGCATGCCTGTAGTCCCAGCTACTCGGGAAGCTGAGACAGAAGGATCACTTGAGCCCAGGAGATTGAGGTTGCTGTGAGCTGGGCTGACGCCATGGCACTCACTCTAGCCAGGGCAACAAAGCGAGATTCTGTCTCAAAAAAATAAATTTCCTTTTCTTCCCTCTTAAGAAACTGGGAAACTAGGAAAAACTCATGACAGGGTAGGCAAAGGTACACCCAGGTAGCATCTCCAGATAAGCACTATCTGAAAAAGTTACCTGGTCCAGACCAGAAGTATAAGTATCACCAAGGGAGACTATGCCCCTTTTTAAGCCTGTCTATACCTTAATTTGGCCCTCTATCCTTGCCCCTTCCCAATCTCACACTTTTGAATTCCCCCTCCCTTCTCACCGAACATCCAGGTCTTCCAGGCTCTCTTTCTAAATCTTCCACCAGAGTCACTGCCTCCTCTCCACTTTCTGGACATTGCTCCTGTACCCAATTCTGGATCTCCCCAGGTAAGATGGTCAGGAACTGCTCTAGCACCAACAATTCTACAATCTGCTCCTTGGTGCGCACCTCCGGCCTTAGCCACCGACAGCAAAGTTCCCAGAGTTGGCTGAAAGCCTCCCGGGGCCCAGCCACCTCCTGGTAATGGAATCTCCTGAAGCGCTGCCTGAAGGTCTCAGAGTTAGTGCCATTCCCTCTCATAGTGGGTTTGGCCATCATTCACAGCAGAAAGCAGCTTCCCTCCACTTAAGGGTCTGGGTTCCAGGGCTTACACCTATCTTCCCATGTCCTTGGAGAATCACCTGCAGATGAGTCTCTCTCTGTAAGAGGAGTTTCTTCCTAGGGTAGAGAGAGATGGCACTATCAGAAGGAATATATTCATATGTGTAAAGTCTTGGCAGAGCTGGCCTGACTTCCCATATGCTCCAAGTGGCCATATGAGGTAGCACCATCTTCAGGGCAGCAAGCCAACACTGAGCATGAAGGAAAGAGACCTTTCAAAGTCTGCATTTCTGGGTGACTTCCGGAGCGGCCCCAGGAAGCAGCAGGGGATATAAAGTACTGTCTGATCCTCTCCCACCCCCCTCAAGTCTGTTCCCATTTAATTTCCCTGATCAATGTTGCACAATGAGTTCGAACCATATGGGAGACCTGGAGCTCAAGATGATCTAACGGAAAGTCACTATCCTGCTGAAGGCAAAAAAGCCTCTAACCTCTGCAGTCCTTCCCAAGGCCCTCTGAGTCCGCCCCGCCCCCTCAGACGCCACAACCACCAATTCCCACCCCAAACAAAAATCAAGTCCTCAAGGGTCTTTGTTTTGCCCTCAGAGAAGTAACCGCTCAGCAAGGGTTCGGGAGCTACTAACGGGAAACCTCGCGCATGGAGAGAAGTTGGTTTTGCCTCCTGAAGCGAGGACCAGGTGGGCTTGGGGAGAGTCACACTGAGTTGGAGGTAGTCCGAGTGGGCAGTAGTAGGAATGGGTTTCCTGAGGACGAGCTCGGGTGCTAGGCGAAGGCTCCGAGCGCTGCGGGGTCGCGGGCGCAGGGCTCAGTTCTAGGAGCGGCGGGTGCGGGGTTCCGGCCTCTTTGTCTCCGCTCCCTCCGGCCGGGTTACTCTCGGAGCTGTCGTCCAGTCCCTCCAGAGGCCTCTGACCAGGCCAAGGCGCCCTGAGGGCACCGTCCAATCCAGCCCTGGGAGCGTCTCCCTCTCGAGCTGTCCTCAACCCACTCGCATCCCTGTCCCCGGGCCAGCCTCACCCACTCGGGTCCAGCCCCAAGCCCCCAGCCCCTGCTCTCCAGCCTCCCAGCCCGGCTCCCAAACCGGAAGTCCGAGCGGGCGCCTCGGGGCACCAAGGGCGCATGCGCGAGGGCAACTCCCGCTACTCCCATCTCCGCAGAACTGAGGCGGGAGCGAGCGGGTGTCCTAGCTGGGCGCGCTTCCGGGGCTCGACTCGAGACCACTTCCCCGCTTCCCGTCCGCTCTTCCTGCATCATTTGTCTTGGCGGGTTCATTCAGGACAAACCGCCCGACACAGGGGCCTGTGCGCGTGTCGCAGGGGCAGTATTCGCCCCCGCGTTTGCCTGGAAGGGCGCTGGAGGAGGTGACGTAGCTAGGGACTCGAAGTCCGCCGTAGGAATGATCCACGAACTGCTCTTGGCTCTGAGCGGGTACCCAGGGTCCATTTTCACCTGGAACAAACGGAGTGGCCTCCAGGTACTGTCCGGCTCAGAGCGCGGAAACTAGGGAGCGCGGAAGGCGTGGGTCTGAGCCTGAGGGGAGGAGCCTGAGGGGCGGGGCTTGCAGGGCTCTGGGCGTGCCCCTGCGCAGGCTGCTGAGGGCGGAGCCCTCGGGGCCTCAGGGCGATGTAAACACCTGGAGAGGGCTGGGCCCAGGCTGGGGAGCAGAAGGCTGGCCTCCCGTGGCCCCGCCTTTGTGGGGAATCGAGGACAGGGCCTAAGGTCGAGGTGTCTGAGCGAGAGTTGCTGGGGAACGATATAAAAGTGAGGGAGTCACTTTTTACTATTTATTTTCAGGCTTGTATTCTGTTTCAAAGTGAGTTTTGAAGGCTGGTCCAAATACACAGCACCCAAACACCCAATACGTGCTCGGGAACTGTGTTTTTCATTTTCTTGAATGAAAAAATGAATTCGAGAGTGTTTAGTGTTTCCCTCATTGCTCCTTTCCCAGGACATTTCTGCACTAGGTGAAGAACTTGGTAGGGGGCTTTCGTGTAACCAGGAATGTATGAGGAGTGTTATATATTGTGCGTATGCATTATCTCATTTAATCCTCATAATTTATATCCATTTTACGGATTAACCCAGGTTTAGGATGTTAAATAACTACCAGGAGCACATAGCTAGTAATTAGCAGAGCTTCGTTTTGAACCCAGGTCTTTCTGGATTCAGTATCTGAACTACTCTTATGTGTTCAGGTAATGTTATCTAATGCTCTCAATAACTTGGCCACTTAGGTATTGTTAGCACCAGTTTACGAATGAGCAAACTGAAGCTTAGAGAGCTTTGTGCTGGCTAATCTTGGTAGTGGCAAGATAGGTCTGTCTGATCACAAAGTTATGCATATTCCTGGGAGAACTGGCAATATAGACTATAGAAGAGCAGAAAAAGTACGGTCTTACTTTATAAAACTTATCAATCGAACAGATTCTTCTTCTTTATGGATGTGTATTTGGGCTTTGGGAGTTTAGGTGAGTTTTTTTTAAATAAATAAATGAGGTGAAGATTTGTATGGAGTCTAAATTGTCACTTTTCATTGTGTAGATCTTTGAAGACTGAGTTGGTATTTCACTTTTCCATTGTAGAACTTAGCACGGTGCCAGGCATATAAGAGGAAATAAATGTTCAGGAAGCATATGAGTGCTTGACTATCTGGAATAAGACAACATAACACTATCAGAAAAATAGCTGAGGTGGGAGCTGGGGGAGAGAGCCACAAGTAATTCATCCTTTTCCTTCCTTTCCTATAAAAAAATCTCAATCAGGTATTTTCTTCCTTTTCATACTTAAGGTGTCAGCTTTAAAGTCACTGCTCAGAAAAACTTTCTCTGACCACATTTTAAATTGAGGATCCTCCCCTTATGCCATTATTCTCTATCGCAGAAACTTGTTTATTTCCCTTATAGTACTTAACACAACTCGTAATTATTGTTGTTACCTGTTTATAGTCTTTCTCCCACATAGATTGCCCACGGGAGACAAAGACAGCATTGGTCTTCTTTCATGTACCTGGAACACCTAGCACAGTTTCTGCCACATAGCAGGTGTTTAGATATTTATGGAAAACAAGAAGACAAAAACAGCAAATATTGTATACTTTCTGCAGAGCAGTGTTTTTCACATTTGAATAAAGGGAAAAACTGTCATCAGTGTCCATTGTTGATGACAATTATTTTTATTATAATATTGAATATATTCATAATAAGCTAGGCATAAACTCAAGCATATTGCTCTTAAATGTAAAACCACATATTTTTATAAATTAAATATAAACAAAACTACCAAATCAAATTCAGATTAATATTACTCTAATGCAGGGTTTCTCAGCCTGTTCATATGAATATGTACAGCATATATTGCACAAAATGGTATCAGTAACTTCAAGGTATTGTTTGTCATTTAGAATAATTAGATCTTAAACTTTTCTAGAACTCTACTAACAAATGACAATTTGCACAGGGGTATCACCTGATAACTGGGTACAGATGGTACCCTGGTTCATGATAAAAAAATTGCTTATATGTATTGAGTACTTGCTATGGGCTTGGCACATTTGCTTTACATGTTGATTTAATCTTCATAATTATTATCTCCACCTTATAGGTATGAAACCTGAGGCATACAGAGGTATAGTAACTTGCCTAAGCTTTCAGGCAAGTAAAAGGCAACTCAGGAATTCCAACCCGATTCTGGCTCCAAAGACCAGGTTCTTAAGTACTATGTCATGCTACCTCTTAAGTTATTAACTTGAAGATATGATTAGCATTGTGTCATTAAAATTTACATTAAATGGATTCCTAGTCATATTATCATGTACTCAGTAACAGAAAAAATCTTTGCCTATTTATTACCACATTTACTGTCATAAAGATTATCTCCACAAAATATAATACTCATATGAATATATAATATGCTAAGTTCCTTTGGAGTAATAACTGTATCTGATTTTGTTCACTCTTTAGAATGTTAGCACAGTGCCTGGTAAAGAGTAGGTGTTCATTAAAAGTTGATTGAGTCTCCAAAAAAGATATACAAATGGTCAATAAGCCCATGAAAAGATGTACAATATCACTAATCATTAGAGAAATATAAATCAAAATGACAATGAGATACCACTTTCACATCCATTTGGATGGCTATTATTAAAAAAAAAAACAGACTTCAGGACAGGAAAAAAATATATAAAAAAAATTTAAAAAAAAACAGAAAATAAGTATTGGTGAGATTGTAGAGAAATTGGTAACCTTATACGTTGCTGGTGAAAATGTAAAATGATGCAGCCACTGTGGAAAATGGTATGGCAGTTTCCCAAAAAATTAAACAGAATTACCATATGATCTAGCAGTTCCACTTCTGGGTATATACCCAAAAGAGTTAAAAGTAAGGACTTTAGGGCTTTTTTTTTTTTTTTCTGGAGACAGGGTCATGCTGTGTCACCGAAGCTAGAGTACAGTGGCATGAGCATAGTTAACTGTAACCTTAACCTCCTCCCACCTTAGACTCCCAAGTAGCTGGAACTTCAGGTGTTCGCCACCCTGCCCGGCTAAGTTTTGTGTTTTTTGTAGAGATGGGGTCTCACTATGTTGCCCAGGCTGGTCTCAAACTCCTGGCCTCCAGTGATCCTCCCACCTTGGCCTCTCAAAGTGCTGGGATTGCAGGTGTGAGCCACCATGCCCGGCCTCAACAGATATTTTTACACCCATGTTCACAGAGCATTGTTCACAATAGCCAAAAGGTGGAAGCACCTCAAGTGTCCATTGACAGATGAATGAATAAATAAAATGTGTATATTAAATATACAATAGAAATTTGTTCAGCCATAAAAAGGAAGGAAATCTGACACGACCTACAATATGGATGAACCTTGAGAACATTATGCTAAGTGAAATATGCCAGTCACTACAGGAGAAATATTGAATTATTCTACTTATATGAGGTAGCTAGAATAGTCAAATTCACAGAGAGAAAGTAGAACCGTTTTTGGCAGGGGCAGGGAGAATGGGGAGTTAGTGCTTAGTAGATACAGAGTTTCAGTTGGGAGAGAAAAATTCTGGAGATGGATAGTGGTGACAGTTGCACAATAGTGTGAATGTACTTAAATGCCAGTGAACTGTATACTTGAAAATAGTTAAAATGGTTGATTTTATGTTATATATATTTTACCACAATATTTAAAAAGTTGGTTGAATGAATACATTGCCTGACTACTTTTTTCTACTTGAACTGCTGTGAAACCTTTATATAGCATATTAGGCCATCATTTGTACTTCATTTAAATTAAAAACACAATTACAAGTAACACTAATTTTATACGGCCAGGTGCTTTTGCGGATTATACTATGTTTACATTAATTTTAGATTTTTATTCTAATGAAACGAAATATAAAATTTCATAGACGGTTTGTAAATCCTAAGAAGATGTCTGAGAAACCCTTGGAGTTCGCAGACCCCAATCTGAGCAGCATTGCTAAAGAGACTTTGTTGCAACCAGTCAAAACCCTATACCTTGTAGGCCATCCCTGGAAGATTGCATAAGAAACAAGTAAGAGTGGCTGCCTCTGGGAAGGTAGACTTATTTTTAATGTACACCATTTTGTACTGTTTGAATTCTTTACCATGTGTTATCTATTTTAAAAAGCAAATAATTAGGGGATGGAAAACAGCTTCATAGTGGTTTGGAAATACCTGTATTTAGAACTTAACCAACTTAAGTGGGCGTATTGAGAAGGGAAAAAGATAAATACATAGTTTGAAATATTTTAAGTGTCCCAAAGAACAGAGAGAGTGACAAGCAGGCATCAGTGTTTGTGGCATTGTCCCTCTTCTTGCAGGTGTCCCAGGACTTCCCATTTCTCCACCCCAGTGAAACCAGCGTCTTGAATCGACTCTGCCGGCTCGGCACAGACTATATTCGTTTCACGGAGTTCATTGAACAGTACACAGGCCACGTGCAGCAACAGGTGGGATCCTGTTCTCGGGGGAATGTACACCTCTAGAGAGCAGAAGCTGTGTGAATCTATCAGTGAATACATTGGTGATTCATGTGAAATAAGTTATGGATTTCTCATCACTAGAAATAGTCACGTGAATACAAGGTCTCTAATTGTTTTTTGTATGTAATACTTAAACAAGCCTATGTGGATTTTATCTTATAGGTGAATTCCTACTTCCCCAAATTATAAAGGTACCTGTCGTACCTCTTTTTTGGGAAAAGTAATAAAAATACTCATTTTCGGCCGGGCATGGTGGCTCACGCCTGTAATCCTAGCACTCTGGGAGGCCGAGGTGGACCGATTGCTCAAGGTCAAGAGTTCAAAACCAGCCTGAGCAAGAGCGAGACCCCATCTCTACTATAAATAGAAAGAAATTAATTGGCCAATTAATATATATAGAAAAAATTATCTGGGCATGGTGGTGCATGCCTGTAGTCCCAGCTACTCAGGAGGCTGAGCCAGAAGGATTGCTTGAGCCCAGAATATTGAGATTGCTGTGAGCTAGGGTGATGCCATGGCACTCACTCTAGCCTGGGCAACAAAGCGAGACTGTTTCAAAAAAAAAAAAATACTCATTTTCTCTTTCATTTTGTGATAAAAACATTCATTTCTCTGGAATGACACAAGATCAAAACAAAATTGGCTGGCTATAACTCACTCTGGTCTGTTTCAACTTTTGTCCATACCGTTCTTATCATACCTGTAAACATTTGTTCAGGAACTACTAGCATACGCTGCATTATCTGGCTGTGCTGTGCTATAATTTATAACACCTGAACCCAAGCTTCCTATCACATCTGTTGCTGAATTCTGCTATCTTATCTCCCACCAGCAGAGCCTGATCACCTAAATCAGTACATAGCCAGAGAGGCTAGTCGTCATAGCCTCCAATCAGCTGTAAACTGCAATACCCCATGTAAAATTACTTAAGAAGGTCCTAGAAAAACACTTGCAGGTTTCTTGAATGGCAAGCTGTATTCATGTATAACCCTCTTGATGAGAGTCTCACAACTTCCCATGTTGGCTGTCAGATACATGTTTTAAGGACTTGCCAACCCAGCCAGGAGAGGGATGTTAGAAGGAAGATTCAGTTATTGATCTTCTGTCTAAAGAACTGTGATAGGAACTAAGATACAAGGATTAATAAAGTGTGGTCCTTGCCTTCATGAAGCTCTTGACCTAGTGAAGGATACACATTTAAAAAGTATAATTCAAGCACTAAATAAATATGTTGTTAAAGGTGGAGGTATTAATCCCCTAGGGAGAGTTAGAAAAGGGCTTTGTGGAGAAGAGGTGCTTGAGCTGGGTCCTGCAGGAAGAGGAGCTATTTGTTACAAAGATGCACAGTTTTAAGTAGAACACAAGTCCAAATCCACAGGGGTGAGAGACAACAGAAGCAAGGCACATCTGGTGGACTGTGGGTTGTTTAGAAATGAGGATGTGAAGTTGGAAGCAGTGAAAGATAATTTTGGAGAAATGAGTATCAGAATGCAGAAGTCACTGTATGCCATATATAGGAGATGATATTAATCTAGGGCAGTGGGAAGCCACCAAAGGGTTTTAAACTGGGAGTGATACGGTCAAAATTAAGTTGTAGAAAAATCTCCACTGACAATACTTGCTTGTTTGTAATATCTAGGTAATATCTAGGTCTGTAATATCTAGGTAATATCTAGAATAGTTGTAGAAAAATCTCCACTGACAATACTTGCTTGTTTGTAATATCTAGGTCTCCTTGGAAAATTAAAATATTGTCACATTTTAAAAGATGAGAGCTCAAAATCTCTATCTTCTATTGGGTTTTCTTCTCACTGAAGCACTGCTTTGATATGGAATTATTTAAGCAAAACCAATACCACTAACAAAGGATAATGTCTTCCTCGGGTTTCAGGGTCAAAGCTGAGAAGTTAACTTCTCTTTGTTTGATTTCAGGATCACCATCCATCTCAGCAGGGCCAAGGCGGGTTACATGGAATCTACCTGAGGGCCTTCTGCACAGGGTTGGATTCAGTTTTGCAGCCCTATCGCCAAGCACTGCTTGATTTGGAACAAGAGGTGAGAAAAAGTAGATATAGGGAACACCTCTGGAATGGCACATTAGGGCATGTTCTTGAATCTGAAGGGCCCTTTGATAAGATCAGGTTGTTCAGAGCTGTTTCCTGTGTGGCTGGAGGATTCAATGTTTTCACTGTGATTGCCCAACCCATCGTCAAAGTGGCTTATACATCATGGCACACGTTCCTTAGCTTGTAAAAGCCCTGGCTTTGGCTTCTTTGTCACCTGAAAATAGAATCAAAATCTTCTATAAATTATCAATTCTCTGTAGCCTAAAACTAACACTAAGCCCATTCTCAGATTCTCTTCTAGATTTTTTTTTTTTTTTTTTTGAGACAGAATCTTAACTCTGTTACCTGGGCTGGAGTGCCGTGGTGTCAGCCTAGCTCACAGCAACCTCAAACTCCTGGGCTCAAGCGATCCTTCTGCCTCAGCCTCCTGAGTAGCTGGGACTACAGGCATGCACCACCATGCCCAGCTAATTTTTTCTATATATATTTTTAGTTTTCCAGCCAATTTCTTTCTATTTTTGGTAGAGATGGCATCTCGCTCTTGCTCAGGCTGGTCTCGAACTCCTGAACTCAAACGATCTGCCTGCCTCAGCCTCCCAGAGTGCTAGAATTATAGGTGTGAGCCACCATACCCAGCCTCTCTTCTAGTTTTTATAGATCAAATAGATTTGAGATATTTGGTGTGGAGCCCTAATCATATGTTTTTTATTGCAGTTCCTGGCTGACCCTCATCTCTCCATATCACATGTCAATTACTCCTTAGATCAGGTATGCTGCCCAAATAACCAAATGCTTTGGAATCTGTTGATGTTGTTAGAATAATCTAATTTGTGACACTATTTTCAAGAACTTTTCTTCTAGATTCAGAGCCCAACATTTTATATTCTGGGCATTTTGTATGCTTTACTAGATGAAAACTATTTGAAAAGTTCCAGATTTAGTTGAAACTTAATGTCCAATGTTATTGCTGTATGTTGCCATCAATATTAATAGTTACATCAGCCTCAGAAACTGCTTCTCTCTGCCATCCTCTTCCTGTCTACAGCCAACCCCACGTCACATTGCCTTAGGTGGGATACTGGATCTTGATTGCTCTGTGGTATTGCCATTTTGCCTTAAGTTGGACTATTTAGAAACAAAAGCTTTTGCTGAATTGATTTTTTTTCTTTGTCTTTGATTATATACCTTACTAATTATTTTCTACTTTATAGTTCCAGCTCCTTTTTCCCTCTGTGATGGTTGTAGTAGAACAAATTAAAAGTCAAAAGGTAAGAACTTTCCTTTTTTCTTTTGCTCTGATAAGCACTGAGGAAACATTGGTAATTAATTTTGCCTTACATTCTTTTTTGAAGACCCTACTTTTTCGTGTTTTTTTCTTATCCATCCATTCATTCAACAATATCTACTTGGGTATCATGCTAAGTGTCAGGAATGCGAAAATAAGATATGACCCTTTCCTTAAGCACCTCCTGGTCCAGAAAGCAGAGGAAATGTTAATAGATGTACCTAACAATGTTGATGGGGTAAGAGAAAATTGCTGTGGATGTTTGGGGGCGAGAGCAATCTGCACTAAGGGTTTAGAACTATTGGGTATGGATCTTGAGGAGAAGCAGAAAGTTAATTCTTAGAAAGAAAAAAAGGATTGTGTTTGTGGTTAGAAAGCTGGCAGTTTTCTGAGAATTATGAGATCCTTGAGTGAAAGCCACGTGTGTATTTTATTAGTTAAACATGCCGAACTTTGTCACAAATTTTTATCAGTTACATTGAAAAGTTAGGGTCCCCAGTGTCAGAAGAATGTCTTTTCTGGGCAGAGGTAATAACTCTGAGGAATAAATGCTTTGAGATTTCACATTAGAAGAATCTGGTGTCTGTTGAATTGGTCCATAATTGGACCAAGTGGACAAATGGATTAAACATGTTTATCTCAAGTCTCTACATTTTTAAGCTCTTCTGTTTGTGCCTGAGCTTATTAAAGGGGTGTTCGCTTTGACTAATGTAACTAGTTAACCAGTTAATTTGCCACATGCTACTTCATTTTTTGCTGTGTAAGTGTAGAAACTTAAGTGCTCTGCTATACCCATGCTGTGTCAGCAAAGACTTAGGAAGGTGCTTTTTATCCTTTCAAAGCTGATTATCCTCATCAGATCACAGCATCCAGCTTTTATTGTGCACTTGCTCTGTGCTGGGCACTGTGGTCAGTGCTTTACGTACATTATCACATTCAGTCCTCTAAAGGGTTAAGTAGGTTAAGGAATATACGCAGGGTCACACAGGTGGTAGTAAATGGTAGAGCTGGGCTATAAACCTAGGTGTGTCTGGCCCCAGAGACTATGTTCTTAACTATATTAAACTATCTCCCCAAAGGAGAAGGGACCTTCTAGGTAAGTGGAGTTAGTGGTGGCAGCATAAGAGAGCCAGCGCTAGCTGCACATGTCAGTTGACCGTCAGCTTCCACTGGCTACAAGAAGGAGACTGGAAAATGAATAGAGGGATTGCAGATGGGGGAATCTTCTTCCTGCCAGGACAGTGGCAGAGAAGCTGGCGTGCCAAAGCTCTGCAGAGTTAACAAATGAGATGTCAAGAGTCCAGGTCCAGGGTGGGAATGGGGATTGATTGCACACAGGCACAGCAGGTGTTTTGGAGTGATGGAAGTGTTCTAAAACTGGATTGTGGTGATGGTTGCACAATGCTGTAAATTTACTAAACATTGTTAAATAGTATGCTTAAAAAGGGTGAATTTTATAGTGTGTAAATTATACTTCAAAGTGGTTTAAAAAAAAAAAAAGAACCTGAAGGACATAGAGACAGTGGATTATTGGAAAAGTACATACTTCACATGTAGTCTGAATTAAGCCTTAACCTGAAATGAAGAGCTTTCCTTGGCTTTGGAGTTCCAACTCTTAAGAGATTCTGGTTTCTTTGGGGCAGTGGTTCTCACACTTCACAGTGAGTTAGAATCACCTGGAAGGCTTGTTAAAACACAAACTGTGGGGCCCTACCCATGAATTTACATTCCTAAGGATTCTAGGGCAATGCTGATGTTGCTGAGGGGAGGGACCCATCTTTGAGAACAACTTAAATTTTATGAGAAATGCTTAAGTTTTATGAGAAAGTTTATCCCCATTCTCTGCTGGATTGTGCCCTCTTGGTTAAATATAGAATATTAGTTTGTGTTGCATAACCTATTAAAACGGAGTCCAGTTTGACAAGGCTGTATTTTCCACAGATTCATGGTTGTCAAATCCTGGAAACAGTCTACAAACACAGCTGTGGGGGTTTGCCTCCTGTTCGAAGTGCACTAGAAAAGTAAGTCATGGCTTGATTGGGAATTGGTGGTGGAGGTAGGTTTACTTGACTTCTCACAATTTATTTTTGGGTCATCTCAGGTTTCCCTCTGGGAAAAGTTATGACCAGGATAGAAAAAGCCACGTGAACAGAGGAGCCCATATAATCCTTACGATGGCTCAAGCATTGCAAAGAGAGTAATAGAGTGTTGAGTATCAAAGCCAGAATTTAGCTGCCTGGATGACCTTGAGGCCATCCTTTTTAATTTTTGGATGCCATTATCCCAGGATTTCCATTACATGTGCCAGATATCACTTGCTGTGTCTAAACATGTGCATTTGAGTAGCTGGTATTTTCACATCAGAGATCCTTGAAATGTTTATGCTTTATAATCCCATTATGCCACTCTTAGGAATTTCATTCTAGCAAAATTATTTAATAGAAGAAAATAACTGTACAAACATAGTCTTTGAAATGTTGTCTACTATGACAGGGAATTAGAAAATTACCAACAGTAGAAGAAAAACTAAATAAATACATAGTCACTTAATAGACTATAAAGCCATTAAAATTATAAATACCATAATAAAATGCAAAAATATATAATACTGAATATGATACAAAATTGTATTTGTCTTATGATTAAAACTATATTAAAAATCTATATGGAGTATTATCAAAGACTGCCTGTTTGATCTTTCTATCTCCTCCTTCCTTCTGATTTTTAAAAAAGAGAATGTGGCATTAATTGCAAAATTGTAATAGATGATCTCTGTGACCAGTCATGGCTCTTAATCTCCACTATTACCACTACACAAGTAAACCCTCAGAAGAGCAGGAAACTTTCCAAAACGTATTTTTAGGGACTTAATTGTCTATTATACTTTTATGCATAGAATATAAAATATTATGTAGATAATGTGAGAAAAATATATATATTAATAATCATATTATACCAAATTTTATAGACTACATACTCAGATATGCATAAGTGAAAATGGCTTCCCCTTTGATTTTTTTTAAAAGAGATTCCATTCAGTTAGCATACTACACATAGCAGGCTCAAGCTCTTATATGCTACAAATAGCAGGCTTTTCTTTCCAACTTTTTATTTTGAAAAATTTCAAACCTACAAAAAAGTTAAAAGAATAGTACAATAAAACATTCATACATCCTTTAGTTTCACCAGTTGTTAACATTTTGCCACATTTATCTTTTTTCTTTTTCCTTTTATATGTATATGTGAAATATTACACACCCCAGTATTTTTGCTGAATCATTTGAAAGTAGTCACGGATATCATAACATTTAACCCCTAAATACTTCACCTTGTATCCCTTTAGGAAAAAGCCATTCTCAATACCATCTTACACCCAAGAAGGTTAACAATAATTCAATACAATATTCAGAATATATCCAAATTTTTCAGTCATTCCCCAAAAGAAGAACTTAATAGTTCTTCTTTTGCAATTCAGGATCCAGTCAATGTTCACATGCTGCATTTGGTTCTCATGTCTTTTTAGTCTCCTCTAATTTGGAACAGTCCCCTTGCCTTTTGTTGTTGCTCTTGTTGCTTTCTTTGAAGACATTGACATTTTAAGAATTCTGACTAGTCCTAAGAATGTTCCACGATCTGGATTTATCTAATTATTTCTCCATGATTAGATTCAGGTTAAACATTTTTGACAATAATACTACATAGTGATGATATTTCCCATTTTGTCACACAAAGACAGTTTATCCCTTTATTGCTATTGGGAAGTTTGATCACTTGGTTTAGGTGTTTGCATCAGATCTCCACTGTAGAAGTACCTTTTCCCCTTTGTAATTAATACGCTATTTGGTGGGTGATCCTTTGAGACCATCTGAATATCCTATTCCCCAACAACCTTTCTGCTTTTTATTTTAGTTTCTGCATTTTGTTGGATCATACTGTATACCTGGCACTCATATATTACATCTCCTCTCCTTATGGATAACAAAATATATATATATTTAATACTGTGCTAGCCAAAAAGAGACTCCATTAAGTCCATTTTTTAAATTTTTATTTTTTTTATTGCTATATAACAGTTGTACATATTTAGGACTCATCAGTTTTGAAAATTATATAAAAGGAGGAAAGAAAATGTGCCGCTTCTAAAAGAATATCAGAACATTTCACTGAACATTTCAGACTTCAGGATGTGGGCTACAAGTATGAAAATTCAATGAGTTAGTCGATCCACAAACATTTAAACTAGCACAATTATTTTTAACTTGATTGGTTATTTCCCTTATGATTCATCAAACTCTCAGTCCTCTATTTATCTTGTAGCAGTTTAAAGCGTGACTTCTGTGGCATTTGTGGGGTTTGGTATTGTCTAGGTGGACTTCTAAGCTTCTTGCTTTCCTCCCTGCTCAGAATCCTGGCCGTTTGTCATGGGGTCATGTATAAACAGCTCTCAGCCTGGATGCTACATGGACTCCTTTTGGACCAGCATGAAGAGTTCTTTATCAAACAGGGTCCATCTTCTGGTAATGTCAGTGCCCAGCCAGAAGAGGATGAGGAGGATCTGGGCATTGGGGGACTGACAGGAAAACAACTGAGAGAACTCCAGGACTTGGTGAGAGTGCAGCAAGGACCCTAGCATACTCCTACCAGGAGTCACGAAAGTCTAGCTAAATGATCTTTAGGTCATAGCCTGGGCACATTCCATAAATTCTTTAGATATAAATATTTGGCTTTATCTTAACTAATGTGAGACTACAAAATAGAAAATATGTTTGTTTAAAAAAAAAGCCATGTATTCTTCAAATATATATATATATTTGTAAGATTCCTTTTGTTTCCTGTTATCTCAATATATGCATCTAAGAGGTTAATAATAAGTCTTGTCTCTACGAGTGGTAGCTAGTTACCCTATAGCTTTTAAATGCAATTTGGAATTTTGATTAGACTCTTCAAAGTCCTGTATTATCCATGTTCATCCATCCATTCATTTACCCTGTTATATTTCATTGAATGCTTATTATGTGCCAGGCATTGTTCTAGCTGCCACAACTACACAGATATAAAAAATGTAGTGTCCTTGTCCTTAAGGAGCTTATAGTTTAATGGAAGACATAGAAAAGTAAACAGTTGCATTACAGTTTGCTAAGTGCTATGAAAAGAGTAAATCTGGGTGTTCTTGGAACATCATCTTGGGGTAGGGTCCAGGAGTAACTAGAGTAGGCTTTTCAGTGGAATGTATGTCTGTATTGCACAGAGTCTGGGAGGTCAAGAAATGTCCAGGCAGAAGGAATGGCGTATGTAAAGGTACAGAGGCCATGAAGGACATGGTTCATTTGGGGAACCATTAGTAATTCAATTGAAAGGATCAAGTTAAGGCTGACATATAATGAGTAACAAGTGAGAGATGGTGGAGAAGGGAAGTGGCACTCAATGAAGCTGTTAAGGAGAGACAAGATCATGAAGGTGCTTGTAAACAGTGGGAATGAATTTGGCCTTGAACCTGAAAAAGTTGGACACCATTGAAAAATTTTAGGCAAGAAGACAACATGATCAGACTTTATGATAGATTGCACTGGATGCTGTGCAGGGAATCATTTTTTAAAAAATCAGGATTAGAGGCAGGAAGACAGGTTGAGAGAGTTTCAGGGATACTTAGATGAAAATAATAGTGCCCTACACCAAGGCTGGTAACAGTGAATATGGAAAAGAATAAAAAGGTTTGAGATATGTTTAGGAGCTGGAATCAATAGGCCTTAGTGATTAGTTGGATATGAGTCAAGTGGGAAGAGTCAAGGACCATATGCAAGTTTCTGCCTTTAGCAGCTAGGTGAGTAGTGATGATAGGGAACGTGTATTGCTGGTATTGGGGAAAGAAAATGGGTCTAATTTTGGGCATGTTGAGTTTGAGGAACTTGTGGGAAATGTTCAGTGGGCTGTGCCCAGGGCTTATGAGAGCAGTCTAGCTTGCTATAAATCTAAATATGGAATCATCAGTATATAGCTCAGAGGTTTTTAGGCCGGGCGCGGTGGCTCACGCCTGTAATCCTAGCACTCTGCGAGGCCGAGGCAGGCGGATTGCTCGAGGTCAGGAGTTCAAAACCAGCCTGATCAAGAGCAAGACCCCATCTCTACTATTAATAGAAAGAAATTAATTGGCCAACTAATATATATAGAAAAAAATTAGCCAGGCATGGTGGCGCATGCCTGTAGTCCCAGCTACTTGGGAGGCTGAGGCAGTAGGATTGCTTGAGCCCAGGAGTCTGAGGTTGCTGTGAGCTAGGCTGATGCCACGGCACTCACTCTGGTCTGGGCAACAAAGCGAGACTCTGTCTCAAAAAAAAAAAAAAAAAAAAAAAAAAGAGGTTTTTCATCTGGGGTCCATGGGTGGCTTCAGGAGTTTCTGTGAAATGTTGTATGTCTACATTTGTCTGGAATGTCCACAGCTTTTATAATTGAAGAGAGGCCTGTGACCTAAAAATGTTGAAACAAACTGTTAGGATGATCAATGAAGCCATTGAAGAAGATATGATTATGTAAGAAGAGTATGTAGAGCAAGAGGAAAAGAGAGTTTGGGATAATGCCCAGAGGTGCACCAGTAGAGCAGAAGACCTGAAGGCCAGGCACAGTGGCTCACGCCTATAATCCTAGCACTCTGGAAGACCAAGGCAGGAGGAACGCTTGAGGTCAAAAGTTTGATACCAGCCTGAGCAAGAGCAAGACCCTGTCTCTACTAAAAATAGAAAAAATTAGCCAGGTGTGGTGGCGTATGCCTGTAATCCCAGCTACTCAGGAGGCTGAGGGAAGAGGATTGCTTGAGCCCAGAGTTTGAGGTTGCTGTGAGCTAGGCTGAGGCCACAGCACTCCACTCTAGCCCAGGTGACAGAGTAAGACTCTGTCTCCAAAAAAAAAAAAAAAAAAAAAACTGAAAAAAATAAAGACCACCCCTTTCACTATGCAGGTAAGGAAACTGATCATCTGCACGAGTTTTTACGCAGTAGTAAAGGCAGAATAAGGACTAAAATCCCACCAAAGTTTAAAAGCCACTGTTATTTCCACAATGCTACTCTACTGCCTGAAAATGAAATACTTTCCTCCAGCCCTGGTGATTTAAGTATTGTACAACTTCAGACTTAAAGTCCGTGCTTCTAGAAAATATAAATCATGGGTTGGGAGAGTTGCTAGATATTTTAGTTTCCTTTTCTTACTTCATCTCTGATACAAATTATTTCCTTGACTAGCGCCTGATTGAGGAAGAGAACATGCTGGCACCATCTCTAAAGCAGTTTTCCCTACGGGTGGAGATTTTGCCATCCTACATTCCAGTGAGGGTTGCTGAAAAAATCCTATTTGTTGGAGAATCTGTCCAGATGTTTGAGAATCAAAATGTGAACCTAACTAGAAAAGGTAGAGATCTCCTTGCCTGACGTATCACCTCCTTAAAAGCTGTTTATTAGTAGTATGTGGCCCCAAAGCATATTCTGTCCGGGGTGAGTGGCTGGTAATATTCATGTATTTAAGGTTGCAGCACAAGCATGATTGGTTGCCTGCTTTTGTCTGAGAAGCAGGCGAAGCTGCTGCCCCGCCAAGATTAGCCCTCTCCAGAAAACCATGGCTGGCCTGGGTGTTCTGCCTTCCTTTGTCATGTCTTCCTATTCTGCAGGATCCATTTTGAAGAAGCAGGAGGACACTTTTGCTGCAGAGCTGCATCGTCTCAAGCAGCAGCCGCTCTTCAGCTTGGTGGATTTTGAGCAGGTGGTGGATCGTATTCGTAGCACTGTGGCTGAGGTTTGTCTTTCATTTTATTTTTGGGGAAAGAAAATGGACTAATTCCCCAGAAATTGAGTAAATGACTTTTGTTTCTTCTTGATGTGGTTAGAGCTGAGCTTTGGAGAGAATTGTTTGACAGTTGAAGGGCAGGAGATGGAAAATAAAAGCATTCTTTTTGTTTTTAATAACAGAGGCAGAGCTGTCTTAGCCTTTTCTCATCTGACAGGTGTTTTTTAGTGAGTTAGTGGAATAAAGGGGAGGTGGTCTTGTTTTAATTTCTCACAGTCAGCACTTTGGATCTGTCTATAATATATTTTGCAACAACTCCAAGGAATCAACTGATTCTGACTAAATTTAGTGTCTTTCTTATATTTTAGTATGGCTTTATAACATTCTTTCATTTATGTGTACGATAGTCTTATGAGAAGAGCAGAAAAATATTATTTTCCATACTTATATTTTAGTATGGCTTTATAACATTCTTTCATTTATGTGTACAATAATCTTACGAGAAGAGCAGAAAAAATATTATTTTCCAGCCAGGCGTGGTAGCTTATGCCTATAATCCTAACACTCAAATTCCTTTCATCTTTTTTCACTGAATCTATTTCTGTTCTTTTACCATTGTTGTTACAACTCTTTGGGAAATATAATTAATGGAGGAAAGTAGAATTTTATTGGATGAGTTATGTAAGATTTCAAAATCAGTGTTTTCTTGTAAAATTTTGAAATGAATATATTGCTAGAAATTATATTTCCAATCAGTTTAAGATGTGGTTTCTTGCTCTGGGTTCCTTTTCCCCTTGAGTCTATTTATATGATAAATTCCTGGTTGAATTTTCAGATGTTTCTTTTTTTAATATACTGTTAGAGTTGGTTAGCCAATAAAATATTTAGAATTTTTACATTAACATTCACTAGTGAAATAAGACTATACTCTTCTCTTCCTATATTATTCTTTTTTTCCTAGATTATGGGGGGTACAAATGCTATGGATACATATATTGCCTTTGCACCACCCAAGTCAGAGCTCCAAGTGTGCTCAGCCCCCAGACAGTGCACACTGTACCTGTTAGGTGTGAATTTACCCATTCCTTCCTTCCCCCTCCCACCTGCCCCAACACAAATGGCTTTTATCAAAAAGTCCCAAAACAATAAATATTAGCATGGACATGGAGAGGTAGGAGCACTCATACACTCCTGGTGGGACTGCAAACTAGTACAACCTATATGGAAAGTAATATGGAGATACCTCAAAGAACTAAAAGTAGAACCACCATTTGATTCAGCAATCCCACTACTGGGCATCTACCCAAAGGAAAAAGGATATTCTATAATAAAGACCCCTGCACTCGAATGTTTATAGCAGCACAATTCACAATTGCAAAGATGTGGAAACAACCCAAGTGCTCATCAATATATGTGAGTGGATTAATAAAATATAGTATATGTATACCATGGAGTACTACTCAGCCATGAAAAATGGTGAACTAAAAGTATGAATGGAAAAACAACCACCACATTCACTCACCATTAAATTGATACTAATCAGTCAACACATAGGCACATACGGAAGTAACATTCATTTGGGTGCCCATCAGGTGGGAGTGGGGAGGAGGGGATGGGTAAATTCACACCTAATGGGTGCTATGCATGCTGTCTGAGGGATGGGCATGCTTTTAGCTGTGACTTTGGCAGTATAAGGCAATTTATGTAACCAAAGCGTTTGTACCCCCATAATATTCTGAAAGTAAAAAAAAAAAAAAATCTAATCCATGTTTACTAACAATCAGCTAAAAAAAAAAAAGGTTATATACATACATATCTGCATTTCCAATATTGGAATAGATCTGTAAGACATTCATTCAGCTGATACCAGAAGTTATGTCTGGGAAGAATGATAAATGTGTGAAGTAGTGAAAGCAGATTTTCATTTTCATTCTATTTGCTTCTTTTTTTGTTTCACAACACATGTGTTATGCATAAATAACTTAGTCAAAAGAAAAAGTTCAAATAAAAAAGTGAAATAGAGCTTTAAAAAAAAACTATTGATATGAGACATTTATTTCTTGTACCAGTTTTGGTATTTTCTAGAAACTTACCCATTTAATCTACATTTAATTTTTTAAAAAAAAATCTCTGCTGTCTATACCTATTTTTATTTTATATTTTATCTAAGTTTTCTCTTTATTATTGTTTAGTCTTACTAATCTTTTCAAAGAACCAGCTTTTGTTTTTATTATTTTTTTCCTTTTCTTTTTAAGAGACAAAGTCTCACTATGTTGCTCAAGCTGGAGTGCAGTGGCTACTCATAGGCTCGATGATAGCACACTGCAGCCCCGAATTCCTGGACTCGAGTGAGCCTCCAAAGTAGATGGGATTATAGATAGGCACATACCGCCACACCTACCATATTCTTTTTTTAATTCTGTATTTCATCAATATCTGCCTTTCTCTTTATTATTTTCTTCCTTCTTGTTTCTTTGAGTTACTATTTTTCTAAGTTGAAAGCTTGATTCCTTTATTTTTAACCTTTATTTTTGGAGAAGTATATATAAAACTTACATATTACTTTGATTATGTCCCATGCGTTTTTGGCATATAGTATTTTCATTTTCATTCTGTTCTAAATAATTCTTAATTTCCTTTATGATTTTCTTTTTAACCAAGGAATTTGTTGTTTTAATTTTCTTGCATTATAGTTGGAGAACATAGTTCTATATTGATATTGGTTCTTTGGAATCTATTGCAGCTTTCTTTGTGGACAGGGTCTGGTGTGTTTTTAGCTGTTCTTCATGTGCCCAGAGATTATATATTCTGTGTTGAATGTAGAGTTATAATTGTTCATTTTGAGGATATATATTAGGCATGTGCATATTTATAATAAATACATATTTATTCTGTTTTTCCTTTCATTTACACATAATGTCCTCTGTATCATCTATGATATATGTTATATATATATAATATTTTTTGTCTTAAATTGCATTTTATTAGTTATTAAGATCACTGTCCAACTTTCTTTTGGAAAATTACCTTATGTCTTCTTCTATCCTTTACTTTGAACCTATTTGGTTTTATTCCACCCTTATTGCCCTCCCAGTCCCCAGGCAACGACTGAGCTGCTAATTCTGTCACTATAGGTTAGTTTGCATTTTCTAGAGTTTATAGAAATGTATTCATATATGTACTCTTTTGGTGGAGGGGATCAGGCTTCTTTTATTCAGCATAATTATTTTGAGATGAATCAATGTTGTATTTATCAATAGTTTATTCCTTTTTACTGCTTAATTCTGCTGATAGACATTTGGGTTGTTCCCTCATTGTAGTTTTAGTTTGCACTCCCTAGTGACTAATGATGTTAAACATTTTTTCATGTACTTCTTTGCCCATTTTGTATTGGGTTTTTTGTTTTCTTAGTATTGAATTTTGAGAGTTCTTAATATATTCTGAATATAAGTTCTTTTTCACATATGTAACTTACAAATATTTTCTCACATTCTATGACTAGTCTTTTCATTCTCTTAATGGTGTCTTTCAAAGAACAGAAGTTGTTCATTTTGATGAAGTCTAATTTATCTTTTTTTTCCTTTTATGGATCATGTTTTTGCTGTTGTGTCACTTCGCCAAGGTCTCAAAGATCTTCTCCTTTGCTTTCTTCCAGAAATTTTATAGTTTTCAATTTTACCTTTAAGTCTATAATTATTTTGAGTTAATTTTTTTATGTGGTGGAAGGTATGTTCTTTTTTCAGTACATTGCTAGATTTGTACCAAACCATTCTTTGCTAGAGTTTTCATTATAATGAAATTTTGTCTCTGTTGGTTCTTTTCATAGCATCTCTGGAAGTTGATGGTAGAAGAGTCAGATTTACTGGGTCAGCTAAAGGTAATAGTTGTTCTTTTAATTCTTAAAATAATGCTGTTGGGTACACTTTGTAACCTTTTCCTGAGAGCAAGTTGCCTATATCCAGACTTCCAGAGTGGACTCATTTGTTCTTATCCAATAAGCAAACTATACCTAATGCTACAAATCTATAATACAAAGATTTAGGAGTTTCTTTCTTCTGGCATAATATAATTATGCTGCTGTTGAAGAAATGATACCAAATACACAGCAGTCATCCTGCTGTGAGGAACTGCTAAGTATGCCTCTTTGAAATGAGAAATGCCTAATCTTTTTGTTGGCTGGGCTCAAATTGATGAGATTGGAAATGTGTATGTGTAATTCCCTCAGGATAGTGAGGAGCTCCGGGCCCTGTTTTACTGAATTGTAAATTGAAATTCTTTCCTCAGATCATTAAAGACTTTTACCTTCTGGGACGTGGAGAACTCTTTCAGGCCTTCATTGATACAGCTCAACACATGTTAAAAACACCACCCACTGCAGTAACTGAGCATGGTAATTACCTGTGGCCCTGAGAATGACCAACTTATTGAAGTTTCAGGGTATTTCTTGGCTGCTGCTGACCCTTTTAAGACCTGCTCCACATAAGAGGAGCCTGGTGAGTTACAGAGCAGATTTCCAAAGATGGAAGGCCCTTTCAGGTAGGCTTCACACTGAGGTCAATAGGAACAGCATCTTGGCCTACAATCCTCCCTGGAAGAATTGGTGCAGGCCTTCAAAGCAGGTATTTTGTATCATCAGATTATAGCCATATATACCCTATGGGGCATATTGGAACTTACTGCCACTTGTAGTGATGTATTAGAATTCTTTAGGTGTGAATGATGGAAACCTAACCTGTGGTAGCCTAGTTAGAAAGGGGAACTTATTTGCTTTTATATCTAAAACTCCAGTAGGATAGGAGTATAGCTAAGCCTCAGAACAACTGAAACTAGGGACTTGGATACTATTAGGAGTCTCTCTCTCTTTCTCATCATATCTTACGTACGTGTCTCTTATATACTCTTTGATGACCTTCAGTTCCATCTGGAAACATGGGCACCGACAGGAACATGTGCCAGGAACATGCCTCACAGTGAGGAACCAAACCCAGTCTCTCTGGTACCAAGTTAAAGAATTCTAAAGAAAGGGTTTTGATTGGCTCAGCTCAGATCACATGCCTATTCCTGTATCAGTCAATGAGGTCAGACACTAGGATATGCCTAGTTCAGTAAATCAGCTGATGGCCATTCCTATTCAAACTACGTGAACAGAGTTGGGTGAGGATCTGAGCCAGGAAAAGAAAATGGGAAAGAGAAAATACATAAACACAGGGTGATCGTTTTTCTAGCTCAATAAAACAATAGATGTCCACTGTATACCACTTATATACTACTTTTTTGGTTGCAGATATCAGAAAACCTAATTCAAACTTACTTAAGCAAAGAAAAAAAAGGAAAGAAAGATTTTATTGATTCTCATAACTGAAAAGCTCAGAGGTATGATGGCTTTAGGCAAAGTTTGATCCAGCTGCTCACGTAACACCTTTAGATCTTGGTCTCTCTCCATCTTTCACCTCTCCCTTTCTTCTCAGATGGGCCTGCTCTGTATGGTAACAAGATAGCCCCCAGCTAATTTACATCCTACTAAGTGTCTGTTTATCTCTAAAAAAGAGCTGTACGTTTTAGAGTCTGAATAGAGCCTCTGGATTTGCCTGGCTTGGGTCATGGTCAATTTGTCCCTAAACAAATTAGTGTCCCTAAACAAATTAGTAAAGTATTACATTCCATTTGATCATGCCTGGGTCACCTGCCTACTCCTAGAATCAGGTATTATCTCTAGTTCCCCACCAGAACTACATGAACTATACTGAATATAGATGATTCTCCAAGGAAAACTTGTTACCAGTAGGAAGAAAAGGAAGAATGAATGCTAGTCATGCAAAAGCAACAGCTGTCCACTGCATCCTGCTATTAGTGTTAGGCAGGTTAGGGGAGAAGTGGAAGCTGGAGGAATTTGAGTCTGTTATGTAGCCAAGGATTCTTGTCTGCCCATCTGTTCTTTTTTGCAGATGTGAACGTGGCCTTTCAACAGTCAGCACACAAGGTGTTGCTAGATGATGACAACCTCCTCCCTCTGTTGCACCTGACAATTGAGTATCATGGAAAGGAACACAAAGGTTTGTCATTCTTACCTGATTCTACTGGTCATCATCCATTTTCTCATCTCTGCATCCATCCACCTCCACAGAAACCATATAAGTTTGGACCTTAGAAATGATCTGGTACAGTACTATAATTTTATACAGAAGAAAAAGGAAATCCAGAAATCCAAAGTGAGATGCTCAGCCCATGTGTTTTGTTTTGGGTTTTGTTGTTGTTGTTGTTATGCTGCTGGAATGGTCCCAGTTTCTTTCTTTCCAGCCTCTAGACTTTAAGGCTGAAAACAAAAATCTCTGAAAGATCTCCCAAAAGAACCTCACATAGAAGTTTCTCTGCCTCCCAGTGAGCTCTCATTTCATGAATGTTATTCAACTTTTTGAGTCTGTGGTTCTGGATTACCTAAACTGTCTTTTTTTCTTTTCTTTTCTTGATCATAGCAGATGCTACTCAGGCAAGAGAAGGGCCTTCTCGAGAAACTTCTCCCCGGGAAGCCCCTGCATCTGGCTGGGCAGCCCTAGGTCTTTCCTACAAAGTACAGTGGCCACTACACATTCTCTTCACCCCAGCTGTCCTGGAAAAGTGAGTATTTCTGAGATTCTCACAGGTAAATATCACTTACCTATACTTCCAAGGGAAGAAATTATCAGGAAAAGAATTAATTGGAGCAATATAGCCACCCAACTAGTTTTTAACAATCTGTAAATCAGAAGTTACAAAATCTTATGCCTTCAAGGACTAGATTGATCACATTAATAAGTGATTTACAGATGTGAGACATAGGGAGCAGTGGGTGCTGGAATGAATAGGAGGGTATATACCTACTTAAAACCATCATAATTTAAAAAAAAAATTGCCAAGTAACAAGCAATGTGTAGGCTGCCAATTTGTGAGCTCTGGAAAATGAGATTGGGCATAAACCCCAAAAGATAAGGGAGGTCTCAGGAACAACATTAAGAATCTAGCCCTTAAGGATTCTATTAGACCTGAAAAGATTGCTGCCTAACTTTTATAACTTTCTGTTGATTTACTTGGAAAAGTCTTCCAGCCCAAATGTTTGCTGTGGATATTAGCCACTGGGGAGATCACCTCCTTACCCTCCCCCCTAGGGAGAGGCAACAGGGGCAGCCAAGCTGGGGGGATGGAATTAAGGAATTAGACCAAGGCAGTATGAGACTTCCTATTTGATCAGCCTTGTTCTTTATCACAAGAGCCTGCCAAGTACTGTTACTTGGCCTGGTCAGGATCTAATATCCCCAAACCAGGGGGGAACTAGAGATCTGTGGAAAGGAGGTAGAAGAAGCATACTTGGCTGGTGGTGGCCTCTGAAATCCATCCCCATACTGTTTCTAGGAACTTCCCAAACCCTATTCCTGGTTAGAGAACTGGCCACTGGCCTGGTTGGAGGATGAAAGCTGTCGTGCTCAGTGATGCTAGAAGAATGGAGAAAAAGGAAGCAAAAGAACAAAAGGGCTATCTCTTCTTCCAAACACCACTCTTCATTCTTCCTGTTCCTATTCACAGCCTTAGGGTATAATAGATTGGGCATAAACCTGAAAAGATGAGGCTGATTCAGACAGATTACATGGCAAGTTCAGAGCCAATGGTCCAGCTAAGCAAGTTGCATGGACCTTGTCCAAAGAGCTTCCAAAGCTCCACAGCTCTCCACATCCCACAGGCCAACAGTGTACTTATTTCCTAACTTGATGTGTTCTTAACACCCTTGAAGTAATCGAGTTTAGAAGTGTTTTCTTTAACTTTGCATTAGGAAAATTTCTAAGTATAAACAGAAGTATACACTATAACAAACTCCCACGTCCTCTTTACCTACCTTCAGTAACCACAACTGTATGCTACTTGTTTCATCTATCCCTCCTCCTCTGCCCTCTGCCCTTTTTTTTACTGGAGCTTTATAAAGCAAATCCCAGACATGTCATCTCACTCTGCCACTAAGCAATTCAAAAAGGGATATTTCAATATAATTACTACAATGCCATTACCACACTCAATAAAATCAACACTAATCCCTTGTAACTTAATATCTAGTCTACACTGAAATTTCCCCAATTATCTAAAAATATTTTTATGATTGGGTTTGTTCAAATCAGTATCTAAACAAGGTCTGTTATTTCACTATGTTTGTTCCATTAGAAATAGATAATCTTTAAAACAAAATGGTATTGGATTGTCTTCTGCAAGCCTGCCTACAAATAAGTAAAGATATCCAGTTCTACCAGGAATCAGCTGCTCTTCCCATCTCAGTACAGGGTCTCAGCATTAAGCAGTTAGCCCCCAAGCTTACTGGGAGGCAGGAGTCTGATCCCATTAAGGAAGGTATTTTATCTTTGGGCTTCAGGAACAGAGAATCAGAGTCATCATAATCCTTGATTCATAAAACACTATTATTATTGGTTCATGGAAGACCTTCTTTCCTTCCTTCACACACACACACACACACACACACACACACACACACACACACGCACGCGCACGCGCGCACACACATTATCTCTCTCTCCCCCCCACCCCCCTCTCCACTCTGTCTCTCAAAACCACTTCCCAGCACAAAAACTAGAGCACTGACAACAATGTCCATCTACTAATGTGTTTGTTCCCAGTCTTGTCCCCTTGCTTTCCCCAACCCATAGTGACCATGACCATAAATTCCATCTTTCTTTCCTTTTTCTGTAGTTTTACATCTATATATGTTCCCCCAAAGTTTTATTTTGCTTTTAGTTGTTTAAAGAATTATAAAAAATACTGTATGTAATCTTTTGCAATTTACTTTTTTCATTCAAAAATCATATTGCTAAGAGTTTTATTGTGTTGTATAGCTCAAATGCATTCATTTTGACTGCTATATAATACTCCATAAATAAATTATAATTTATTTGTCCACATCTCTGGCCATTTTTCGTTCCTTCCTGTAGCACAAAGTTCTAGGGTCTGTCATATGGGGGCATGTGGGAGTAGTTTTTATCTTGAATAGCCTGATGTTTCCGTCATAGGTACAATGTCGTTTTCAAGTACCTACTGAGTGTGCGCCGGGTGCAAGCCGAGCTGCAGCACTGCTGGGCCCTACAGATGCAGCGCAAGCACCTCAAGTCCAACCAGACTGATGCAGTCAAGTGGCGTCTAAGAAATCATATGGCGTTCTTGGTGGATAATCTTCAGTACTATCTCCAGGTCTGTGCCAAGGGATGGGTAGAAAGTAGGGGTATAAAAAAGTCTAGGAGGTTGGCAGACAGATATCGAAGGCAAACTACAGTTCTTTCTGGCAAAACACTAAATTCAGGAGTTTTGTCACGAGGCATGTTTCTTAAGGGCGTGTTAGAGAAAAATGGAAATAAATGGATGAAGGGGAATATGGGGTTAGGATCCTTATCAGGAATCCATTGTTTATTGTTCACTTGCCCCTGGTTTTTATTGTTTGTTATAATGTCTGGAATCCTATAGGACTTAACCAGGTCAGTCAGTGGAGGGACATAGCATGAAAGGATTAGGTTCAGATAAGGGAGAGTGGTTTGCCAAGACACTGGAGGTGAGGTGGTTAAGAATTAGGCAAATTATTCCTACAAAGCTGGGCAATATAAGGGTGTCTTTGGACAGCCTTAAAGTGGGTTGGTTAGAAAGAAGATAAGCAAAGAATTTCTATTTCATCCTATCAGGCATCTTAATGTCTTTGAATGCTTAGAACATGCAAGATGCTAAAACTGTTTGTGTAACTGTCTATCAGGTAGATGTACTAGAGTCTCAGTTCTCACAGCTGCTTCATCAAATCAATTCTACCCGAGACTTTGAAAGCATCCGGTTGGCTCATGACCACTTCCTGAGCAATTTGCTGGCTCAGTCCTTTATCTTGTTGAAACCTGTAAGTAGAGCTGGTTGATTCCTTCATTGTTTCTAGCACAGACTGTTCCCCTTAGGCATTATGAGTTGACAGGATATGAAACTATCATTAAGCAATTATTCAACTCCATTTTTTAAACGTTTTTTAACAACTTACAAAGCAAAACTAAAAGGGAATGTTAAAAGGGAACTGAAATATCTTTGAATGTCTGAAATATTACACCATAAGATGTGTTAATAAACTATAATTTATTATAGTAGCTATAAGATTATGGTAGCTATAGCTATGAATAGCTGTAGATTAAAGAATTATGTGCTTAACCTCAGAAGGAAGAATTTAAAGAAATTCAAAAACCTTTCTGACATTATAGGAAAAAACAAAGAAAAGCATAGAGAGTTCACTTTCTTAGAACTCTTTTGGACCAGGATTGAGCAGCCATTTGAAAGTTGTTTTCAAAGACAGCCAGAGTAGTGTCTCTCTCTATATGTAAGTAGGTATATCTGCAAATACATATATATCTCCTTTATGGCAATTATTCTCAACCTTGGCTGCACTGGAATCATCTGGGACCTTTAAAAAAATCTAGGCCCCAGAACATTTAAATTAGAATCTCTGGAATGGGACCCAGGCACCGGTATTTTTTAAAACTCAGAAGCTGCCTCTAATTCCAGGATGAAAGCAGGAAGATTAAAGTGATCACTTGTGATTTCTAATGTAATGGTTGTATTTTAGCTCTGACATGAGCTAGCCATTACTCCTCATTACCACAAGTTCTACAGGCTTCTTTTTGGTTCTGTTATGTGGGGCTATTCTGTTATGTGGGGTTATTTTTGCTGCACTAAGAAAGAGTGAGTTGTTATGATTGCCACTCCAAAGGGTTCTGTGAATTGAAAACAACAAAGAACCACTGTGACAGGTAGACAGTGTCCTGTATGGCATGGGTACATCCTTGGGGAAAAGCAGAATATCAGAGTAAGTCATCATCACTAAATATTTATTGTGTGCTTACTGTATGCAAGGCATGGGAAATACAAAGAGGTATAAGTCATGGCTCTGCCCTTAAGGAGCTCACAATCTAGCTGGAGAAACAAAACATACACACATACAAAGATCATTATCAACCCAGGTGGCTTGAATAATTGCCAAGTAAACATAGGATAATGTAGAAGTGGGGGCTCACTGAAGGCTACAGTGGGAAGGGAGCACTGCACTGGGAGAGTGGAACCTGAAGGCATTAGAAGATTATCTCAGGCACAGGGAACAACACTTACAGCTCAGAGATAGGAACACACTTTGGGTCTAAGAAATGACTAGTTTAATGTGGCTAGAGAAAGGTTTTGTATAATGGTAACTAAGAGAATAATAGCATCTTTGCCAGGAATGGATGAGTTTGTTTTACATGTGTTGCATTTGTGCTCGCAAGCCTTGCAAGTGGCAGTGCGTGTCTTTGCTGAGGTCAGATTGGGATGTCAGCTATTAGACTATTTTCCCAGATCTTTAATTTCACAGATGTATTTCTTTTCATAATGGTAACTCTGTTTCCCGGATAGGTGTTTCACTGCCTGAATGAAATCCTAGATCTCTGTCACAGTTTTTGCTCGCTGGTCAGTCAGAACCTGGGCCCCCTGGATGAGCGAGGAGCTGCTCAGCTGAGCATTCTTGTGAAGGTGAGTCTGCCTGGCTGTTGGAAGTATGCAGCTTTGTCCAAAGGATAGAGGTGGTTTTGCCAATGGAGAATTCATGATCTTCCCTCTCAGTCAATAAAGCATTTCCTCAAGACATGTACACAGAAATAACAAGATACAGAGATATGCTGGTATCTGTTGACTTTGAAGAATATGCCACCTCACAGTGTTCAAAAATAGGTCAGCCTGAATACTTTCAGCCAACCAAACATGCATTGGCTTTGTTCTCACTTTCTCACATCCTACCCATCCTTATTTCCTTGAACTAACCCCCTATCTCACTGAAATTATAATTATCTGCCTCTAACAAAACAGGCTCTCCCCAACCCCCATACATGACAGAATACATTAATTGGATACCAGCTGCCAAATTCCTATTGATGAAAGAGTCCATGCATTTTGTGGAGTTGGGAAGTCAAGTTATTTTAGGAGCTAATAGAAATGGGGATGTGGGAAGGCCAGTTAGTTCTGTGTATAATTTTGAGCAAGGCTTTTCCAAGTAACTTTCTCCCAGTGCCCCCCACCCCATCCTCCACATGGAGAGTTGGTGAGTGTAAGAGGAATGACAACTGAGTCCTTCTCTCTGCAGGGCTTTAGCCGCCAGTCATCACTCCTATTCAAGATTCTCTCCAGTGTTCGGAATCATCAGATCAACTCAGATTTGGCTCAACTACTGTTACGACTAGATTATAACAAATACTACACCCAGGCTGGTGGAACTCTGGGCAGGTAGGAACAACCGTTGGGGAACTTAGTAGACTTTTCTTTTTTCAGTGACTTTTTAATGAGTTGTAGAATTCCAGAGCTGGAAGGAGACTTTAGCCATCATCTAGTCCAAACACCCTCATTTTATAAACAAGGGTCAGAGAAACAAGGGGTGTGTCTGTCCATCTTTAAAAATTTTAATGAAGATTATTTTCCACTAAAAATCATCATGATGGTAAAATACTAAAACAACTGACAGTGAGATAGGCGTTAAGTCTTGCTGGGTTATATGTATTGCTATAAGTGGCTTCCAGTCCCAATTCTGACTTGAAGTAGCTGTGCAGCCTTAGGCACCTGGCCTTGCCCCCAGCTTTTGCATCTATAAAAGGAGGGGATGCCTCTTCTAATGCTAAACCTTTATTTACATCTAATAGTGAGATTCAGTGGTAGCTGGCTTCTCAGAACTATGTGTCATTCCCACTCAAAAATCACTTTATTGTTCTCCCTTCTCTATCTAAAATATCCTCAAGCAGATTTTTTTCTAAGTGATTTTAGTAGAAGAGTCAAAGAAAAGAAACTGATGACGGTATCTAGATCACAGGTTGCCCTGAAGCATATTTCTTTGAAGACAATCTTGGGAAAGCATGATATTTAATGAGGTTCTTTTTTCTCTTTTGTAGTTTCGGGATGTGAGAATTTCTGACTCATAAACTGAAATAAGTCAATACCACCACATTCCCAAGTCCGTATGAGAAGATTCAAAACAAATATCCCATTCTCTAGCCACGTGCCAAACGTCTACAGCCTAGTGACAGGGCGCTACCTTTTCTCCTAGAAGCAATTACTGAATATCCAGGGGTATAAATCCTTCCTGTCATTCTCACATGGAAGGAGTCTGTCTGGAAGGTTCTTAACTCACCCATCAGGGCGAATGTGTGGCAGCTATTCCTATGCTGACCATGCAAGGACTCTGATCCTTTACATGGAGAACACCTGTTGGATATGTTCATTTATTCAACATTTACTGAGCACCTGCTATGTGCCCAGGTACTGTTCAAGTTGTGTGGGGGGTACAGCAATAAACAATATAGATCAGAAAGTTAAATATTTTGGGTTCATATGTGAAAAAGGAATTATGTTTATAAATAGGCCAGCTGCTAGATGTTACCACTAACTGAGAAAGGAACAGGTGTAATATAGACTTTCCTTCTCTCTACACCAAGTAATCTATACCTACACTAATTATCTTTCCTCACTCAGAAATTTAAGATTTCTGAAGAATTTTGCCAATAACTTCTAATTATTTAAGTCTGGTAAAAGGGAAATTCTAACTAATGAAAAAATACATTAAAATCATTAATGTATATCTTTCCTCCCCAAAGAAAAAAGGTCCTTAAGAAAAAACTGAGGTCAAATTATTAGATTTTAAATACTGAAAATTGCAGGACTAATTATCCCATTTTAGATAAACCACAGGAGTTAAGGTTCTCCTAATATGGCCCAGCCATCACTGGTAATCATTAATGTTCACATCAATGTGAACCAAAATAAATATTCATTGAATAGCCCCCTATAAACTGAAAAAGATGCAGTGTTCCGGTCTTGGCTTATAGTGACTGAATCTGATCTTTACATCCTCTACTACACACTACAACACCCTTATTCCCTGCTATTGTCAACCAAAGATGACCCATTCCCTCTGCTGCCTCTAGAGCAGGCATTGGCAAACTGGCTTGTTTTTGTCAATACAGTTATACTGGAACACAGCCACGCCCATTCATTTACCCATTGTCTTTGGTTGCTTTTTCATGCTCTCACAGCAAAGGTAAGTAGTTGTGACAAGACCAAATGGCCCACAAAGTCTAAAATATTTACTGTTTGGCTCTTTACAGAAGAAATTTGTTGACCCCTGCTTTAAAGAATGAGAGGACATTAACAGGGATAATATTATGGGTAGGGAAGGAATAGCTTCCAGCTATTGTGACAATAAAATATTGGACCTCTGACTAGAGCCTTTAACATTTCCAAGTGTTCTCACTTGTGCCTCTCATGTTTGTCTTACAGAAAGTCGTCCCATCAAGCTTATGGTCACTGTCCATTCATAGCAATTGGTCCTTTTCCATTTTAGCTCAGAATGGGTGAATATCCACAGGGCAGCTGTTAGTGAGCTTAGCTCTAAAGAGAGCAAGAGACATCTTTTTATAACTGTCAGGAAACGTAGAGCTGTGCCCAGTTCCACTTAACTTTTGGCACAACTATTAATCTGGGCCCTCACCTACTTTAAAATTGAGTTTTTGGAAGCATAGCATTTTAGACAGCCTGGCACAACCTTTGACAATGATGCCAAAGAATAAAGTTTCCACTAACTTTTTATTTTCCTTGGCTAGTTGTCCTCCTAAAGTGAACAAGCCTATTGAAAGCCTCAGAGAAGGTTGTTTGCCTTGTCATTTGTTCTGAGATTAAGTACAAAGAAACAGATGAAGAAATCTCAGTTACTACAACCAAAGAGATTCAACATTTATTTTATCATAAAAGTCCAGCAAATAAAACTATATACAAGATCCATGCAAGGAATCCAATTACACACAAGACACATTTAAAACCTGGTTAAAACACAATCTCCACAATAGCAGTGAATAAAACTGGTAAGACCAAGTATCTTTAGTGAGAAACATAATCATGTTTATATTTTGGATGTTGTTTGAATCCAATTCTTTCCCCAACAATGAGGCACTGGATCACCCACTCTTGTGACACCACAGGCAACTGCAGTGCTTCAGCACACTTCAGCACTGAGGCTGGGCACGAGGGGTCCGTCACCACCACGTCAAATACACCTAAAGCAATATCTGTAAGGAGCAGGAGAAAGTGAAAGGAAAAGGACACTCAAATTAGCCCTCTGTTAGAAAGATATGTCTTTTAGCCAATACATCCACGGTGCCCAAACATATAACCCTGATATGTCAAACACAGGACTACAGATCATGACCAAAAGTAAAAAGTTATAATCACCATATGCTGACCTTGTAGAAATGTTTAACAGATATGCCACAGGAAATACTATACCTCAGTAGAGGCATAGACAGCCCAATGCTTTACTTACATTGACTCACCTCTTGAAGGTAGTACTTTTCTTCTCTTAGAAACATGGATATGGTCAACTTATCCGGACTGAGACTTGGACCACAAGGCCTAACAGCTATGGGTCCTTGAAACAATGACAACACACACACTCTTTCTAGGTACCTTTGTTATGGGCACTTGAATGGTGCTGCTTCACGGAGGCTGCCCCTCCAGTCATGAGGATTTCAGACCAGAGCTCTAGGAAGTTCTGCTGTTGGTCTGATACTAAGAGTACCTTCAGATTCTGGAAGGGGTTTTCACGAGGTTGCCTATAAAAGAGAGACACAGCCGTTTGGAATTGAAAGAGACCTTAGGCCGGGCGTGGTGGCTCACGCCTGTAATCCTAGCACTTTGGGAGGCTGAGGCGGGCGGATTGCTCAAGGTCAGGAGTTCGAAACCAGCCTGAGCGAGACCCCGTCTCTACCAAAAATGGAAATAAATTAATTGACCAACTAAAAATATATATATACAAAAAATTAGCCGGGCATGGTGGTGGATGCCTGTAGTCCCAGCTACTCGGGAGGCTGAGGCAGTAGGATCGCTGAGCCCTGGAGATTGAGGTTGCTGTGAGCCAGGCTGACGCCACGGCACTCACTCTAGCCTGGGCAACAAAGTGAGACTCTGTCTCAAAAAATAAAAAAATAAATAATAAAAAAAAAGAAAGAGACCTTAGCATGACAAATAATATCCAAAAAATAGCCCTTCTGCAAAGGGACTCATGCACATTTGAATGCTTTCAAAACCTAGACCTGTATCAGGGTCACCCTCTTGCTGTGAATCTGTATTCTCTGGAATCCTGGCTTTCTGATCCTACCCTTCTGATTTCCTTGTTTGTCCCAGATTTGGAAATAATCCAAATCCTGTTCCTGAGTCTATATTTTTTAAATGGCTTTCTTAAAACTTAGTTCCCTAACCTTACAGGTTAAGCATATTGATCCTACATACAAATCCTCACACATTTTCAAAAAAGTTCCTAGGCAACAGAGCCTGTGGAAATAAATTATATGAACTACTGAAATAATTTCAAACCCAAATTCTTATAATTTATCCTACAGACATTCCAGTTTCTAGAAATATTTATTTACTCTCTCACCTGGATTTTCCTTCCTTCAAAAGCTTGCTATCTTTCCTGTCTATATAGTTCTAGATGGCTTCTCAAATACTCACCAGTCCAGAATTCTTTGTTCCTCAAGGCTGTACCCAGCTGGCAACAGATAATTACGGTAGTTCTGGAGCTGGTTGGCATGGCAACTATCATGAACCCAGACATGAGAAACACAAGGAATCCCACTGGCAAGGCACAGGAAATACTTCCGGGTTCGACAATGCTGATCCGCAATTAGGAGACATTGGTAGGCCGTGTTACACTAGAAGAAAAGTAACAGAGCCAAATGGGTAACTTGTGGCAAGCTCCTGAATAACAACCCTAATGAGCCATGAAGAACAAATCTGAAGATTTCCAAATACTATCCCAAATGTGATTTAGTATGTCCATCTGCCAAAGGCCATTTTTCTCATTAAAAGGCCCAACTCCATCGATGTTCTCCCTGCCTCACCTGCAACTTTCTGAGAGTGTAAATCCTTAAAGGACAACTAAACATAGGTATGTACAGCCTTTTAGGCCTAGAATCAAAAAACTAATAGGGATTTCTACTAAACATAAATTTCAATCTGCTTTTGTCTCAACAACAAAACCACAGCCAATAACTAACTTAAGGTTCTAACCTGTCTTCATTGTACACAATAAAAATTCTATTTTATGTAACAACATTTTGGCAGTTTCCCAGTTCCTGAAATCTTTGGCCACTTTATCCAATCCCCCCAAACCCTTTCGGGCCTCTTATACAGCCTGTGGGCTTATATCATTGCCACTCTGAGAAACTACACAAACTCCTCACCTGGGCTTCATTGAAATCTTCGAGGATATAGCCAGCTCCTGCTCGAAGCTGGGATTCTGTGTACTGCTTGTTGAAAGGAGGAATTTCTAAAAATTCTATATAAAAAAAACATAACCAAGATCATCAATAATTACTGAGTGGTTTTCTTATTTGCTACTTTATGCCTGCTTCTTACCGCCCCTTTTTCTGCTCCCCAGCTATCTCCACAGCAGTGTGTCCCCAAAGACAGGTCAAGGGCTTCCCCATGGCTCAGAAAGAGATCTGTCTTGAGGCCTACAAAATGCTGCCAAAAGAAGGGACAAGAGTAGGAGGGACTGGGAAGATGAGGAATGGAGGTAGGTCCCAGACCTAAAAACATCAAAGTTCCTTTACTAAGACTGTGTCATGGGACTGTTCTTTGGCATGGACACGCAACTATTTCCCACAGTGACATATTCCAATTTGAATAACCCTTACCATCAGGAAGTTCTTATGTCTGTCCTAAATCTTTCCTGCTGCAAACTAAACCCATTTCCTCTAGTTCTGCCTTCTGTGGAGACGAAGAATAGCTGATGAGCACTTTTTATAATGAAGTCTTCAAATTCCTACTTCATTAGCCTTTTTACCCCCTTGTATACTAAAATTTTGATAAACCAGAATGCTCAAAGAAAGTATAGTTTTTAAAATTTTACTGATTAAGTGAAGATTAGGAAATCCTGTTTCAACCTTTTTATTGAAAACTATCTACCTTTGATGATCTTGAAGTACCTCAGGACACTGAACATCAATGACTGCTCTATAGTCTTGAGGGTGAAGTAGAAGATATGAGAGATGAGGCTGAAGCTGTAATGACCCTAGGCAATTAGAAATTGCTTCTTTTGACCAAATATCTAATTTGAGCTTGTTTTCTTGTCATCTGCTCCTCTCATATATAAATAACACATTAAAAAAAGAAAAGAAAAGACATTAGAGATTTTAGTTAATTAGGAGTTCTGGGAAATTAAGTTCTAAGTAACTAAAATTTATATCACAAATAAAAAAACTCAACCCAATGCATAAGGTTCAACGCGAGGACCACTTCCCTTCCCCATCATACCCAGTGGTAAGACTTGTGGAACAGACCCCTTGCAGAGATAGCTTCCTTTTGGTGCCCTCCCTGCCTGTTGGAGCAGCTCAGGAGGTATGCTGATGCCCCATGCCAGCACTCTACCTCTTGATTTGGTTCTGATTAGCCAGCCTATTCACTTTTATTGTTCTTTTCCTGATTCAACGTTCTCTTCTCAAAATGAAAACCTAAACTAGAAACTCAAAATGGTTCTAAGAAACTCAGAATATAGTAGGGCTATTTCTCAGCTTGGTCCCAGCATCCTTCTGCTATCTCAACAGGTCACATCACAATCTTCAGCACCAAGACTCTACTGCTGAGTCTCTGCTGTCACCCTTCATAGTCCTTTATTTTATGTCTGCTTAATCCAGGACTGACCTGTTTATTAGATTTTAATCCCCAATTATATTTCTTTGCATTTGTGTAATCGAGTATTACCCTGTCTAGGCAGTCCATTTCTCTAATTTTCCTCAATGAGTTTGGATTCAGTTTTCTTTAACTTTTGAGGTGTGAGTGCCCTGCCCAACCAGAGGTGAAAATGAACAGGTTGTTAATTTTACCATCTAAATCAAGTATGAAGGTATGTACTAACTAAACCCTATGTCAATCCTTGTGTCTGAGGGGTCCCTGATTGTGTGCTACCTAAAAAGACTGAGTTCCATATTCTCAACTCATTAATAAATGTCTCATAACATGGATTTAAATATTTTACTGACTTATAAGCTAGCATCTAAGAATTCCCATTTATCTATAACACCTATTCCATAGCTTCTTGAAAACTAATTCTGCAAAGAACTGTTTTAGTACAGATGTCTTCAGCCTTCTTGAAACTGAGAAACTTCTTTCATATTCCAAAAATACAAAGGATTCTAATGCTGTTGGGGCAGGAGTCCAGGGATGAAGGAGCCAACATAGAACAGACACATTCACCATAACCATACTTTCTATTGGAAACCTAGAGATCCTTTTAAAAACACTGTCCAAATGCCTCCTCATTTAATTTGTATGAGTCTATTAGCTCCCACACAGGCACAAAGATCTTTAAGGAATTGGACAGCCTGTATCTCACAGTAGTCAGCTTTCTTGATTATGGCGTACCAAGCAACAAAGAGAATATCCGTAGAGTTCTGGTTTAGGGAGAGGCTAGGAATTTGTCGGAATAAAAACTAAGAACATTATTTTAATGCCATGTTGTATCTTTATGCAAAATCAATCCTGAAGGGACTCCCAATTATTTATGAGAAAAGTAAAACTAAATTCCTGTCTAGGAAACTCCTCACATAACCTTATTTATCTCCCATTGTACCTATATGAATTGTTTGACAAACTATGGAAAGCCTACCACACCACACCTGTTCCCACAGCCTGACTCCCAGTGCCAGAGCCTCTCAACTCATAACTTTATGTACCTTCCGACTAGTATGAACCTTAAAAGAAACTCCCTAGTCATCCTACCCATGTCCTTGCACATACCTCCATATAGCTGCAGCTGGTGAGATGCAGAGAAAGTCATCCACACACTTGAAATGCCAATCATCTTATGACAACCACATTCCCTAATTCAACTCCTTCATGGAAGACTCAATGTTAGGACTCTAACTTGTAAAACATTCCAACTGGATCTTTTAGCCTTGATAGACACATTTGGTTACTGTTGTTAGTCACTTATAGTGTATACCTTTGTATTTGCTCACTCTCCTAGATCATATACTTCTCAGACCTCTTTCTCCTTACTGCAGCCTTTACTCAAACACTGAGTAACAGACAACACAAAAATGCAACCTATAGATTTAGTTTGACAGGTACATGAGTTGAAAAGGCCAAGAAGCTGTCTCTCAAATTGCCCTGAGGCACTGGGCACCCCACATTCCCATCTGACACTCAAATGAACCTGCATGTGGGTATGCTTGAGCAGTTGTCCCTAGAACACAAATGGGGAAGATGGCAGGGCATTCAGAAAGGTAATTGACTTGGATAGTTGTAGTAGAGTCAAAGGAACACTGGGGCTCTAGTCCCCAGTTTGCCATTATTGTGGACAAAAAGCAATTATTAACCTCTCCAAGCTTGTTTCCTCATCTATAAAATGGATAAGATCTGTATCCTATCTCCCTCATAGTATTGTTCTGAGGAACCACTCACTGAGAGGAATTTTGTGAAAACAGTCTATAGACCAAAAAGTAGGGTACAGATTAATTTTCACTTCCCCAACCAAGATCCCAGTTGCCACTTGTCCTGCCTCCTCTACATATGGCAGGGAGACCACCAGCTCATAAGTGACTGGAAAGGAAGGAAGTGCACATGTCAGAGCCCCAAGGTTTTCCTAAGACCTTACCCTCCTCTTCTTCACTGCTTCCTGTAGGACCATCTGGTAGTTTGGAGCGGCTGGCTAACTTGTCACTGCTTGTGGCCATGGTGAGGAGAAAGGCATAGCCCAGAAACAGCGTCTTGTTGAGAGGCAAAGGCCCTCTCTGCTCTTCCAGGGCAGAGGGTTCACCTGTGTTGTCTCCACTCTCACAGGGGCTCACAAACTCTCCTGCCCCCACTGCACCTGGGAAGGATAGAGGTACAATGACTAGAGGGGGACAGACGACTGTCTAAGCAAAAGCCCCAGCACCAACAGGCTCTAGCACCAAGCATGACCTGATGGGTAGGCAATGTTCTGATAACTTTTCTGAGCTATGAACCAAAGACCATTCCTACAGCCAACATTCTAAATGGCCAACAACCTCGGCCCAACCAAATTTACAATGAGGAGAAATGTACATGTTTAAATTTTATACAGTCATGATAATGTATACAGTGCTTTTCATAATGAAAATCAACTTAAGTATTTTTTTTTATACAGCCACATGAAATACTTCTGAGGTTATCTTTTTTTAAATTTTTTTTTGAGACAGAGTCTCGCTTTGTTGCCCAGGCTAGAGTGAGTGCCGAGGCGTCAGCCTAGCTCACAGCAACCTCAAACTCCCGGACTCAAGCAATCCTCCTGCCTCAGCCTCCTGAGTAGCTGGGACTACAGGCATGCGCCACCATGACCGGCTAATTTTTTCTATATATTTTTAGTTGACCGAATTAATTTATTTCTTTTTATAGTAGAGATGGGGTCTCGCTCTTGCTTGCTCAGGCTAGTTTTGAACTCCTGACCTCAAGCAATCCGCCCACCTCGGCCTCCAAGATGAGGTTATCTTAAGAGGTAGTTCTAATAAACAAAGAGTAGGTAGGAGTGAAAAATGTTTGGAATTCTTCAGCCCACTTTTTTGCCCAGTGCTCTGATTTTCCCCCAGGGTATGTGATATTTTGAAGCAGCCTTTAAACAAACAAAAAAACACCTTGTTATTACCAAGAAATTTCACCAGCAGATCCTCCCACCCCATCTCTGACCTTCACCAGAATGGTGCAGACAATACTTGATAATAAAGTGTTTTTACACGTAGATGGAGCCACATCACAATAGCCTGCTGTAACTGTCCCAGTTTCCAACACCTAGGTAGGTAAGTGAACCAGCCAGCCCAGGACTCCCAGAACACCCATGCTAAGAGTGCCCCAATAAGTCCTCGAGAAGAAAATGAATACCTGACCTGGAGACGCTGAATCGTAGGTTCATTAGGAGGCTAAGATGACAGACAGGTCATGCATGCCTCCCTAAAATAAAACCAGCAGCAAGAGAACAGTCTCAGAGGCAAAATGATGTAATACGTACAAGGCTGGACCAGAAGTCGGATTTTGAGTCTGAATCCCAGTTTATTTTGTCACCTTGGGAAAGTTAGCCACCTTTTCTGTGCCTCAGATTCTTCAACTAGAAAATGAATTTTGGAACCTATATTTCATAGGGATTATATGTGAAATAATGTTTGTGAAGTATTTAGCTCCATGCCTCACACAGTAAACATTCAATGAAGATTAGTTGTTGTTTTTAAATACCCTGAAACACAGCAGCAGTACTGAGTAGATAAGGATATGACACAAATCAAATAAAAAGGAAAGAAAAGGAGCTCTGGTGCCAGAACAATGTATCCAATGGAATTCCATTAGTTCCATAGCCTGAGAAAGTTCCATCAAGGCAGAGACTGACTTTACCTCTCTATCTCCAGAACCGATGGCAACTGAGTCTGGGTCATAGTAGAGAGTCAATGAACAAAACGGACTGAACTCTTAATACTAAACATAAATAAAGGACTGGAAAGGGGTTGTCTGGGAGATTGTGAGAAAATGGTAGATGCACACTGAGATACAACCTTTCAGTAGGAAATCTGAGAAAGCCAGAGGGCCCCAAGTACAAGGTAGAGGGGAACAGTTTCCAGGAAGCAGAATATGGTGCAGGCAAAGGAAGAGATCTAAGAGAAACTTGACCTATTTAATATGCTTAAAATTCAATACTTATTTCCCTCCTAGATCTTACACAGGAGTCAAGAAATGTTTGTGATCAAGTCCTAGCTCTCCTATCTATCCCCACTAGACTCTGCTGAGAGGACTGGGAAGAAGGGATGCAGTAGGCTGTCTTTGAGTATCACCTATGGGCTTGAGTGGGACCCCAACTTGGTAGCCAGGACAGAGGGGCCATTGCTGCCATCTCTCTAGCAGGTCACCCTGCATTCTGCTGTGGTCTGAGGGAGATGAGGCAGAAGGGAGCACTCACCAGGTTTCACAGCCGCAGACTTGCGGCCTCGCTTGGCAGGGGACCTTTCCTCCTCCGAAGTGATAAGTTTTCTTTTGCCTGAAAGAACTCCCATGGAGGCACGAGGACTTTCTGTGATTTTACGGGTAGGGGTTGTGCTGCTGCTACTGGAGGCAGTGGGGGTGGCCGGGGAGCTGATGTTACTGCGCCGTTTCCGCTTCCCTTCCACCAAATTGTCTATAGTAGGATAAATCAAAAATTGGTCAAATCCGATGGTCTGAGGCTCTGAACTCTAAGAAGCTGAGCAGAGCCTGATTTAGATATCACAGTGCCCTTTCCCCTACTTCCAATGAGGACAAGTAGCTTCTTTAAAGGCCATATTTTCTCTTCTAGTCTTTGCCATGACTATAATGTATTTAGTCCCATATAGAACTGCAGAAGCCAGAAAACCCCTAAGGACTTTTTGTTTGGTACTATAAAGGAAACAGATAAGGCCGTAGCTCTAAAAAATGACAGCTCATAACCATCTGATACGCCACATATATAAATAATAAGAGTTAGGGAAACATTACTGATTGCTCCAGAAACCACTCCTCCCACTGCAGGCAAAACAGGAACCCAAAAGCAGTTCAAGAAGCAAAGGTCTTACCTAAGCTGATATCTGCTGCCTTTGTGAGGGGCGTTACTGCCTCATATGGGCCAAGCCCATACTGCTCTCTCAGTCTGTTTCCTTGCTCCAAGGATAGGATGACAGCCATTCGCTTATACCACTTCCTTTGACCTTCTTTTTCAATGCTATAGTATAGTTCTCCAGACTCCTTCCTATGCCCTTTCACCACTCCTGAGGGAGAAAAACATAAAAGCAGCTTACCTTTGTTTTAGGCTGCTTAACACCTTCTCACAAGGGCTCTGGAAAGCAGGCTTCACTAGGAGAATTTAGAGATCCAATAGTAGACTGAAGTTAGAACTTAAAATTCTAGCTAACAACACTTAGGATAGATGTAGCTACTACACTGGGAAGGTTTCTTGACACGAGGAGGCCTTCAGTTATGAAATAAAGCTTCCCAAAGACAGCCTTTATGTATTGGTGGTTCAGATGGTTCCTTTGAAGTGAAATGGCAGGTAATTTCTTAACAATTCCATTATAACCTACTAAACCTTTCCTTCTTGGTTCCTTTGGAAGCTGAGTGAAAAGTTTTGAGTAAGCTATAGGTGAAAAATAATATTCTAAGAGAGAGCATGCTATGTGTGTTTGTGTCTGTGTATGTAGCAAAATTAAAAAGAGAGATATTGCCAAGTGCAATGGTTCACCCCTGTAATCCCAACACTTTGAGGGGAGTTGAAGTGGGAGGACTGCTTGAGGCCAGGAGTTCCAGACCAGCCTGGGCAGCACAGCAAGTACTCATCTCTACAAAAAATTTAAAAATAGCCAGGCATGGTGGTGTGTGCCTGTAGTCCTAGCTACACACACTATACGGATATAAACACATAGCCCCACATATATAATATAAAAATAAGGCATTACTATGAATACTCATTCATTCCTGTAAACAGAAGGATCCATTTCTCGTTCTCTCCCATTAGCCTGTGCTTCAGAGAAGAGCTAAAAGAAACCCAGAGCCTATCCCACCCAAGCAAAAGAATATAGAGGCAAAAGCAAGCCTTGGTTCTATCCTTATCTATGCCATAGAATAACTCTTTGCCCTTGCTTGTTCATCTCCTAGCTTAAATCTCTATTACCAAACTAAATCACAAAGACAACCTCAAAAGCACAAAGACCCAAGGCCAACAATGCACTTAACAATAACAAAGAGCTACTAGAACTAGAAGCAGTCTAGCATTGACATTAGTACATAGCCTCAATAAATTGGATACAGAATCCCTACCCCTTGATGCCATGATTCACTCTAGATACAGAATTGACTATCTTTGTCTTAAAAGGGCCAAATGTGGACCTCCAAGAGTGGCTTTACACCTGAAAGAATGAATGCATTTGACACACACAAACTATGAGTCACAAGTCATAAAAGACCCAATCCATGTGCTACTCCTAACCAATGCCATATATAGCTAATGATGTTATCCAGAACTAGAAGGTAAAGTGGCCCATTTAACACTGAAACAAAGGGGCAAACAGCAACTACTCAGAGAATTCCAAATACAAGACAGCCTGGAGAGACTTTAATAGAAAGGCACTTTGCCAACTGTATCCCAATCCATGTTCAAAAACATCCCCAGAAAGGATGTTTTTAAATGACAAATCACACAAATAGGTATCTTCAAATTAGTTCATTGAGAGGAAACAAGATATTCAAAGAACTAGCACATGAAACAGTAATGACAAACACAAATCTCTCACCATCACCAGTACCGGCTACATCAAAAATAAAAAAGGTACCATTCTTCAAATCAGAAAATAAGTGGTGGATATGCAGGCATACAAACACAGCACTAACAATTTCTTCCTAAGTAAAAATATCTCAATATATCTGCCATACTCACCTACTGGGTTCCAAGAAAGGAGGTAGTTACATTTAAAAGCCAATGGTGAAAGAAGAGTATGGAAATGAAAAACCACTAACTTGAAAGTGGAGAAAGCTGGAAAATATAACCTTAACCAGTGATGAAGATTAACATCACCAGTGATGTCATGTGGACATTACCATACCTCCACCCACCCTTATATGATGAGAAAGGCAATTCACCTCTGTGGCATCCTTTTAAAAAAATTCTTAACTCCAGTCTAACATTAGACAAACTCAAATTGAAGGACAGTCTACAAAATACCTGACCAGTACTCTTCAAAATTGTCAGGTCATGAAAAACAAAAGACTGAGGAATTGCCACAAATCAGAGAAGACCAAAGGACACATGATGAGTAAATGCAATGTGGTTTCCTGGATTGGATCCTGGAACAGAAAAAGGACATTATGGAAAAGCTGGTGAAATCAAAATAAAGACTGGAGTTTTGTTAATAGCAATGAACCAAGGTTATTTTTTTTAGTTTTGACAAATGTACCATGCTAATATAAAATGTCAACAATAGGGAGGGTGGTGAAGGGAATATGGGAACTCCATGTACAAGCAACACTCTGTACTTGGCAAATTTTCTGAATCTAAAATTATTCCAAAATAAGTTTATTCAAAAACGAACAAATAAAAAGCCAGTGGCGGGGGGAGGGGGGGTCATGGGCAATATACATAACCTTAACATTTGTACCCTCATAATATGCTGAAATAAAAAAAAGAGAGAGAGAAAAAGCCAGTGGCAAGAGAAACCAGTATTGCAGGAATGGAATTTCTGACTTTAGAAGCCTCAGAAAAGTAACTGGGCTTAAGTGAATGTCTTGGTAATTATTGACATAATAAGAGTATTGCCCCAGGACACAGAAATCTCTATAGACTCTGCTTCTTTTATTACCTGCACTGAAATACTCATCCTCCGAGAGGGCCGTCACTTCAGTATCCAGCGGGATGGGGTCACACAAAAGAATGTCTTTGCCCAACACATCACACTCGTACCCATCATCAAAGAGCAATTTATACTTCCCAGCTCCAACATCTCGTGTGATTTTCCCAGAGTAAAAATAGCCATTCGATGACCACTTGGCTACAACCCGGAGCCCTACAAAGCTGTTCCCTGGAGAGGAGGCATCTAGGCCATCAGAGGGGCCAGCAGAAGCCTGGAAAGGAATTTCTGGAGAGTCACTACGACGTAAAGCACCAGCACCCACGTCTGCTCGTTTGGTGGAGTCTGGCATTCGGGGCACGATACGGGTGAAGGATTTATCATCTGGTGACACACTAGGTGAAATGTCCTCTATGCCCAAGGGGCCAGGCACTGCTGTTTCTCTAAAGAGAGATAAGAGATAGGAGAAGGCAGTGAGAATAAGAAGGTAGAAGTACATATCTACCAACTTCCCCACTCCTTTGTCCATGGGTCTCTTTAGCCCTTTTATAACCCCATCACAGGCACGAGCCCGGTCTCTCAGTGGCCTCACTCTGATCCCTGCCCACTCCCCAGTCAGTGTGGGCCCCTCTTCTCCCTCCTGACACCCCACATACTCTCTACTCCCCTCTCTTCTCTCTAGTCCCTTTTTTTTCCTGAACAACAGTCTAAGTATATCTCACACTACCCGGGTACCTGGTTCCAGTGGTCCGAGAAGGCGGGCGGCCCCTTCGCCCGCGCCCACGAGGTGTGACTGGAGCCTTCCCTCCCTGTCTGATGCCAAGGCCTGCATCACCATCCTCCTCACACACTGGCGCCCCTGTCTGACTGACCCCTTTTCTAGGACTAGAGAATGAAGATAGGTTAGTCTGATAGCACCTGCTACTGAATCCTTTCTTCACAATCTCCCCTTGGCCCTCAGACTACAAGCCAGACCTGCATGTGCTGGGCTTCCAGGGCAGTAGGAAGCTGGTTCACACACCCACCACCACCACCAAATTCTCAACCAGGGAGTGGGGAGTGTGGGATAATATATAAAGGACATCCTCCTCTGTGTAAGTCTATTCCCTCCTGACAAAGCTTCCTACTGCTGCCCTCAAAAACAGCACACCCATTTCTGCCCTGCCTTCTCTACTTCAGGCTCTGGACATCTGCAAAGGATAACAAAAAGCTAGGGGATACATCAAATTGGGTGTACCACCCCAAACTTCCTGTATTCCCAACTAAAAACATGTGTAGGATGCAGAATATAGGGGTGGTAGGAGCACATGCCCAGCATTCCCAAAGTCCCCTCACCTATTTTTCTACATTTTCTCAGGGGCTTGTCAACAAAGTCTACCTCCCACAGGCCTCTACCCTACTTCCCATGTGAACCTAATACAGAAGAGGAACAAATGGGGATGAAGAGGAGTTGATTTATCCTAGATCAAGGATGGGGAATTTCCCATTACTCCCCTTTTCCTGTGATATTAAATGTCAGCAACCCTGCCCCTGCTGTGGCTCTCTCTCTGGAGACCCTGTCTGCACCTCAGTTTTCCTGGGCCTCCTCGGGAGCTGGGTAAGGCAAAATCTGCGGGTTCTGTCCCGCTGGTTTTCCCTTTGAGTGGTCCGGCTCCTCTCCCTGAGCTGCCACTGCTGTGCATGGCTGACAGACTGGTCCCACTTGACGTGCGGTGTAAGCTTGATGCCTTGGAGGAGAAGGAGCTGATATCCCCCAGGTCACCTGAGGAGCCCCCAGTCTGCGAAGGAGAAACTTCAGTTTCACACTCCTGACACTCTACAATTGGCTCTTCAGTCTCCTGCAAGGAAGAAATGGAGACAAAAGCTAAAAGAAGCCGCAATAATACCATGCTAATGTGAACCTTGGAAAATCCCAGAGACAGCAAGACATTTCAATTCAGAAAGGTAGTAATCAGGGGGAAACGTTTTGGAAAAATAGAAATGTTCTATTTGTTTTGAGAAATAGTTAAATAAAATTGTCAAAAGCCACTAGACTGAACATTTAAGATCTGTTCATTCTATTGGGAATATAGTATATCTTGATAAAAAATAAAGATGGTACTAAACCAAAAAGAAAGAGACCACTATACTGAGGTAAGCTAAATTATCTTTTTATTGGACAACAGTCTAAGTATATCTCACACTACCCGGGTTTTGTCTGAAAGAAGATAGGTAAGGAGGTAGGTAGGTGAAAGGAGAAAATAAGTGGTCAAGCGCCCTTCTAAGTACTTCATTAACAATGGACAGCATGACATGTTTAAGGACATTAGTTATTTTAGATACCTTTTCGTAAGTGATTGAGGAAATAGTAAAATATAGGCAAAAATAGGCTAAAAGTGATATTACCATTTGGAAAAATGAAGACAAGAACAAAAAGGTTATCATCAAAGTATATATGAGTTTCCAGTATCTACTGACCACAGGAAGGTCAAACTGGCTTTATCTCACATGCCCACTCTGATGGATTGGTAGTGGTTGCCTAGAGTTCAGTTTTAAAAAGACTTCTGAGGCTAAATCCCAGGTTTAGAAGGGAAAAGTTCTAGGACTAGTCAGCAAAGTTCTCTATGTGCACAGTTTAGAAAATTATAGCATGGGTGCTACACATTTGCTTTCCTAGTCTAGAATGTTCATGCAATATTATACAAATTGTCAGAGAGGATATGGAAAAGTATAGATAGATTCTTCTCTTAAAGAGTTTGCAATCTCTCTGGGGAGACAGTATGCAATGCACACACATACATATACATTTAGATAATACTATAAAATGATTAAATAATTATTTTGTACCTCTCCCCTTCTTGAAAATCTGTCTTCCTTTAAAATCCATAAAATCACTTTATCTTCCTTTCACTCTCCCTCTTTGGCTACTCATATTTATGTTTCTTTTCGAGTTCTTTTACTGCCTGTACCTTTAAAATTGGTATTTCCCAGGACTCTGTTCTCATTTCTTTTCTCACTCTTACATGCTCTCCCTGGCTAGTCTCACCACACTCATTCCTGCCTCTCTATCACCAATATAATGGTGACTCAGCTCCAAACTTACAGATGCCAATTCCTGCTAAACTCTTTCCCTTGGATGTACCACAGACACCTGAACTCAACACATCCAAAACTCAATCCATGATCCTCTTTCCCTTTGTCTGCCTTCAATGAATGAATCCTGGATATCTCTAATGCATTTCACATCCCCTACAGCTCTAACAGAGACTAGTTTCTTTCAACCAAACCCCCATTCAAGAGTTTTGAGATAACAGACCTCCTTGTTCCTTGTTGGCCATTTACAGACCATTTCTATCTCCCCACATCTGGCTCCTACCAAACCAACATTTTCCTTTCCCCTTCCCTTGTTGTTATCCACCAACATCCTCCTAGTCACTCTCTCTGAGGCATGAAGACCTTAGCTCTTGGTTCACAGCCACCTTAACCTCCCCATCCCTGTTTCTGTCATCATTCTCAGTGACTTATCTTAACTTACTATGCCTCTGTTTCCACATCTGCAAAATAGGAATAACTAGATCTACCTCATACCATAGTTGTGAGGATTAAATAAATTAATTTATTAAAGTCCTTAGAATAATGCCTGGCACATAGTAACCACTCAATAAATGTTAGTCACTATTACTATTTTATATTATTATGGTAGCATTTCCCAAACTATGTTCCATAGGGTATAATAGGTATTACTTTTAAAAATGTTCAATGGTCAAATAAGTTTGGGAAGTGCTACGTTAAACAGAATAAAATAGGTATCTTTACTAAAGGACTTCTCAGAATCTTTAATATGGTAATACGTGAATTTCCATGGTGGGGGGCATGAGGGTTAACAGTATATTGCTATGGTTTGTCCCCTCCAATCATGTTGAAACTTAATCTCCAATGTAACAGTAGTAAGAGGCAGGACGTTTTACAGGTGGGTTGAGTCACATGAATGGATTAATCCATTGGTGGATTAATAAATTGATGGAATAATGGGTTATCACAGGAGTACAGTTGTCATCACCAGAGTGCATCTGTTATAAAAGCCAGTTTGGTTCTCTCACAAGCCCCCTTGCCATGTGATATCCTGTACTGCCTTGGGACTCTGTAGAGAGTCCCACAAGCAAGAAGGCCTTCACTAGATGCAGCCCCTTAACTTTGGGCTTCTAAGCTTCCAGAACTGTTTAAGAAATAAATTTCTTAGGCCAGGTACAGTGGCTCACACCTGTAATCCTAGCACTCTGGGAGGCCAAGGCAGGAGGATCATTTGAGCCCAGGAGTTTAAGGTTGCTATGAGTTAGCCTGAGGCCACGGCACTCTAGTCCAGACAAAGCCAGACTCTTGTCTCAATAAATAAATAAAATTTTTAAAAAGAGAAATTTCATTTCTTTACAAATTACCCAGTCTCAGGTATTCAGTTATAGCAACAGAAAATGGACTATGATACAGCATTTGGTGTTTCTCAAACTTACTTATAACCACAGAACTCCCCCCAACCTAAGACTATCTAACAGGCTTGCTGTTTCTAGAAATATACTTTAGAAAGCACCATAAAATGAAGTAATATGTTTAATACTCTTTTTTTTTCTGTTTTGAGACAAAGTCTCACTCTTTTGCCCGGGCTAGAGTGCCGTGGCGTCAGCCTAGCTCACAGCAACCTCAAAAACTCCTAGGCTCAAGCAATCTTTCTGCCTCAGCCTCCTGAGTAGCTGGGACTACAGGCATGCGCCACCATGCCCAGCTAATTTTTTCTATATATTTTTAGTTGGCCAATTAATTTCTTTTTATTTTTAGTAGAGACAGGGTCTCGCTCTTGCTCAGGCTGGCCTCAAACTCCTGACCTTGAGCTATCCTCTTGCCTCAGCCTCCCAGAGTGCTAGGATTATATAGGCATGAGTCACCACACTCAGCCTATATATAATACTTAATATAGTGTATCTTGCACAAAGTTCAATGTGGACCACAACAGTTATAAAATTTTTTCATAAAGACAAATTGGTTTTCATAATTTTCCCAAAATAATAACATGAAAAAAATTCCACAAAAATGTTTTTAAAACATCAAAAAATTAAGATGAACCAGTATCTTAAAAGAAATATTTCTGGGATTTGGTATACAACAATTCAAGAAAGAAAAACAGTTTCTCAAACTAATGTCAAATGTTATCTGACATGAGGGCCACCGTGGCCCATTATTGGACAATAGCAGTAACGTGTTCCATTTAATATACCAGAGTTTAACTCTCCCTGAGACTTCCTACATGGTTAGCAGGCAGATTTAAAGGAAAGTGGGTGAAGGAAGAAAAAAAGGAGGAAGAAAATACCTGTGCCTCTTATGAATTAATAAAATGGTTTCCAGATCTTAATGTATGTACCAACAAAAGCCCCAGATTTTTTTTTTTTTTTTTTTTTGATAGAGTTTCTCAGAAGCTCATTTCTGCCTGTATGCCGTGGCGTCAGCCTAGCTCACAGCAACCTCAAACTCCTGGGCTCAAGCGATCCTCCTGCCTCAGCCTCCCAAGTAGCTGGGACTACAGGCATGTGCCACCATGCCCGGCTAATTTTTTGTATATATATTTTTAGTTGGTCAATTAATTTCTTTCTATTTTCAGTAGAGACGGGGTCTCGCTCAGGCTGGTTTCGAACTCCCAACCTCGAGCAATCCGCCCGCCTCGGCCTCCCAGAGTGCTAGGATTACAGGCGTGAGCCACCGCGCCCGGCCAGATTTTTAATACTGGAAAATCTGTCTAATCTCAGCCTGTATTCAATCTAAATGAAGTCAGCATATTATACTATCCAGTATAACAAACAATAAATAAATCTCAATACAATGCTGACATTGGAAATGAGTTTATAATGAATCCCACTAAAAAATAAAGGTGCATCTCTTACAAACAGGTCCATGACCACTCACATGGATGGAGACAAAGAAAGAACACAATGAGTAGACATGAAAATATGTGAGGAAACAATGAGAAAACATATGTAGCTAAACAGAGTTCTAAACTTCATTTGAGTTTCCAAAGATTTTTTTAAAATACATAAAATCTTTCTATTTATACATAAGAGAGATTTTACAGAGATTTATCAATCTGTTCTTTACAGAAAAAGAAAGCATGATGGGACTGGTTAAAAATAACTAACCAAATGTCAAACAGCAAGCCCATGGTTAGGGAAGACACAGAATGTAGTACTTCTAATTTCTAACCTAGTTCTTATATCTTTCCTACTAAAAAGATGAAAGAAAACAAAGTGTTAGTGGCTAGTTGCATGGGAAAGGGGGATGGGGTGGAAAGCCAAGATTATTTTTCTACAGAAAGAAACTTGCCATAGAGACCCAGAGTATATATTACCTCAGTTACTTTTCTTTCTACTTCTGTTCCATCCACATAATACACATCTGTGATGACACGGGTGACAAGTGTGCGTACTTCACGGATCGTTCTCATGTGACGATGTAAGACATGGCCATGTGGAGGCTGAGGCATATCAAACTCTTCTTCTCCCTATTACAGGAGATACAGAACACAAGCACAGGTCTCACTGCAAACTGTCAAAATCACAAATCAACTTCTTCATACATAATGAGCATTGTTTAGAGGTCCCATGAATCTAGTGTGATAGAATTTTCCAGCTATTTTGTTTTCTATTACAGATAACCAGGGATAGACCAGCTGTATAGTCAGAGGCTAAGAGGAATCTGTATAAGCATGACCTAAAATGACCTATTTCTGTCTAAATCAAAATCATAACATCCAGCACTTATACTTAAGGATATTTAGGTGAACCTCTGACACCTAAAAGTACATTATTTTAAAACTGTATTCCTTCTGAAATTGATGCTGACTTGTCAATTAGTAAATGAGTTTACACTCTGAACAACTCTTTAGGTAAAAAGAAGGCATTCTTTAGTCCTTTACACAAAACAAGAACAGTACATTCGTTAATATCAGTGCAGTCTGTTTACCTGCATCAGTAAGTGAAAACTAAAGTTTATTTATTCCTGGAACAAGGTACATTGATTTCTCCTAGAATTAATTGTAAAATATTTAATCTATTACAAAGAATAGATTTAGTTAGAACTAGTGTCCTGGGGCTGGGCGTGGTGGTTCACGCAGGTAATCCTAGCACTCTGGGAGGCCGAGGCAGGCGGATTGCTCGAAACCAGCCTGAGCAAGAGCAAGACACCGTCTCTATTATAAATAGAAAGAAATTAATTGGCCAACTAATATATATAGAAAAAATTAGCCGGGCATGGTGGCGCATGCCTGTAGTCCCTGCTACTTGGGAGGCTGAGGCAATAGGATTGCTTGAGCCCAGGAGTCTGAGGTTGCTGTAAGCTAGGCTGACGCCACAGCACTCACTCTAGTCTGGGCAACAAAGCGAGACTCTGTCTCAAAATTAAATAAATAAAATTTAAAAATTTTTTTTAAAAAAGAACTATTGTCCTGTAGCAGAAAACATTAGTAAATTAAGATTTTGTATCTAGTTCTACTATAAAGAATGTGGGCTTCAATAAAATCCTACATTTTTATGACAACTGTCACATAATATTATTTAGGAAGACCCAACCTCTTTCACTCAAAAAACATTAAGCAAATATTTTTTTTAACAAATTATGGGAGCCAGGTACTGTATTAGACAAATAATTGCTAGAAAATTCAGGACAGGTATAATTCATTCAATATTTCTGAAAAAATTCATATGCACTATCTCTGATTTACGGAAACAGAACAAATTAAGACTACCTTCAAATGAACAACTGCGTTAACTAAAACAGCACCTAGATTCATGATCTCTTGTTCATAGTTTTCTATTTATAAATAGCCCATGAGTACATGCTTTAGTAAGATCTGGACAATTTTTAAAAGATGACTACTTAGCAAATTAAACTTTTTTTTTTTTTTTTTTTGCTGGAGTACACTGGCACTCTGCAACCTTGAACCGCCTGGGCTCATGAGATCCTCCTGCTTCAGCCTCCTGAGTAGCTGGGCACACGCTATCATGCCTGGCTAGTTTTTTAAAACTGTTTTTGTAGAGACAGAGTCTCTCTATGTTGCCCAGGCTGGTCTTGAACTGCTGGCCTCAAGCTATCCTCCTGCCTTGGGCTCTCAAAAGTGTTGGGATTACAGAAATAAGCCACTGCACCCAGATAGCAAATCAGATCTTAAAGCTCTATTTACTATCTCTAATCATTAGTTTCTTTGAGCCTTCCAGCCTATATTGCCTAGGACCTGCCTGTGGCTGATAACAAGTATTAGAATTTCAGTTCTGTATTTCTTTTTTTTTTTTTTTTTTGAGACAGAGCCTCGCTTTGTTGCCCAGGCTAGAGTGAGTGCCGTGGCGTCAGCCTAGCTCACAGCAACCTCAATCTCCTGGCTCAAGCAATCCTTCTGCCTCAGCCTCCCGAGTAGCTGGGACTACAGGCATGCGCCACCATGCCCAGCTAATTTTTTATATATATATATTAGTTGGCCAATTAATTTCTTTCTATTTTTATAGTAGAGACAGGGTCTCGCTCTTGTTCAGGCTGGTTTCGAACTCCTGACCTCGAGCAATCCACCCGCCTCGGCCTCCCAGAGAGCTAGGATTACAGGCGTGAGCCACCACGCCTGGCCTCAGTTCTGTATTTCTTAAGAAATATGTTTTCTCATAACACCTATTATCACATTTACTCACGTCCTCACCCTCCTAACCCCTATGCTATTGGCTCTGTAATTCTGAGGAGGAAATCCACAGTTTTGCCTCCAACCTATTTTCCCCATGGTAGGCTGATTTTACTTCCAATATTCAATATCAAAGTAACCAAGTCTTTAAAAAGAATTATATGTACCGATGTAATAATGATAATTCTGCATTTTTCCTGACAATGTGGTGGTAATTTACCTAAATTCACCTAAAACTTTCAATAATTTACCTGAATATTCTTCCATTCCACCCTGGGAACTGGAAAGGGTGAAATATTGGCTAAAATGAAAATATGTAAATTATGTGAATAAATATAAAGGAAATCAAAAGCATGAAATCTTATTCAGCCAGTTCCTTAAAATATTTCTATATACGCAACTCTGGTTAATGAATGAATGATTAGAGCAAAGGTCTGTCACACCTCAATCATCAGGGAGCCCATGCATCAGAACCACGTAAGCCTGGACTTCCTGCCAGTACACACAGTTTGATTATTCTCCACTACAGAGAGGGTCAATCCCTGCATCACACAGTCTAAAAGGTTTCAATGCTTTACATATTCCTGAAATGCAGCCAAGAAGCTTCCCTATATTCTTCTGATTACAAAAGCCATACAAATGATCACTTCAAGAGAGACACTTAAACATGTCTGACAGAATACAAAAGGAGAAAAGGGAAAGGAGGCAGATAAAAAGAAAGCTATGCTTACTCTCTTCAAATAGTCATCAGAAAAGAGGTCTCTGCAAAGATCAATAATCTGAGAATCTTATCAGTATTAAGGGAAGGAAACAAAAATAAAACCACACTTTCCCTTCATAGAAAACCTGGTTCCATGCCCACTTGACACATAAATGAAAGTTTAAGGAATATCAAAGTTGAATGATGTGCTTTACTACTAGCACTGACTTATGTCCTACAAATACTGCAGGAGATTTCATCATGCTAAGCAGAACAGCATGCAATTTAAAACTTATAAATTATTTCTAGAATTTCCCATTTAATATTTTTGGAATCAACTATGGTTGACTGCAGGTAATTGAAACCATGAAACGTAAAACCTCCGATGAGGGGGGACTACTGTAACAGTAACTTCCAAATTTTCTCGGCCATGGATCCCACTTGCCACCTGATAAAATTTTGTGAACTTCTCACTTACTTGCTAACACATACATTTCTACTATCACTTCTTAGCCTCACTTCCATCAGCCCCAATCCTTGTCCTTCCATTATCTCTACTATTAGCCTCTCTCCTGCAGTCCTTAGTTACCTGGGGACTTTTCCCCACTTTTTTTTTTTTATCCTTGTTATTGTTCTTTCTGTTTCCAATACTGAAATACACTATCCCTCATGCTTCTCCTCCTCCTTTACTTTCTACTCTTTGAGTTCCTGGGAAGCATGGCAAAACAGACTTAGGGGAGAGGTAATTAGCTTGGTAGCTAGAAAGGAAGATGAAAAATGATGGAGAAGGAAAAGACTAAATGTAGAAGAATACTGTAAGATCCAGACTGCATTCCTGGCTTTCTTTTCCAGTAAAGATCTACTTCACAGATTCTAGCACTATTCTATTTTCCCTAAAAGACTATCTACTGACTATAGCTACCCATAATTTTCACTACTTTATCTCTATCTTGTATAGTTTTTGTCTTTTAACCACTGTTCTGTACAAAACTGTTAAAAGTTAGAAGTAGAGGGCAGAAGTGCCACAACTTAAATTCTGAGAACTCAAGAGAGCCAAAAACAGGGCCTCTGATACACCCCAATATGTTCTCTCACCTGGCTATGAAGTGACTCTGTATCATCTCCAGGAGCACTGACTGGTTTCTCACCACTCCCCTTCTCAGTTTGAACTGTAGCATCTTGTTTTCCAGAATTCTGATCCACTGTACTGGTCCCCTGTTCACACACATTCTTTACAGTCTGGGTTCCTGCTGAAACGGTTTCTGGGACCCATAAGGAACGCTCCATGGTTTGGATTCCTATATTATTTTGGCTGGGCCTTTCAATCAAGGCCTTACTAGGTTTTTCCTGATTGGTATTCTGTCTTTCTTTATGGCCTTCTAGCACATCTGTCTCCATTGCTTCTCCTTGAGGACTGGATGGCTCCTGTGTAGCCATGTGCTGGGAGGCAGGAGAAGCAGGGTCCTTAACAGGACTAACGGGTTTCATAGGCTGTTGACTCTGCCTAATTCTTTGGTCACCATCCAATTTTTCTTTCTCCTCTTCTTCTTGAGTATTTGGAAAATGGAGCAAGTTCCCCCTGAAAATGAAACATAAAGAAACCATGTGAAGTAAGCAAGAGCGTGTATGTATACATGTGTGCAGGTGGATAGTGGCAAAGGGGAACCATATTTTGACAATTTGAAAAATATAGGGAAAGGAGAAACTTAGGTGGCCAACCATATCACCTTGTGAGGCCTCTCATCATAATTTCACTCCTGTGAAAAAATAATGATAGAAAAATTGCACCATGACAATAGTTATAAAATTTTATCCCATCACTAGCTATGAACTCTGAAACTTGACATAGGAAAATGAAGTAAACAAAAAAAAAATGTAAGCCCATTATTGAAGTCAGACAAATTAAAGACAGCTTAGGGATCCACTTTGAAAAAGATCTATTAGGTCAAGATGTCTCATTTGACTTTATGAATGGTTCTAACATTCTTTAACTGACTCCTAGCATTTTAGATATTGTTTGTCCCCTCCTGACCAATAATTTTAGGAAAAGAAATCCAATTCATAAAGGATAAAGCTGTAGGTAGATTAGAATTTTGCTAGATATACTGACATATCTACAGCTAAACATTTCAGAATGCCTTGGATCCTCAATACAGTTCTCAAGATTTACAGCCCATTTCTTTTCATAAGTGTTCTCACTTTAGTATCAGTGCTTATTTATCCCATAAACATTTGCTGAATGTTTCCTGCAAACCAGGTATCATGATTTCTAAGGTAACTAGGAGCATTCTTAAATGTCCTTAACAATTCTCCAGAATAAAAAGGCCCAAGTCAGCAGGTTACACCGAAACTCAACATTCACATCTTAATTCATCTTTATATTTAAAACACCTAACTGAGGGCTTAATATAAAATTAGTACTTAACACATGTACTTTTAATGAATGTTCTCTGAATCAACTAAGTACAAAATCTACCCGCTGATTAAATAAACATAAACTAATGCATTCTTAGGCTACATTACATGTACAATAGCCAACAGAAAGATAAAAAGAATCCATCTGAAATGAGCATGCTAAGACTACATCTAGAATATCTATTTCAGTTTTGGGTGTGACATTTCACAAGGCATAAAATGAGATATACCCAGAAGATAACAGCAAGGATAAGGGGCCTAGAAACTATGTCATATGTTGCTTTATTTGGCCAGAGAAAGATAGAGCTGGGGCTGTCTCCTATTTGGCAGACATCCTTAGGATCTGAGCTTGCCTAAGCAGAAAGAGTGAAGGAAGAATGGAGAGCTCTCTAGGTCTTGCTCTGCTCTGCTTTGGCTCTTGAAGGAGAAAAGGAGAAGTTTCTGAGGTTTCTATATTGTTTAGCTCAGCTTACCAAAACAGGACATCAAAGAGGGATTTGAAATAAAGTTCAAACCAAGAAGAGCTTAGTATACATTTGGTTATTGTAGTTTGTATCCTATCTCTCAGGAATCTCAACTGAATGAGGATATATGGTCCAATGATGAAGAGATAAGAATACAATCCACTCTGGGAGGCCGAGGCTGGTGGATCACTCAAGGTAAGGAGTTCAAGACCAGCCTGAGCAAGAATGAGACCCTGTCTCTACTAAAAATAGAAAGATATTAGCTGGACAATTAAAAATATATAGAAAAAATTAGCCAAGTATGGTGGCACATGCCTGAGGTCCCAGCTACTAGGGCAGAAGTATTGCCTGAGCCCAGGAGTTTGAGGTTGCTGTGAGCTAGGCTAACGCCACAGCACTGTAGCCCACGCAACAGAGCAAGACTCTGTCTCCAAAAAGAAGAATACAATCACCCAGAGATTCATGAGTAGCACCTACCTCTTTTAAGGTTATAAATGATCATATATGTACTGAGCACAGCTGATGCTCAATCAATATTAGCTGCATAAGACAAAGAAATTAAAGAGACTCAATTCATCTTCAATATGAACTGAATATTCATGTTTGAATCTTTAAGACATCTAACATATCAATGGCTAAGCAACAATGAAAGTGATTTAAAAGCCAGAAGGGGCAGGCCTTGATTAATCATTTCAAGATTCAATTACCATTATTTCCAACCCTAAATAAGCTTTCACATTTTCCCAGAGGTCCCCAACTTATGGTGAGTTGTATAATTATGTCATTATATATTACAATGTAATAACAATAGAAATAAAGCACACAATAAATGTAATGCACTTGAATCATCCTGTAACCATTCCCCCTTCCCTAGCCCATGGAAAAATTGTCTCCCATGAAAACCATCCCTGGTGCCAAAAAGGTTGGGGACCACTGCCTGAGCTGAATGTCTGTGTGTCCCCCTGCTCAAAAAATTTCATAAATTAATGCTAACCCCCAAGGTGATAGTATTAGGAGGTGAAGTCTTTATGAATGAGATTGATGCTCTTGTAAAAGAGACCTCAGAGAGTTCCCTTGCCCCCTTCTGCCATGTGAAGACAGCTATTTATAAACCAGGAAAAGGCCCTCACCAGACACTAAATCTGCCAGTGCTTTGATCTAGAACCTTCCAGCCTCCAGAACTGTGAGAAATAAATTCCTGTTGTTTGTAAATAAGCCACCCAGTTTATAGTAGTTTGTAACAGCAGCCCAAAGAGACTAAGACACTTCAGAAGCTGTTTATTCAATTCTGTTTTATTTTGGACATTTTTTCCCTCAAGAGACAAATATTAGAGGTTGCTTTTTTTTGCCCTCCAAAGAGTTAATCAGAAATCTGGTCTCTCTAAAGACCAAAAAAGGTGTCTCACTGCAACATTAGCAATATTCAGCAGATTCCTATCAAATATCAGAATTTTGATATTTATCATTCTCATGTTAGCACTGATCCATATGATTAATATTAAAATTATAGTCACTTTCCCTCAGGTTCATACAAATATTGTTTTGGTTGACAAGTTTGCTGATTAAGATCAAAATAGAACAACAGGAGAAAAAACAAAGCCTTAAATGGAACATGTAAGTGTTGCCCTACCCCTATCAAGTTTATAAATCCTTAGACATAAGTAAAGCAACCAAGAAAAATCCACCACAAAGATGTAAACTAACATCCCAAGAAGCAATTAAGAAGGAATCTTTAGTACCAGAAAAGAGCTTTGAAAGCAAGGGAAATCCAATAAATTATAAAGAAACGCCATACTTCATCTTCTCCATTAGTTCCACCTACACAATTCTACTCTAGTCACTGTATGCCAGATTTAGAAACTGATGCTAAGAAAGCAAACTTTAGGAGAAAAACCTGGATAAAATTAATCCAAAGTGAAACAGTCAAGAATAAACCTCCATATTTAACGAACTTCTAACTATTCTCTTCTGCACTCTGTCAATGAAGCATTTTAAACAAATATAGCTAGATTCCTAGGTCCTCGTTCTACCAAGGTGAAACGGTATCACCAACATCTTGGCACCTCTGTTTTAAGATACTCTAATATAAAAAGGAAGGCAATAAAATGTCATCAATAAATTTAGTAGTATCTGAGCCATTACACTACTTTTGGAATCACATGAAGTGGCATTTCATCTATCAAGCTTTCAATACAATAGAAAATATGATTTCCTTACCACCAGGGACATTTGAGTCCCAAGAATATCAACAAGTTCACATTTAATAATCAGAATGCCCAGAAAAAAAGCACTGGCATGTTTCTTCTAAATATTTCTATTAATAATGAACATCAAAATTATGCTACCAATACTACTAAGGATATACCTACTGACAAACAAAGCATTATCACATTGTCTAATTACAAAATCAAAGATACCACCTCATAATGAAATTACAAGTTTATTTCCACTGTCATTGCTTATTTACCTATACTAAGAATCATAGATTCTAAACAAGATAGACTTTAATTATTTAAATGGAGTAAAAAACACTTGCAACTCAAATTTTTTCTGCTTCAAAGCTGTTCTAAAAGATTTTGGAGTAAAGAAATTATGGGAAAATCAATTCCATCAAGTCTGAAAAACTTTAAATTTGGGATGTTAAAGCATCTCATATTTTCTCTGTGGGAAACTAAGGGGAAATGAAGTCTGTTAAAAGCAAACATTATGGCCAAGTGAGGTGGCTCACATCTATAATCCTAGCACTTTGGGAGGCTGAGGTGAGAGGATCATTTGAGGCCAAGAGTTCAAGGCCAGCCTGGGCAACATAGAGATACCTCATCTCTACAAAAAAATGTTCTTAAGAAATTAGCCAGGTGTGGTGGCATACACCTATAGTCTCAGCCACTCCAGAGGCTGAAACAGGATGACTGCTTGAGTCCAAGAATTCAAGGCTGCAATGAGCTGTGATAGTGCTCTTGCATTCTGGCTCAGGCAACAGACTGAGACATCATTGCAAAAGAAAAAAAGAAATAAAAACAAACATTATTTATAATACTAAGAAAAAATGATCTGAGCAATATAGAATTATATAAATCATTTTCATAAATGTATAAAGACTAAATCATTTCAAATTGATAGAACAGGCAGATAAAGACAAAAATCTGTATTTAATAAAAATTTCTCATGATATTTCATTTATGAATCTATTCAGAATATGTTCTGATAAAAAAGTAAGCTCAAGCTCATAAAACAGCAGTATGTCTTAGTCTATTTTTTGCTGCTATAACAGAACACCACACAGACTGGGCAATTTATAAAAAAAAGAGAGTTACAGTATTTGGCTCATGGTTCTGGAGGCTGGGATATCCAAGGACATGGCACCAGCATCTGCCCAGTCATCTAGTGAGGGCCTTCTTATTGCATCGTAACATGCTAGAAGGTATCATATGGCAAGGGCACATGCAAGAGGGTAGAAAGAGGGCCAAACTCTCCCCTTTTATAACTAACACACACTCACCATATCAGCCTTAACCCATTCTCGAGGGCAGTGCCCCATGACCTAATTATCTCTCTAAGACCCCACCTCCCAACATTGTTGCATTAGGGATTAAGTTTCCGACACATGAAATTTGGCAGCCACATTCAAACTACAGCATAGTGTGTATTAGATTCTGGTGCCAAACATTTTATGAATCATTGTAGTCCCAAAGATACTATGAAAATAATTCTTACCTGATGGGTGCGGAGGGAGGATCCTCACTTTGAGCCTTATCCTCTTGCTGGGCTTCACAGACACAGCTCAACACAGACATGGTCTTCTGAGGACTAAGATAATATATTAAAGCAATATACTGTGTTAGTTTTGAAAGGAAAAGTACCTCTGGAGATTATCCTTTTACGCATACAGGCAATAAAATTTTTTCTCTGCATCCCAAACTCTAAACCACCTTACACCACAATGTAAATTCTTTATACTTATTTCAAATTGGCATAATTTAAATTTTTCAAGGAAGATTCACTGGAAACAGCATAGATAGTATACTATACTTAATATCATAAAGATGTAATTAGCAAAATCCAGAATGTAGAAAACCATACAACAATCTAGTTCCTTCAACAAATAATCTGCAAAATGGAAAAAAAAAAAAAAAAAAGAGGGGCCTCTAAATTTAAAAAGACATAAGAGCTGGGCGTGGTGGCTCACGCCTGTAATCCTAGCACTCTGGGAGGCCGAGGAGGGTGGATTGCTCAAGGTCAGGAGTTCGAAACCAGCCTCATCTCTATTAAAAATAGAAAGAAATTAATTGATCAACTAAAAATACATATACAAAAAATTAGCCAGGCATGGTAGCCCATGCCTATAGTCCCAGCTATTCGGGAGGCTGAGGCAGTAGGATCGCCTGAACCCAGGAGATTGAGGTTGCTGTGAGCTAGGCTGATGCCACGGCACTCACTCTAGCCTAGGCAACAAAGGTGAGAATCTATCTAAAAAAAAAAACATAAAAAATAAAAAGACATAAAAGACTTATCAAATGCAACATGTAGACCTTATTTAGATCTTGATTCAAACAAACTGAAAAAAAACATTTATGAGGCAATCAGAGAAATCTAAACACTGAATATTTGATGACATTAAGGAACCATTGTTAATTTTCTAAAGTATAATAACAGTAACATGGTTAATTAAAATAACAATCCTTCTTTTAGCTATATTAGGTCATTAAATATGAAATGTCCAACTTTGAATCAAAAGTTTAGTTTATTATATCTCAAGCAAAAACCAGTAAAATTAATCAAAGTATGTGTCTATAGTGTTGACACAGTGCTGTCATCTTAACAGCAGCTTGTCTATGCCAGCAGGGAAAAAGCCTGGAGATCGAGTAGGAATGAAATCATGAAAGGTGTTTTTCATAGCTTGTTGAGAATTGAGTATTTTTTCTTATAAGAAGTGATCCAAAGCCTAGAAGAAGTGGTAGTCAGTTGGTGCAAGGTCTGGTGAATATGGTGGATGACAGTTTCTGAGTCCAGTCTCTATAGTATGAGCAGCATTCATGCAACATGTGGTCAAGCACTGTCTTGTAAGAGGATTGGCCTGCCTCCCAGAGTGCTAGGATTACAGGCGTGAGCCACCAGGCCCGGCCTCTGCTTCAGTTTTTTCCTTATTTTTTCCTCCTTATATTCCACCCAAAGGACTCAGGAAGCTTCAGTACCATATTCTATTCCCTTTTAATGTACAGATGAACCAACTAATAAGAACTTTGCTGGCACATAATTCTGTTAAAAGCAGAGTCCAGATACAAACTCCACCTTTTTTTTGAGACAGAATCTCGCTTTGTTGCCCAGGCTAGAGTGAGTGCCATGGCATCAGCCTAGCTCACAGCAACCTCAAACTCCTGGGCTCAAGCAATCCTGCTGCCTCAGCCTCCCAAGTAGCTGGGACTACAGGCATGTGCCACCATGCCTGGCTAATTTTTTCTATGTATATTAGTTGGCCAATTAATTTCTTTCTATTTATAGTAGAGACAGGGTCTCGCTCTTGCTCAGGCTGGTTTCAAGCTCCTGACCTTGAGCAATCTGCCTACCTTGGCCTCCCAGAGTGCTAGGATTCCAGGCTTGAGTCACTGCACCTGGCTTCAAACTCCACCCTCTCCTCCTTGTAAGACTACATATCATTAAAGGATCATTAAAAGTCTTCAACTCAAAGACTCTGAGGTACTTATCTCTCAGACTAAATATGCAAGAACCCAGGGAGTCACTAATCTCTCTAAGACATAGCTAAGAACAGATCAAAAGATTTTTGAAAGGCATCAGAAACTCACAACTGAGAAGTCAAATTTAGTCCACAGTCCTGTTTTAATTTTAAAAATTTAGATTTCTCTTTAAAAACTAAAAGATTTTATAATAATAAGTTGGCATTTTCAAATGACAACTACAGGCTAGAGTTGAATGGGGTATACCCTTTTACGTGGGGTACACATTCAGTTGGCCATTGTCTTCCACATTCCAACAGTCTTGCACCTAGCCTGTTTTATTTATTTACAGTATCGCCTTAGACTCTGATTTAAGAATCTTTGCCTGTATTTCACCAAGTGCTTCCAGTGTTTTCATGCTGGATGACTCATGTCAGATATAAATGAAACAATTCTATTCTCACAGCCACCACATGGCAAAGCTTAACTACCAAAACCTCAGTATGGGGTCATATTCATCCTCAAAGCATTACAGCATTCATGACAAAGCAAAAATAACAGCTCAACATAGTAATGTGGCAGGCAGAAGAGAAAATGGAGTGAGGCTGTGGCTGAGTACGGGACTGCAGAAGGAAAAAGGTCTATAGCTATCTCTTGTTAAGCCCTTTTTCTCCTTACTAATAGCAACAACAATCTCAGTCTCATCAATAGAAAAAGAAAAAAAGGATACTCTCACATGAACAAGAGGAAAAATCTTTAAATATCTTAGTTCTAAATATAGAAATAGCTTTATTGGACTTAAAAAGTATTAATAAGAAGGCCTATGATCAATATAACACATTGCTAAATCCTTTATGCTGGAGTTTAAGTTTTTTGTCTGCTGATAAATCATCTTCCCTTCATTACCAGTAGCTTTGTTTTAAACTCTAAATAACGACCAACTCTGGTTACCTGGCAACAGCCTCAGCAACAGCAGTAGATCCATTTTTTCTTTCACCAGTTGCAGGCTCTGAATAAAAACAAATCAAGGAAAAAAAGGAAAGAGAAACAGAATTCAGTCAGTATCACACTTAAAAACCTTCACCCTGCTCTATTAGTATTTGTAACAAATAACAAAAAGAAATAGAAATAAGACTAATAAATAAACAAAAAGATTTCTTGTGATTTTTTTTTTTTTTTTGAAACATTGTCTCACTATATTGCCTGGGGTAAAGTGTGGTGGTGTCACCATAGCTCACTGCAACCTCCAACTCCTGGGCTCAAGTGATCCTCCTGCCTCAGCCTCCCCAGTATCTGGGACTTTAGGTGCATGCCACCACACCCAACTAATTATTCTATTTTTTTGTTTGTTTTTAATAGAGACAGGGTCTCACTATGTTGCTAAGACTGTCTTGCACTTGTAGCCTCAAGCAATCGTCCCATGTTGGGCTCCCAAAATATTAGGATTACAGGGGTGAGCCACCATGCCCAGCCTCTTGTAATTTAATAGTACAAGTTTTTCTTACTTCCACCAATCAAACTTCCTATAAAAGACTAATCAGTTTGGTTGGAAATACAACAGAATTAATTACTAAGCAGTAACATTTAAAAATGAAAATTAGACTTCTCTTGAATCCTAAATTCATCTCTTCCCATACAAGTAAAAAAAAAAAAATTATGTAATACAAAATTAAAGATTAAAATCATAAAAATTTAAAAACCAAATTATAAATAAAAACTTTTAATAAAACATGTAGAAAAAGACCTTAGGTTGATGCACAAATTTCAAATAGTGTACAGTTTTAAGAGCACTCACCTAAAGTGCTTTAGGACAGATATTTGAAAAATCAAAACACATGTTTCAAACACCTGTAGCAAAGGTGAAAGAATTAAAGGTAATGCTGAAAAAGAATCCCATATTCTCATAGCAAGGTCACTAATTTCAAGGGATTAAAATTTTAGCCTTAGATAAAATAATCCTTAGATATTTTTTAAACATTTCTAAAATATTTATGAACCAAGGAGGCAGCTAAAATTCAGTAGTTAGCACCCTGGCTGTACAATAGAAACCTGTCTCACACCCTGGCTCCTACTTTACATATATTATATGTAAACTACTCTTTTTGTTCTGAGTCTTAGCTTCCTCATCTCTAAGATATAGATAAAACAGGACCAACTTCATAGGTTTGTTGTGAAGATGAAATGACATAAGTAAAATTGTGAAAACAGTATCTGATACTATGCTCCTAGTATAAGGAAAAGTAGTAATATTTACTAATATGATCATCCATAACACTAAGGTTCATTTAAGGTTTTTCTAATTGTAATTTCAGAATCAAAGGTAAAATAAGATATAAGGCTACCACATACTCTCTCTTGATAAGCCCTTATTTTATTCCATAAAAGATAACACTAAGGATGGAACAATGTAATACTTTAATGTCCACTGAGGTTCTGATATACAAATGAGAATCTTGCACCGAGAAGAATAAGAGCATTAAGTTTTGGCATCAGACTGCCTGAATTTGAACCTAGGCTACTCCATTTAATAGCTGTGTGACTCTAGGGTAGGTGTTCAACCTTCCTGTTTCCTCATCTGTAAAAGGAGAATAATAATAAGATCTACTTCATAGGTTTGTTGTGAAATTTAAGAAGCTGTCCATGTGAAATGCCTGGCATACAGTAAGAGCTCAAAATATATTACCTAAAATTACTGTTACTTGGTCTCAGAGAATGAGAATTTCCTTTATCAAGCCTACTTACTCTATGTGGTCTTTTTTTTTTTTTTTTTTTTTGAGACAGAGTCTCACTTTGTTGCCCAGGCTAGAGTGAGTGCCGTGGCATCAGCCTCGCTCACAGCAACCTCAATCTCTGGGGCTCAGCGATCCTCCTGCCTCAGCCTCCCGAGTAGCTGGGACTACAGGCATGCGCCACCATGCCCGGCTCATTTTTTGTATATATATTTTTAGTTGGTCAATTAATTTATTTCTATTTTTGGTAGAGACGGGGTCTCGCTCTTGCTCAGGCTGGTTTCGAACTCCTGACCTTGAGCAATCCGCCCGCCTCGGCCTCCCAGAGAGCTAGGATTACAGGCGTGAGCCACCGCGCCCGGGCTCTATGTGGTCTTTAAAGGCTTCCCTTCACAACTCTTTCAGGGCCTTGATTCAGTAACTATTTTCCCATTCCCTCATCTTTAATCTATCCTATCTTTTGGATCCTTCCTATAAACTTACTCAGGCCTCCTTCTGCCTAAGAATAAACAAATCCTCCCTCAACCCTTGATTTCCTTCTAATTTGCCATATTTTCTCTTCCTTTCTCACATAAACTTCTCAAAAGTAGAGAGTTTATTTGCTGCCTCTTCATCTTTTCCTCATCCCTCCTCAATTACCTTCGGTATGACTCTTGCTAGAGTCACCAAATGGATCCTAATTGCCAAAGCCAATGTATCTTTTCAGACATATCTTACTAGACCCGCTCCTATGTCTAACATTGTTGACATCTTCTTGTAACTATCCTCTCCACAGGTTTCCATGTCTTTATACTACTCTCCTGGCTCTCTTCCTTTCTGAATGTTCCTTTATAGTCTCTTTTATGAGACTTATTCCTCTTCTAATGCCCTTAAACAGCTTTTACGAGCTACCTAGTAGAAACATTATAAGATTTAGAGTTAGGTCTGACTCAAATTCCAGCTCTTAGCTCTTACCAATTATTGTGACCTTAGGCATATGACTTAAAAACTTCTCTTAGTCTGTCTTATCATCAATAAAATAGGAATATAGATAGCTATTCTGGAGCACTATTATGAAAATGAGATGACATTGTATATCCTCCCCTTTACTTCCATATTCAACTGGCCCCAAGAATCTGTCTGTTCTATTCATCTCTCAAATTCATCTCATCATTTCCATCCCCACTACAAATGACCTAACTTGCTGGTTAAAGACTGGGTAGGGCCAGGTACAGTGGCTCTCACCTATAATCCTAGCACTCTGGGAGGACAAGGTGGGAGGATCTCTTAACCCTTTGCACTCGCTCACTTTTTTCTCATTATCCACTTGACATTATCCACACACGACATCTGAGTGCAAAGGGTTAAGCTCAGGACTTCAAGACCAGCCTGAGCAAGAGTGAGACCCCATCTCTATTAAAAATAGAAAAAATTAGCCGGGCATGGTGGCATGCACCTATAGTCTCAGCTACTCAGGAGGCTGAGGCAGGAGGATCACTTGAGCCCAGGAGTTTGAGGTTGCTGTGAGCTAGGCTAACACCATAGCACTCTAGCCCAGGTGACAGAACAAGACTCTGTCTTAAAAAAAAGAAGAAGAAGGCCGGGCGCTGTGGCTCACGCCTGTAATCCTAGCTCTTGGGAGGCCGAGGCGGGCGGACTGCTCAAGGTCAGGAGTTCGAAACCAGCCTGAGCAAGAGCGAGACCCCGTCTCTACTATAAATAGAAAGAAATTAATTGGCCAACTGATATATATATATACAAAAAATGAGCCGGGCATGGTGGCGCATGCCTGTAGTCCCAGCTACTCGGGAGGCTGAGGCAGGAGGATCGCTGAGCCCCAGAGATTGAGGTTGCTGTGAGCGAGGCTGATGCCACGGCACTCACTCTAGCCTGGGCAACAAAGTGAGACTCTGTCTCAAAAAAAAAGAAGAAAGAAAAGAAAAAAAGAAAAAGACTGGGGAGTTTGCCAGGCAGAATAGGAAATGCAAGGAAAGGAACCATCATGAACAAAGGTTTGAAACACTCAGCTGAATGTTTCAAAATGATCATATCACTCCCATATCACTTCTGACATCAGAATCTGGTCCTCACTTTGCAGTCACTTTGTATCTTCTCTGTATTCTAGCCATATTAACTAGCAATTCATGTGAGAGAGTCAACATAAATCTACAACGTGAATCCACAATCCTAAATTTTCTACCATCTTCTGAACTCTTTCCAAATATGAAAGCTAATTACTTTACATAGACACAGTTTTAATACAGAAATAAAAGCAGTAACATAGAAACTTTAAAATGGAGCATCTACAGAAATATAACAGGGACTAGCCAGAAGAATGAAATCTATGAGAATAAGATTTTACAAATACATTTATAATTTTAAAAGTATCAATCATTATAACTAGAATATAACCAATATTTCCCAGATGATCTGGAGCTACTAATTACCCAAGATTAACATAAAATAAAACTTACTTTCCAGGCTAAACTGCAAAGACTCTTCACTTGCCTCAGTCTCAGGACTAACCAGTTTCATTCTTAGACACAATTTATCATCCATTTCTGGGGCAGCCCCAGAATCCCCCTTTTCACTCCTAAGTATGGGATCGTTGGTCTCCACCATGCTTTCAGACATGACATCGCTGGCTGCTATGGTGCTTTCTGGATAGTTGCTAATACCTAAAAGAAGTGGGGCAGGGAGGAAGAAAGAAAGAACACTAAAATAAAAACATGAAAAATAGCAATTCAAGATCATCAATTTGCCTGCTTGGCTCCACAGCTCTGCAGAATTGAACGGGGTTCCTACAATAGACCCTGTCATAAGTATCAACAACTACGAACTAGTATTGACACCTGGTCTTAAGAGGAGCAACAGGATTCAGTTCCACTTCTGCATCTGGACAAAGGATGCTGCATGAGCCCTCAGCCAACCCACATCTGCCAGCATCAGGCATAGGTAGCAGGAGACTCCAGACGGCATGACTGTTACCTCCCAGCACTGACTAGAGAAAACAAATAGGTTAATGTAGAAGACTACTGGCTGCTTCAGGAAAGGAGAATCTAAGTTTTCTTGTCCTGTCCAGCAGCAGACTGATTAATTAGCCAGGGTACTGAATAAATATTATTTCTATCCTACTTCCTGTTCCTTTCTTATAAAACAGCTTACACCACTTAGCACTCAGATTCTATTGCCTTGCATGTAATATGATAAAATCCTTATATTCTTTTTCTTCCTTCCCTCCACCCTATCTTTACTTCCTCTCATCTCCTGGTAGTAAAATCATGGAATCAGACACCAAGAGCCCTATTCTTCCCAAGACAAAAATCAACTTTATCAGGTAGGCCCAACTCCTCAGATCTAAAGTATCACTTCTGTAAAGAATGATATCTCAAAAATGCTGCCTTAAATATTATTACATTTTATTCACTCACCAATAGGAGTACTGTGTCTCTTGGGCTCCAATTTTAGGTGCCCAATAAGAGGTGGGGTTGCACCAGTCAATGGTGGGATAATATCACCTTCTTTAGGCAAAGTGAAATGAAATGGGGTTTCTGGAAAAAAAAAAAAGAAAGAAAAAAACAAAAACAAAACAATGATAAAAAACAAACCAAAAAAAAGTATAAAATACACAAAAATAATGAGAACTACAAAAAATATTTTAATTACTCTTTTCTTTGCTCCCAAATTCTGTCTCATTCCCACCACCCTCACCAGGCCTCCTGACCAATTCCCTCCTATTATCTCTGATCTCTTCACAGCCAACAACAGAACTGACACAGAGTAGAGAATCAGAGGGCAGGCAAAAGAGAGGAAGCCCCAAGTTTGCAGGACCTGAGGAACATGGGGTCAAAAGGAACATAGGAACATCTGAGCTCCAAGACAGTACATTTGGGGATACCTAACAATACAAAGTTGGGACAGTTTCAAATCTAGACAATGTAATTTTGTGCAATGCTAAATAACTCAAGGAGTTCATTTAGAAGCATTAGCAGTTGTAGGATTTGCCAAAGAAAAGTCTGCTGTTAATATTTATAATTTACAATCTACTCAAAAAGGTGACAAAGGATCTCATGGGCCAAAGGCTTTCAAAATACTCACTGATTCTAACATAGAAATCTAAGGGTTTCATGACTCAGCAGTACTAACCAGCATACACTCTAGGTCAAAAAAGTAACGTTCATACCTAAATCTCTGCACAATAGTACATACCACATATATGAGCACCCCCAGTATACATATTTTGGTTAGTTGTTATTAAATTATCACAAACATAAGCCTAAGTTTCAAATTTTTGCTAATCAGAATTAGCATATTGCCAAAAATACATTTTCTGATTTCTTATAATCTCTTTTAATAAAATGGTACATTTAGGAGAAAGTAAGAATTGTGTCAGAATGCCCCTTAAACCTAATATACGATAATTTGTTCTTACTTTTCTGGGATGGCTCAAAATAACTATAATCTGGCACACTCAATCACTACTACTAGTTTGATTCTTTTTTTTTAAGATCCAGGTCTCACTATGCTGCCCAGGCAGGAGTGGAGTACAATAACTACTCACTGGTGTGAACCCAATACTGATCAGCATGGGAGTTTTGACCTGCTCCATTTCCAATGCAGGCGGGTTCACCCCTCCTTATGCAGCCTGGTGGTCACCTGCTCCTGGGAGGTCACCATACTGATGCTGAACTTGGTACAGACACTGGCATAGCACACCACAGCCCAGACTGTAGGTTCACTCAAGCAATCCTCCTGCCTCAGCCTCCCAAATAGCTCAGACTACAAGTGCATGCCACTGTGCCAGGAATAGTTGGTTTCTTTCATCTTCTATCCCTTATTTTCTTTAATATCAAGCACCCTGATACCTTCTCCCTTCAAAATTACAAATCAACAATGAAAAATCTCTTACATCTACATGTAAGAGAAAATGAATTAGTAATCTGAGGGGATGAAAATAGAAAATGAAATGGTCTTTAGAAATAAACAATGAAAGTACATATGCTTGGCTATGCATGGAAAATCTTAACATTACATTTAATTGGCAAAGACTTCCACCATAGTTACAGAAAGAAGAGAAATGGGTCAGATGGGTAAGCATTCATTCTTTATATGCTCCCTATAAAGCAAGTTCTTAAGCTAATAAAGAACTTAGAAGAGACATAGAAACTGGGAGAAAAAAAAAAAAAACTCACAAAGCCTCATACATTCCAGAGATATATTTTATAGAATTTTCATTCCTGGAATAATCAAGAATGAAAAACCACCTGCACTGCTCTCGACAAGTACCATCCCTCATATTATAAGTGATCATCCAGACTTCTGAAAATATGTATGAAATCTTTAAGCAGATCTTGGAATGTGACATACTATAATATGCAAATGTAATATACAAGCATTAATTAGTGAAAATATTTCCCTGTAACAGGGTTTCCTTAGCACAGTACTATATAAAACTTATGAAAAGTAATTTTAGTACCATTTATCCAATTGTGTTACTATAACCTAATGGAGTATCAAGCCTTTTACAGGCCCTAGAGGTAGCACTGCCACTACCTTCATCTTGTCTTCAATGCCTCATTCCTGGATTATTAGAACAGCCTATCAATTGCTTTCTCTGCCTGAAGTCTCCCTCTCTGCCCAATCCTCATTCTTTTTGCACACTGCAACCAAAGCAGCCTTCCTAGAAAACATGGCTTTGAACATGCTAGCTCCTGGTCAAAAAACGTTAAGGTTTCCACTAGAAGACAAATTCCTAACCCTTTAGTCAGCATTCGATTAACTAGCAGCAGCCTACATTTACAGTCTTTAATTCTTCTTGTTCATAAAGCCTCTATTCACTGTTCTCCAAATACTTTCTCATTTCTCTGTTTTTGTTTATTCATCTGAAAAATACCATTAATCTAATCAAATTATTGCCAAATCCTGCAAAATACATTTATTGGAATATTTTATCCTTTTAAATTTACTGGAATTTTCCACATATTCATTCTTCCTCTTTTTTTTCTTTTAAGATAGCCTCTCACTCTACTTGTCACCCAGGTAGAGTGCAATGGCATCATCATAGCTCACTGCAACCTCAAATTCCTGGGTTTAAAGCAATCCTCCTGCCTCAGCCTCCGAAGTAGCTAGGACTACAAGCACATACCATCATGCCCAGCTAATTTTTCTGTTTTTAGTAGAGACAGGGTCTCGCTCTTGCTCAAACTGGTCTCCAACTCCTGAGCTCAAGCAATCCACTTGCCTTGGCCTTCCAGAGTGCTAGGATTACAGGTGTGAGCCATGTGCCCAGCCTCTACATTTATTTTTTTTTTTCCTTTTAATTCTTTTTTTTTTTTTTTGGCATATTATGGGGGTACAGATTTTAAGGTTTCATTTTTAAATTATCAAGTCTCATCTTATTTTCCCAGATTAACCTGAGCTATCCTGTTGTATGTCACTATACCAATCAATGAAGGAGGATATGAATGAAGAAACAAAAGCAAACTTAATACCAATTGTCAAAACACCTGAGTGGGGAGTTTATCCTTAAGGACTTCACAGAATTCATTAGCCCAAAGTAATATTTAAAACTCTTGGCAGGGCGAGGTGGCTCACGCCTGTAATCCTAGCACGCTGGGAGGCTGAGGCGGGTGGATGCTCGAGATCAGGAGTTCAAAACCAGCCTGAGCAAGAGCAAGACCCCGTCTCTATTATAAATAGAAAGAAATTAATTGGCCAACTAATATATATAGAAAAAATTAGCCAGGCATGGTGGCTCACGCCTGTAGTCCCAGCTACTCGGGAGGCTGAGGCAGAAGGATTGCTTGAGCCCAGGAGTTTGAGGTTGCTGTGAGCTAGGCTGACGCCACGGCACTCACTCTAGCCTAGGCAACAAAGTGAGATTCTGTCTCAAAAAAAAAAAAATCCATCTAATTAAAAATATAAGAATTTCTATTTCAGCTGATACCATGCATAAACAGTCTACCCTGAGAGTCTGCCTCTGATATTAATTACCAATCAGATGACATTCCATCAAGTAAGCCAACAAAGCCCAAAACATCTCTAGCTTTCGTAATCGTTATTAAACTATTACAGACTACCACTTCTGGGTTTAAAGAAAGACTTATTGAACTGTTATGGTTTTCACATAATCAATCCACCATAAATTTATTCTATGTTGAATAAAGTTGGGCTTCCAAGTATCACCTTTCTAAATTTGCTTTTTTCAGGTTTAAGAGGTATCCTTCACAAATGTTTGAAGGTGTCCAAACTATTAATAGTGACAAGCTGTCTAGAGGCATTTAGAGTGATTCTCCCTCTCCTCTTCTCCCCTACTCCCTTCTCCCTACTCCTACTCTCTTTACTCCCAATTTCCACTTTCCTGTATTGTTTAAACATTTTTCACAATTAAACATGTATTCTTTTATTTGAACCAATAAAGCTATTAACAAAAAATACAACAAAAATGCCTGTCTAACGTTAGCATACAGAAATCTAAAGAACTTGGGACTCACCCAATTCATACCTTTCATTCTGTCTTTTCAGACTGAAGAACTATTACTTTTTTGGTTACTCTCATTTAAATTAATCTCTTGAAGTTCAGCAACTAAACAACTATATTTTAAGTATAGAATAATTTTTTTCTGTTCTTTCTGCAATGCTCTTCTGAATGATTTACTTTATTTCGGACTAATCCTCTAAGTTAAAAACTATTATTCTCCCTTCATGTTCTAATTTCCAGTTAAAATTGTTTTAATTTCTTTAACTTCTCCTCATAAATACTATTTTTCCACCTAGTGTCTTCAATTGCTTTTTGTTGTTTGCCCAACAAATAAAATCTTGAAGCAGAAAATCACTTACTAGCATTTTCAATAATCTGGATACCAGAAATACCAGTAAAATTATAAGTTTTACTATCCCAGTGTCAAGGATGAAAAAAAGAGCTCACTCTGACAATTAATAGTGTAAACAAGAATTCCTGAATACTAATAATAAATAATATCTCAATGTTTTAGAAGCTTCTTTTGCATACAAGTTTTAAGATAATTATTTATTTTTATTTTTATTTTTCTGAGACACATTCTGTTGCCCAGGCTAGAGTGCAGTGGCATCATCATAGTTCAAGGCAATCTCAATCTCCTGGGTTCAAGTGATCCTCCTACCCCAGCCTCTTGAGTAGCTGGGACTACAGGTACAAAAAACTATGCCCAGCTAATTTTTTTTATTTTTTGTAGAGACAAGGGTCTTGTTATGTTGCTGAGGCTGGTCTCAAACTCCTGGCCTCAAGCAATCCTCCCGCCTAAGCTTCTAAAGTGCTAAGATTACAGACATAAGCCACTGTGCCCAGCAAAAGGGAAACCGTTAAGGTAATTAAAAAGTGCTCCTAAGTAACTATATTAAAACAATCTACAAGCCCTGCTAGGTCATTAACAGTATTTAAATGTAATGAAATTACAAAAACACTCGATGCTATAGAATTTTAGGTCATTCATATAGTTCTTTACCAAAATCAGAGAAAATATATTATACAGAAGGAAAAAGCACAGACTTGGGGATCAGGAGACTTAGGTTCTAGTCCCACCTCAACCACTAGCCAGATGACTTTAGAAAGAAGAGAGTGAATCCAACAACCCCTAACTTCCTTTTTAGCTCTATCATTTCTTGTTCTGAGGAGGAAGAAACAAATCCTTACTATAAAACCTAATGAAGCCAGGCACGGTGGCTCACACCTGTAATCCTAGCACTTTGGGAGGCTGAGGCGGGCGGATTGCTCAAGGTCAGGAGTTCGAAACCAGCCTGAGCAAGAGCAAGACCCCGTCTCTACTATAAATAGAAAGAAATTAATTGGCCAACTAATATATATATATATAAAAATTAGCCGGGCATGGTGGTGCATGCCTGTAGTCCCAGCTACTTGGGAGGCTGAGGCAGGAGGATCGCTTGAGCCCAGGAGTTTGAGGTTGCTGTGAGCTAGGCTGACGCCACGGCACTCACTCTAGCCTGGGCAACAAGCGAGACTCTGTCTCAAAATAAAAAACAAACAAAAAAAAAACTAATGAATAGGGGCAATTTTGAGAGTTAAAACAAAGTACTAGTGATAATCACACTAGACAGTTGGTATAAACTGGGACTTTTCCAGGTAACCAAAAGGTATGGTCACTCATACTAATAGATATAATGTTGCCCAAATACTGTTTTCTCATTTTCATATCCCTAAAAGCTTATTTTCTGAAGTTTTTATTTTGTTTTAATTTTTTTGGTTTGGGAGTTTGTTTTGTTTTTTATATTATATTAACTCTGGGCATTTGGAAAGGTTGAATTCTTTTCAGCTTATGTCATAAATAAGGCTCTAAAAATATTTTAGAAAGTAATTTATGTTCTTATGCTGAATTTTGTAAAATAAAGAAGAACTAATATGTTTTCCAATTTAAGATTTAAGATATATATAGGTTGAACCAAATTTTAAAACTTGACTTACTGCCCATCAAGAGGAAACAACCAATAACAGCATACTCATCAAGAGAATTCTGAGAGTGACTTTACTACATAGGGTAATCAAAAAAGATCCTTGTATTTCAAGGCAACTGTCAAAAAACATAGAGCAAGGTTGAGATCTAAGTAGAAAAAACCAGACTGGTACAATTTCTAAATGTTTATACTGACTACTCCTGAGTTATAAAGCTGATAAACCTAAGTGATCTATAATCCTACAAATAATTATAGCTATAAAAAAAATACAATCCAAAATCTTAAATTTCTCAATTATCATTGGCTGTTCATAAACATAAAGCAAAGTCAATGTTAAGCTCTGACATAAATATGCCATTCTCTCCTCCCTTCCACTCCAAATCATAATTTGGCTGGAGACACAAAATAATCTACAATTGTACTCACCACTAGAACTTTCACAGAAGCTTTGTGAGGCATGGGTAGAGGCCTTCTCCAGATGCTGAGCCTCTACACTTGGGCCTAGCTGCTTTGCACTAGCCATTTTTGAGTCTTCTGCTAATGAGTTATCTGTTTTCTCTTGAGGCTGGGACTGCTGCATCTCCTGGTCAGGTCTCAGAGGATCATCTGTTCTCATTAAAGGCAAGGGAAGCTGTGGAGGATCTTCCTCTACAGGTTCCTTTTCTGTAGTCACTGATTTCAGATCTCCTTCATATTCTATTCTCTTTTCTTCCTGGGTATCTAATCTATTATCAGCACATGGTTCTATTTCTGGAGCAACATCTTCCCATGACTGGGAATCTGAGCCTTTCTCCACTCCCTCCAAAGGTTCACAAGAAATATCAACTCTGGGAGATGGCTCTTTCACATCTACAATGACAACACTCGAGTCCTCTGAAGTAGCTTCTTCCCAAGCTTCCTGATCTTTATGCTCCAATTCTTGGTCAAGTACTGGTAGCTTTTGGGGGGAATCAATACTAATCACACTGGTTTCAACTTCCATAGCTTCTGGGCATTCTTGTTTTGTGATTTCCTTTTGAAGACACAATCCTTGGGACTGAGTTTCAGTCAGAGAAAGGTGTAATGGAACACTCTCCATATTTTCTTCTTTGGGCTCCTCTCCTTGACTTTCACAAGGAGTCTCAGGGATTTCTTCCACCTCAGATCCCGAAGACCCTTCCTCTGGATGGTGTTCTTTAATTTCCATAGCTTCCTCCTGATCTAATACACTAGAGAGTGCCTCTGACTGAGTAGCTGGAGAAGGAACGGCCTGACTCCCTGAATCACAAGTGAGATCAATACAAACGTCTTCTGCTACAGTTTCTTCTCTTCCTTTGCAACCAGAAGCTAAAATACTAATGTCATCCCTGGTCTCTGTGTCATCTCCCTTTGCTTTGTCATCATTCTGACTCAGTTCTACTTGGCCATCCCGTGCTTCATCAGGATTCATCAGGATACTATCATTTTCAGCAGGAATAAGCTTAGAATTGGGAACTGGAGACATGGGTTCAGTATCCTCAATCTGTGTGTTTTCTCCATCTTCATCAATCCTGTGAGAACTCAAGCTCTCCACCTTTGGGGACTGACTATACTCACTTGCAGAAAGCATCAATTTGCAAGACTCCCCTGTCAAAGATAACCCAAGATCCTCAGTGGAATTCTTTGGTTCAATCTCTGAAGTCTTAGAACACTCAACAGTCAAAGATGAACTATGCAAGTCTCCACCTTTCTTCCCATCATTTGATTGTTCTTCCAAACTTGGCGATGGAATGAAAATATCCTAAGGAAGAATAAAAAGAGAAAAAATTATCATTTCTCCATAATCATATTTCTTTTGTATCTAATCTTTGGATTCATCTAAAATTTCTAAATCAGCTATTCAAGAAGCAAAGAACTCTAGGACCATAATCTCAGAAACACAAAATTCATACTCACCAGTTTTTTCATCAACACAAGTGACTGTGTTTAGGTGTTTTTCTCATGAAATTACTGATCTAGAATAAGCATAATCCAAACAAAAACTTAAAAGTACTAACTTATCCTTTTAAGAGTAGGAAGAAACTTAATTTAACTGTACATCATCAAGCTACTAAAATCATGTCATATATACATAATGGACCCTCAATTACACACGAATCTTTTAGACATATGCCTACAATAGCCCATTTCAGTTCTCACAAAGTGGGCATATGTACTCATTTTACTTTTACTATTTCAAAATATGCTAGCATTCATAAAGCATATATTAAAATTTAAAGCTTACAATATCATTAGTCAACAGAGAAATGAAAATTAAAACCACAATAAAATACCACTACCTATAACAAAACCAACTAAACTTAAAATGACTCACAAAACCAACTGTTGGGCCGGGCATGGTGGCTCACGCCTATAATCCTAGCTTCCTGGGAGGCCAAGGCGGGTGGATCGTTTGAGCTCAAGAGTTGGAAACCAGCCTAAGCAAGAGTAAGACCCCGTCTCTACTATAAATAGAAAGAAATTAATTGGCCAACTAATATATATAGAAAAAAATTAGCCGGGCATGGTGGCGCATGCCTGTAGTCCCAGCTACTCGGGAGGCTGAGACAGCAGGATTGCTTGAGCCCAGGAGATTGAGGTTGCTGTGAGCTAGGCTAACGCCACGGCACTCACTCTAGCCTGGGCAACAAAGTGAGACTCTGCCTTTAAAAAAAAAAAAAAAAAACCAACTGTTGGTGAGGATGTGGAACAACCACAAGTCTCATACGTTGCTGGTAGGAATGCAAATGTACAACCACTTTGAAAAATAGTATGGCAGTATCGTTTAAAGTTAAATATACATTGCCATATGACCTAGAAATTTTACTTGTAGGCATTTACCCAAAAGAAATGAAAACAAATGTTCACTGAAAGGTATGTATATAAATGATTACAGCTGTATTATTCACAAAAACCAAAAACCCAAATGTCTGTCAACTAGTGAATGGATAAGCAAATTGTAGATATACATATTATGGAATGCTACTCAATAATATAAATGGAATAAAATATTAATACATGCAATAATATGAACAAATCTCAAAATATGATAGGTAAAAGAGCACAAACACAAAAGACCATACATACTTTATGATTCTAAGTATGTTAAATTCTTGAAAAACCAAAACTAGAGTGACAGAAAGCAGATGTGTGGTTGAGGGTAGGTGAAGGGAGCATTTTGAGGGGAGGGTGATCAACTACAAAGGGTTATGAGGGAACATTTTAGGGTAAGGGAACTGTTCTATACTTTGATAGTGGTGATGATTACACATTTTTTTATTTTTATTTTTTACGATTACACATTTGTATACGATTACCAAAATTCAAACTATACACTTAAAATGGTAATTTTTTTATGTAACTAACACCTTAATTTAAAAAAATAATAATACAAAGCTTAGATATATTTTTATGTAAAAATTTACTTTATTGTGTTACTTTGCCTATAAATGCTATAAAACTCCAGACATAGCTGGTTAAGACGTTCATTTAATATAATTTTTAAAAGAATGAAGAATCAAGATGGGTAGATAAACATTCTGTATATTCCATAACTGCTGGCATTTCAATGTCTGATATTATTATTTATCTTATCAGATTATAACAAGAGTCATAAATTTGAGCCTATTTATATACTCTCAGACAGTAATAAGTATAAATTGGTTCAACACTTCTAAATAGCAATTTGGCAAAGGACAATAGCCTTGAAATTCTATATACTTCTTTTTTTTTTTTTATTTTTTTTTTTGAGACAGAGTCTCGCTTTGTTGCCCAGGCTAGAGTGAGTAACGTGGCATCAGCCTAGCTCACAGCAACCTCAAACACCTGGGCTCAAGCGATCCTCCTGCCTCAGCCTCCCAAGTAGCTGGGACTACAGGCATGTGCCACCATGCCCGGCTAATTTTTTCTATATATATTAGTTGGCCAATTAGTTTCTTTCTATTTATAGTAGAGACGGGGTCTCGCTCTTGCTCAGGCTGGTTTCGAACTCCTGACCTAGAGCAATCCGCCCGCCTCGGCCTCCCAGAGAGCTAGGATTACAGGCGTGAGCCACCGCGCCCGGCCTCTATATACTTCTTAACCCAGTAATTCCCTTTCTGGGAAATAAAGGAAGCACACAGAGATTTAGCTACAAAACTATTCGCTGCTACATTATTATTTAGAATAGGAAACAATACGAAATAACTTAAATGTCTACTGACAGGAGAACCATTTAAAAATTATGATACATCTATATTATAGAATACTTTATATCTACATAAAGTTATATTATAGAAGAATATTAAAGACAGAAAACATTCAGGCTATGCATTAAATAGAGAATGTTTCTATTTTAGTAAAAAAGTGTGAATATGTACTTTATTGGAGTCTTTTTTATATATTTTATATAATTTTCATGTATTTTTAAAGTTAATAAACATATCAAAAAAGTTGAGATTATTTCAACTTTCAAAAGTTGAGTTATTTCTTATGGGATAATAACTGATGATTATATTTTACTTTACCTGTATATTATTCATCTTCTGAAAAAAATATGTATTTTTTCTCTTGCTGCAAACAGTAAGTCATTTTACAAAGATTCATAGATAAGACATCACTAATAAAACTATAACTTTTTTAAGAATGAAATTCACATAACATAAAATTAACTGGTTTTTTTTGAGACAGAGTCTTACTCTGTTGCCTGGGCTACATTGCTATGGCATCAGCCTAGTTCACGGTAACCTCAAACTCCTGGGCTCAAGCAATCCTTCTGCCTCAGCCTCCCGAGTAGCTGGGACTACAGGCACATGCCACCATGCCCAGCTAATTTTTTCTATATATTTTTAGTTGGCCAATTAATTTATTTCTATTTTTAGTAGAGACAGGGTAGGGTCTTGCTCTTGCTCAAGCTGGTTTTGAACTCCCGACCTTGAGCAATCCTCCTGCCTCGGCCTCCTAGAGTGCTAGGATTACAGGCGTGAGCCACCGCGCCTGGCCTAAATTAACACATTTTAAAATGAACAATTCAGTGGCATTTAGTGCATTCACAATGTTGTGCAACCACCACCTCTATCTAGTTCAAAAACATTTTTATCACCCCAATAAGGAAGCCTCATACCCATTAAGCAATTGCTTCCCATCATAAATACTTTTTAAGCATTATCAAAGTAAATACCAATATGATTTTCTTAACAGAATTTTTACAATGTAAGTAGAATTTCAGTCTAGTCAGAATAGAATTTAAGAAGTTAACCAGCCTATCAACAAGCTACATTTCTAAAGACTGCCTGGATCTAGCCATACTCTGAGTGTCTGGCCTCTAATAATCCACAGTACTGAGACTCCCTGGAGGCCTACTCAGAATAACTGAACTAAGTGAACAAAACTTTCCAAGGCTCTGAATGAAGACTGACAAAGAGCTGTCAGGACTATGCTCAATATGAGTCAACTTCTAAGTCTAGATAGAGTACAAACCTAAATCCATAGTATCCAACCAGTTAAAAACTGACCTCATACATAAGAGTTTGAGGGCCATTCATTTAATCATCTATAACCTAATTTGTCATCCCCAAAATTAACATGTACATCAAGAATGAGAAAAGACCCCAGGTGCAGTGGCTCATGTTTGTAATCCTAGTACTCTGGGAGGCCAATGCAGCATTGCTTGAGCTCAGGAGTTTAAGACCAGTCTAAGCAAGAGCAAGATCCCATCTCTACTAAAAATAGAAAAATTAGCCAGGCATCTTGGTGTGCACATGTAGTCCCAGCTACTCGGGAGGCAGGCAAGAAGATGCTTAAACCCAGGAGTTGCAGTGAGCTATGAGGATGTCACTGCACTCTACTCAGGGTGACAGAGCAAGACTCTATCTCAAAAAGAAAAAAAAAAAGAATGAGAAAAGTGTTAACTATTTTCTACTAATCCTCTTCTTATCCCTCACATCCTGGTAAAGGGCCAAAAAGGCTATGCAATTGACAAGTTTATTAGAAAAGAAAGAAAAAATTCATAAATTCCCTTTGTACCACTTTTCTCTTGATTAGTAATTATCTCTTTACAAATATTTAAATCTTACAACATCAAAATTGGGCTCATTTGGACTCCAGTAACCAAGTACAGAAGAAATAACAGACGTACAAGAGTTAACCATTAAGAATAACCTGTAGAAATTTGATACATTGGCCGGGCGTGGTGGTTCATGCCTATAATCCTAGCACTCTGGGAGGCCAAGGTGGGCAGATTACTAGAGGTCAGGAGTTCAAAACCAGCCTGGGCAAGACACCATCTCTACTAAAAATAGAAAGAAATTAACTGACCAACTAAAAATATATATAGAAAAAAATAAGCCGGGCATGATGGTGCATGCCTGTAGTCTCAGCTACTCGGGAGGCTGAGGCAGTAGGATTGCTTGAGCCCAGGAGATTGAGGTTGCTGTGAGCTAGGCTGATGCCACAGCACTCACTCTAGCTTGGGCAACAAAGTGAGACTCTGTCTCAAAAAAAAAAAAAAAAGAAATTTGATACATAATGAAAAAAGTAGGGAACTTTCAAATAAAAATGGTAGATTGAGTATACACATACTCAGAAAATGAGGTTTTCTGAACCCTGTTAACTGATAATAAAGGGACTTTTTTAAGCACAAATTTTCAAGCAAAGGAGAAAAGAAGAAAATATAACTGTAAAAAAATTCTGGAGGAATGGTAATCTATTTAGCAGACTAATGAAAGCTGATTTCCTAAGGCAGCAGTGGAGAAAGCCAAGAAGCAACCAGAGTTACATCACAGTTCAACTTCCATTATCTTCTCCCACTTGCCTTTCTTCTACCCTGAAGAGAATAAAAAAGAGTGCCCCAGGACTGGAGGACAAGAAGCACAGTTATTAGGAAGTACCACACTGAAAATAAGGAGATTAAATGAATAAAAACCTGCATCTGCCTCCCAATGCTGCCCCCCCCCCAGCCCTCTTCCATTAAGAGACTTCTAGGCCAGGCGCCATGGCTCACACCTATAATCCTAGCACTCTGAAAAGCCGAGGCAGGTAGATTGTTTGAGCTCAGGAGTTCGAGACCAGCCTGAGCAAGAGCGAGATGCTGTCTCTACTAAAACTAGAAAGGAATTAGCTGGACAACTAAAAATATATAGATAAAATTAGCCAGGCATGATGGCACATGCTTGTAGTCCCAGTTACATGGGAGGCTGAGGCAGAAGGATTGCTTGAGCTCAGGAGTTTCAGGTTGGTGTGAGCCAGGCTGAACTCACAGCACTCTAGCCTGGGCAACAGAGTGAGACTCTGTCACAAAAAAAAACAAAACAAAACAAAAAAACACCAGAGAAAACAAAGGGGAAGAAATTAAAATTAAAGACGTAATTACATTTCTCTCAACTGGAACACCTGAGTTTCTAAACTGAGAGGGCCTATCAAATGCCCAATACAAGAAATGAAAATAGACCCATGCCAAAGATCTGGAAATTTCATAACACTAGGGACAAAGATAAGATCCTACAGGATTCTAGTAAGAAAAAAACAGGTCACATATTAAATATCACGATCAGACTGGCTTCACAATTCTCAACAGCAGCACTGGAAGTTGAAAGAAAAAGAGCAATGCCTTCAAAACCTTTAAAAGATCTCACAGCCACTTTAGGTCTAAAAGAAAAAAAGGAAAGGAAAAAAAAAAAACCTTTAAAAGAAAATTATTTCCAATCTAGAATGCTATATTCTGACAACCTACAAATCAATTATGACAGTAAAATAAAGGCTACTAGCCAGTGTCCCCCACCAAAGTGAGGGAGTAAACCAAGTAAGAAGACACGGAGCCCAGGAGGTATCAAACATGGACAAGTAAGGAGAATCTCCAAGGACAACAGTGAAAGGAGGCAATAGTTATGCACCAGGCATAGAGGGCAACAGTACAGATTAGAAATCAGGAGGCTCCAAAAGAGGTTTCTCCAAAAAGTTAAAAAAGAAAATTTAAGGCCCTTGGACATCCTTAAAGGAAATTTTGACTACTGATGGGGAGTCTAGGGTTGATTTAGTGAGATACAAAGAAAACTAAACAAATAAAAAAGACAATTAGCAATTTCAGCAAGAAATTATGCAAACATGGAAAAATAATCATAACATTTGATAGGCTTTGTTGTAAATAGTGTTTACATAGTCTTAACAATGTAAACAAAATAATAATCTAACCAAAATTATGATGTAATGATACTTGGAAGACAGGGAAATGACTAAAAAAAAGGTTTTAAGTAGAATTTATGAAATTTAATCATCCTATATAGAATTATGGAGATAAATACCAAAAGAAAAAACTTAAAGAACTGAAAGTGGCTATCTTTGGGTAGAGGAAAGGAGAGGCCTTTTTTAACTATGTGACTCCTTTTTTTGGCTTTTTTTTTTGGGGGGGGGAGGCCAAACCACGTGGCTTTATTATACACTCGTGGACAAGGTTCTGGGGCCCCAAGAGCGGGGCCCCCGGAAGTCGCCCCTTTTTTTGGCTTTTATAAATACTACTTAAGTCAAATCTTTAGCTTAAAAGTTATGTTGTAAAGGTTCTCTTGAGAGATTTTTTAGGAGGCATGCACTGCACTCACGGGCTGAGGCAGTGGTCCCCAACCTTTTTGGCACCAGGGGCTGGTTTCATGGAAAACAATTTTTCACAGGAGGGAGGTAGAGATTAGGTGGTGATGCGAGGCCATATTTTCCTAATAGGTCACAACCTTACCAGTCTAATGCTGCAGGGCTGGTATCTTAAAATATGATATCAAAGAAACCTGACTGGAATTATCTTAGGTCCCAAGAATCTTTGAACTATGTTCAGAATCATTCCTCTCAAGTTTTTATTACTGGTTTTACAGCTGCCTCTGAAGGGATTTAGTAAATGCTAAAGGTAGAAAAGTTTCAACAGTGCTTTCTTCTTCAAAAACTCAGTTCTTCATGAGCTAGGCATCATTTCCCTCCACTGGGAGGGATACCTTTGCAAAGACATTCAGTCCTATAGAAATCCTATTTGGTCATCTGTAACCATTCCCTTTAATATCAGCACTAGAAAATTCTTCTCAGTGCTCTGTGTGCTTATAGCTCATCCCTAAATCTTGATGACTCTTCTAAATTATATACATTCATATTTTTTTTAAAAGACAGGTCTTGCTATATCACCCAGACTGGTCTCAAACTCTAGGCCTTATTCTTCCCACCCAAGTCTCCTGAGTAGCTGGGATTACAAGGCATCTGCCACCACACCCAGCTATTTTCACATATATATTTGATAGAAAAATAAAAGCTAAAGTTGTATGACGGTTGAACATCCACTTCACCTACAGGCAACCTTGTTTTCAAGAATTGCACTGCCAGCCATAGCTACTCTTACGCAGCAGTTGCCAAGTGCAAAGCATTATTCTACACATTTTATATACATTAACTCATTTGACCTTCACAATGAGGAAGGTAGTATCAATATCACCATTTGATTGATAAGCAAACTGAAGCTCAGTTTCCTTTTTTTCTTTTGAGACAAAGTCTCACTTTGTGGCCCAGGCTAGAGTGCCATAGCATCAGCCTAGCTCACAGAAACCTCAATCGCCTGGGCTCAAGCAATCCTCCTGCCTCAGCCTCCCGAGTAGCTGGGACTACAAGCATGCACCACCATGCCCGGCTAATTTTTTCTATATATTTTTAGTTGGCCAATTAATTTCTTTCTATTTTTTTAGTAGAGATGGGGTCTCGCTCTTGCTCAGGCTGGTTTCAAACTCCTGATCTTGAGTGATCCACCTGCCTTGGCCTCACAGAGTGCTAAGATTACAGGTGTGAGCCACCGCGCCTGGTCTGAAGCTCAGTTTCAATTGGTCACAAAGACTATAATGACAGAGCCAGAAGTGAGTCCAGGAAGTTCTGACTCTAGAGTCCTGATTCTTAACCACTACACCAAATTGTCTCTAATGATTTGCATAAAAAGGAATTCTTCAACAAAACAAATTTTAAAACTCCAAAAAGCAATTAAATTTCTTTACTCCTACTGTCCCCTCTTTATGGCATATTTCATTACTATTCACTTTCAAATTTTACTTTTAAATATAAACCCTTGGCCAGGTATGGTGGCTCACGCCTATAATCCTAGCACTCTGGGAGGCTGAGGCGGGTGGACCGCTCAAGGCCAGGAGTTCGAAATCAGCCTGAGTAAGAGCAAGACCCCATCTCTACTAAAAATAGAAAGAAATTAATTAGCCAACTAAAAATATATAGAAAAATTAGCCAGGCATGGTGGCACATGCCTGTAGTCCCAGTTACTCGGAAGGCTGAGGCAGGAGGATTGCTTGAGCCCAGGAGTTTCAGGTTGGTGTGAGCCAGGCTGAACTCACAGCACTCTAGCCTGGGCAACAGAGACTCTGTCTCAAAAAAAAAAAAAAATTAAATAAATATAAACCCTTGTTACAACACTGCAAACTGAAAGATGTGAAAGAAGTTCTTCCAATAACACTATAACAACTGCCCCATTTAAGGTCTTACAGGAACAGGCAACTAGATTGAACATACAATACAGTCATTTGGATTTAATTAAGAACCTTCAATTCACTATGACACCTGAATTTCATTTTTTTAAACATTTAAATTTAAAATTATATAAATTAGATTAGTTTTCTCTTCCTTTTAGAAGAAAATACACATCAGAAAACTAAAACACATCTTGATACACTCACTATAGGAATTACAATGACAACAGATAAAATCCACTCAGAGAAATAATATACAACTTTTAAAAGGATAATATGAACACAATGTAACACTGAAAATAATTATGACACAATGTTAACTGGAAAAAGATTAAAATTGTATCTCTGCTATAAACAACTTCATTTTTTAAAAACAGAGGCACGTGGAAAGACAAAAATGACAGTACTAGTTGTGTTAAGGTATAATAATGATTTATGTCCCCTTTCAATTTTCAAAAAGTTTAAAGACATAGAAAATCTAAACATAAAAAATATACCAAGATGTTAGGAAACTTTGTAAATGTTCTAGAACTAGATTGTGATGACAATTGTACAACTCTGTAAATTCACTGAAATATCACTAAATTATAAACTTACAATGAGTGAATTTTATGGTTCATAAATTATACCTTAATAAATCTGTTTTTAAAAAATGTTAGGAGAAAAAAAAACCAACTCTTTCTACAATACTTACATGAGAAAACTCAGGCTGGGATGGGATAGGAAGTGAACCAGGAATAAAGACTGGTGTGCTCTGAGATACTGGTGTTGAGGCTTGTGGTGATATAGTGGGCTCAGGTGGGAGAGGGGGCTTCTCTACCTCCACTGGTTCATCATCTTGCAGTTTCTTCTGAAAAGGCTCTCTTCCTTCTTCAGATAACACTGACATGTCCATTGGCTCATCTGGTTTAAAACAAGAAAAACAAATTGAGAAATAATCACATCAATATTACTAATGTTCCAACACTACTAACAACAATTACATTACAGAAATTTCTGCTCTAAAAAAATAGTGGTATAACTTTTAGAAAAGCTGAAATAGTAGACTGGGTCCTAGCAATCTCGCAATATTGGGGGGGGGGTTTCCATGCTGCTATTTTTATATATAGATGAAAATTAAGTTCATCTGGGGATACCCACCCATTCATCAGAATTGTTAAATTAACTTGGCTCTTCTAAGCTCCTTTCCTGATTACAGCTCAATTTTTCACATTTTGTATAAGAATGCCCAGATTAATGGCACCTAATTTAATTATCTCATATTTTGCCACAGGCCTTGAAAGACAATGTACTTGTCACCTCTCTAAGTAAATACAGTATGCACATATTTATAAACTCATTATATTTGCATTAACAACTGCTAACTGCAGAGAGATGAATGCTAGTACAAATACAGAGGAAGAAAGAAAAATCTATCGATGCCAATCAGCACTGATTTATTAAAGAACCATGAAGTAGAAGACACTAATCCTGACACAAATTGCTCAGGAGGAAACATATACATAAAACACTATTTTACCACAGGATATTACCCACCTATAGGCTAACAGGACCCTCCTTGGAGCAAGGCTAGCTAGCTATTTGATTTATCATCCTTTTCCCCCCGTATATATCTTGGAACTTGACCCCAAGGAGGCTTCCTCTAGACCACTCACAGACTGTGTATGACATATAGTTTTTCCCCATAATCCACATTCATGCTACCAGCTACTCATACCCCCATCCTCAATAGCTACCCTTGCTGCTTAGCTTGGTCTCAACCTTACCAGTCTAATGCTAATTGGGGATTTAGGCCTTTAATACACTACCCACAGCTGTGCTAAGTATTTTCACTACATCTTTTGAATCTTCTTGCCATGACAAAGCACATAAAGGACCTGCTGAACAAATAAATACAAAAGCATATATAGTCTCACAAACATTGATGCACATATTAAGCAAATGTATTAAATCTAAAATACAACTGACAAGGGTAAATACAATGTGTTACATGGAAAAAAGGAAACTAAGTCATATACATAATGATGCCTGTTATGTAAAAACCCTTTTTTATATTTATGCATTGAAAACACTGTGAAATATATTGGCTGGGCGTGGTGGCTCACGCCTGTAATCCTAGCACTCTGGGAAGCAGAAATGGGCGGATTGCTCAAGGTCAGGAGTTCAAAACCAACCTGAGTAAGAGCGAGACCCCATCTCTACTATAAATAGAAATTATTGGCCGACTAATATATATAGAAAAAATTAGCCGGGCATGGTGGCACGCGCCCGTAGTCACAGCTACTCGGGAGGCTGAGGCAGTAGGATTGCTTGAGCCCAGGAGTTTGAGGTTGCTGTGAGCTAGGCTGATGCCACAGCACTCACTCTAGCCTGCGTAACAAAGTGAGACCCTGTCTCAAAAAAAAAAAGAAAACACTGTGAAATATATCCAAATATACTAATTGTAACAATATCTGGATTGTGGTATCACAAGAGATTTTTGTTTTCTTTTTATTAATTTCCTATATGCTTTCCAGACTTTCTACAGTGAGTATTGATTATATCTATAATCAGGGAGAATGCATTTTTAATACAATTACTTTTATATTTTTTCAATGTTCACACTACAGATGGAAGAAACTTCTAAGAACTAATCGAACTTAACTTGCATTAACACAGTTTTATGTAGAATGAAATCACCCTTTTTTTTTTTTTACTGAAAACATCACTAATCATGTTATGCTTACAATATTAGTCCATTTGGATACATACAACTGATTTCAAGAGAAAATAGCCAGAGACAAATTTTGTAGAAGAAAAAAATCTAAGATCAAATTCTGACATGGATAAATTATACTTGAAAATCTGTTAAATATATGTCTATAATTACATTACTCAAGATCAAAGAACAGGATATCATAGGAGGCATATACATGACAGACAAAAAAGCACAGGCTCTAGAGGCAGATGTCTGAATTTAAATCCTGCCCCTAAAACCTTATTAGCTATAAAATCTCTCTGCGCCTCCATTTCCTTATCTGTAAGATGAGGATAAAAGTAGCACTTACTTTTTAGGACTGCTGTGAGGATTCAAGGAGAAAAACCACAGAGAAACATCTAGAACTGTTTGGTAAGTGCTTAATAAATAAAAGCTATCATACCATTATTTGTATGTAAAAGAAGGAAAAGGAGAAAATCATGAAATTTATTGGAAAAGGATTTTTAAAAATAATAGGAATTTAGAATTATCTTGAATGATTGGCTAGGAGACCAGGGCAAAGCAAAAGAGGTTAAAATACTAAGATAAATTAGGTGAGTGAAAAGGAAAGCTTTCTTGTGAATAAAGTTAATATAAAAGCACTCAGTTCTCAAAGGAGAAAGTGAATGAAGCTAAAAAGTTTATCCAGGTATGGTGGCTCACGCCTCTAATCCCGGCACTTTGGGAAGCCAAGGTGGAAGGATCACTTGAGGCCAGGAGTTCAAGACCAGCCTGGACAATATAGTGAGACCAATTCTGTATAAAAAATTTTTTTAAAAATTAGTTAGGCATGGTGGTGAGCATCTGTAGTCCTAGCTACTCAGGAGGCAGAGGTAGAAGGATCACTTCAGCCCAGGAGTTCGAGCTGACAAAATTTTTACTACCTGCTCCTATCTATTCTTTGGTTAAATCTATTTTAATAATAGCAAAACTAAGCCAGGCATGGTGGCTCACACCTATAACCCTAGCACTTTGGGAGACCAAGGCAGAACTGCTTGAGGCCAGGAGTTCAAGGCCAGCCTCAACAAAAGCAAGACCCCATTTCTATACAAAATAGAAAAAGTAGCTGGGTGGAATGTCACACACCTATAGTCCCAGCTAATTGGGAGGCTGAGGCAGGAGGATTACTTCAGCCCAGGAGTTAGAGGTTGTAGTGAGCTATGATGATGCCACTGTACTCTAACCCAGGCAACAAAGGGAGACCCTGTCTCAAGATAATAATAACAACAATCATAGCAAAAATAACCTATAAAGACCATAAGAACAATTGCTGATTCCCTCTCACCAGAAACATGTTAGCATGTTGCTGGAAACTACTAGGCCACTAAAAAGCCCAGTTCTTCTCCATACTAATTCATTTGAGTTCAACTTTTAAAAAATTAAAATCCTCCCTTAAGGGCCTTTTTATAAATTGGGCCAATAATACAGAAATCTCAGATGAATTGGAGCTAGAAAAGCAAAGAACTAAAAGCACTTTACACTAGGCCATAGCAATGAAAGTTAAACAGACATGAGTCCTACTGAATAGTATCGGTCACAGTGTTCTAAAGCAGTGGTCCCCAACCTTTTTGGCACCAGGTACTAGTTTCATGGAAGACAATTTTTCCATGGATGGGAGAAGGGGGGTGGTTTCAGGATGATTCAAGCACATTACATTTACTGTGCAGTCAAAATCTCTCTGCTAAAGATAATCTGTATTTGCAGCCACTTCCCAGTGCTAGCATCACCGCCTCAGCTCCACCTCAGATCATCAGGCATTAGATTCTCATACGGAGCATGCAACCTAGACACCTTGCATGTGCAGTTTACAATAGGGCTCATGCTCATGTGAGAATCTAATGCCATTGCTGATCTGACAGGAAGCGAAGCTTATAGGTGATGTGAGTGATGGGGAGCAGCTGTAAATACATATGAAGCTTCTCTTGCCCTCTGCTCACCTCCTGCTGTGTGGCCCAGGTCCTAACAAGCCATTGACCAGTACCAGTCAGCAGCCCAGGGTTTGGGAACCGCAGTTCTAAAGTACAAAGAAACAGTACATTTCCCAAGGCAGAAGAAGTGCTGCTTCTCTTCTAATCTGAGATCAACAGACAGATCAAGAGAGCTCACCTTTTCTCCCTTCTTGCTCTGTGGGACTGCTAGGAACGATAAAAGGGGTAGATCGGAAAGCATCAGGGGAAGGAGCAACAAGATCTGAGGAATTCCTTTATATAAAGAGAGAATCACAGGTTATTTTACTACAGCCACAGTTTTGCATTTCTGTATTTGTTTTTACTTTTTAATAGCAAAAATATCTAAGTCATTCAGTTAAATACTTATTATAATTTCTCCCAAACAGCAACCTGAGGCTGGCAGAAGAACCATGAATACTTCAATAACTACTTCCCACACCAGACATTTCTAAAATAAGAATTTTAAAAACAAAAAGAGCAAAGTGAATGACCAGACACAAGGACACCATGATTGAAAAACAAGATGAGCAAGTGCTAGGAAATAAATTCATTTACAGATTTGAGACATAAAAAAAATTTACTCTATTTTTTGCCTAATAATAGGAAGACCAGGTACACTGTAATTTAAAAACAGAAACAAAAACAAAACAAAAAACAAAAAGCAAATCTCTTTGCCCTAACACAGAGAGAAATTCAACTACTGTCAACTGTAACAACTTATTCTCCACCCTATATTGTTAAATAGAAAGAACTGCTAGTATATAGAGGAGCAGATGTTAGTTTTGGATTTACAACATTTTCTAAATAACTGGGCATTTTCTTTCTTACTGAAACCTTTGGGCTACTATTATAAAACCTCCAAATGAGAAAACAGACTAATCTGCCTTCAACAGTTCTACTTAGTTCTCATCCTAAAATTTCTAAAGCCTAAATTCTACCTTTTAATTTCAAAAAGAATTCTGGACTAGATGGCAATTTTAGCTTTTTCAGCCTTAGTCTAAGACCCTCTCAGGCACATACTGTCTTGGCAAAAGCAATTTCTGGCTTACTTACGTGAAAAGACTCTTACTTACGTGGAAAGACTCTCCTGAACAAGGGACCTCTGACCAGAGAGCTGCAGGAGGTGCAGAGTGGTGGCAGGTGTGGAAGCCAGAGAACACCCACCTTCCTCCCTTGATGGAGTAGAACAACCATCAGAAGCTACTGGGAAAAAAAAAAAAATCCAGTTGCATTTATTTCACAAATCGAAATAATTGAGCTCTCAAAAAACCACTCAGAGGCCTGGCGTGGTAGCTCATGCCTGTAATCTTAGCACTCTGGGAGGCCGAGGCGGGAGAATCACTCAAGGTCAGGAATTCAAAACCAGCCTGAGCAAGAGCGAGACCCGTCTCTATTATAAAAAGAAAGAAATTAATTGGCCAACTAAAATATATATATAGAAAAAATTAGCTGGGCATGGTGGCACATGCCTATAGTTCCAGTTACTCCAGAGACTGAGGCAGGAGGATTGCTTGAGCCCAGGAGTTTGAGGTTGCTGTGAGCTAGGCTGACGCCACAGCACTCCAGCTCAGGCAACAGACTGGGACTCTGTCTCAAAAAAAAAACACTCAGGGCAGAGTGTAGTGGCTAATCCTAGCACTATGGGAGGCTGAGACGGGTGGATTATTTGAGCTCAGGAATTCAAGACCAGCCTGAGCAACAGCAGGACCTCGTTTCTACTAAATAAAAAATAAAAACAAATTAGCTGGACAACTAAAAATATACATACAAAAAAATTTGCCATGATGGCTACAGGCATGGTCGTGCATGCCTGTAGTCCCAGCTACTTGGAAGGCTGAGGCAGCAGGATTGCTTGAGCCCAGGAGGTTTGAGGTTGCTGTGAGCTAGGCTGATGCCACGGCACTCTAGCCCACAACAGAGTGAGACTCAAAACAAAACAAAACAGGTGGGGCGTGGTGGCTCACGCCTGTAATCCTAGCACTCTGGAGGCCGAGGGGGATTGCTCAAGGTCAGGAGTTTGAAACCAGCCTGAATGAACACGACCCCTTCTCTACTAAAAATAGAAAGAAATTAATTGATCAACTAAAAATATATATACAAAAAAATTAGCTGGGCATGGTGGCGCATGCCTGTAGTCCCAGCTACTCAGGAGGCTGAGGCAGTAGGATTGCTTGAGCCTAGGAGATTGAAGTTGCTGTGAGCTAGGCTGATGCCACGACACTCACTCTAGCCTGGGCAACAAAGTGAGACTCTGTCTCAAAAACAAAACAAAACAAAACAGAACAAAAACCACTCAGTATTGCAAAAAGAGTAATATCCATATTTCCAACCATCTTCCAAGAGGGCAGAAGTTATTTTTTAATCGCAGTACAATTAATGGATGCCACAATAATATAAATCTTGAATGAACATTAAACCTTTCCACTCAATGGGTTTCTTGAATAAAAAATTAATGAAAAGAGTTTCTTTCTTTCTTTTTTTTTTTTTGAGACAGAGGCCCACTCTGTTGCCCGAGCTGGAGTGCTGTGGCGTCAGCCTAGCTCACAGCAACCTCAAACTCCTGGGCTCAAGCGATTCTCCTGCCTCAGCCTCCTGAGTAGCTGGGATTACAGGTATGCGCCACCATGCCCGGATCATTTTTTTTATATATTTTTAGTTGGCCAATTAATTTCTTTCTATTTTAGCAGGGACGGGGTCTCGCTCTTGCTCAGGCTGGTCTCGAACTCCTGACCTCGAGCAATCCGCTGCCTTGGCCTCCCAGAGTGCTAGGATTACAGGCATGAACCAACACACCTGGCCTGAAAAGAGTTCCTTAATCCTTTCTGTCATCATCTAAGCTTAGAGAGGAAAAGCCAGAATCCTTTTACCTCTGCTTGTCTGCTCTTTTTTCTTGTGATGCTTCTATTATAAAACAGCAAGTGAACTTTTTATTCCAAAGTCTACCTAAGGTGAAGTAAAGCTCATACTATGATGCAGATGGGAGAAGTCAAAACAATACGCATGATACCTGATGATATGAATGCAGCAATTTTCATTATTAGAACTTCAGCCTCCTCAAAGGAGACAGAAAATACTAATGCATTAGTAAAAGGATATATGAACAACCATTACTGATTTACACTATGAAGAGTTTCTCTCTGTTGGTCCCTCCTCCTAAGCAATAAAATATTTACTATATGAATGCCAAGTATAAAGGAATTTCTTAAATACAATCTTATACCTTTAGTGAGAAACTAAAAAAGGTTTCTTGGTAACCCTTTGAATGTCTTGCACAGTAACCTACATGTGAGCACTATAAAGTAATACAGCCTTCTTCACTTCCTTTCATACAACCAACATGTTATATTTTACGGGTTATTAGTGAAGCTTTCTGGCTGAGGTTGTAAAATAAAAGGTTGGTGGGGGTTTTAAAAGTGTCAAACAAACCCGGTGCGGTGGCTCACGCCAATAATCCTAGCACTCTGGGAGGCCAAGGCAGGTGGATCATTTAAGCTCAGGAGTTCGAGATCAGCCTGAGCAAGAGACTCCATCTCTACTAAAAATAGAAAATTAGCTGGACAACTGAAAAATATATAGAAAAAATTAGCTGGGCATGGTGGCGCATGCCTATAGTCCCAGCTACTCGAGAGGCTGAAGCAGAAGGACTGCTTGAGCCCAGAAGTTTGAGGTTGCTGTGAGCTAGGCTGATGCCACAGCACTCCAGGCCAGGCAACAGAGTGAGACTCTGTCTCAGGAAAAAAAAAAAAAGGGTGAAACAAACACCACTGCAGTCTTTATTTATTTGTGTCCTTTCTGCTAGACCTTCCTGTTTTATGAATAAACAGATAAGTTTATTGTAACTATTACCAGGTGAGTATGAAAAACTTACACTTAATTATCATATTTGAGATTTTTTAAAATAAATTCCTCATTTTTAAAATATGTTTAGATAGCATTCTGATACAGCAAAACTTATGATTTTGTACAAATATTTCTGTCACTGCAAGTTATTTATTCCATTTTATTATGTATTTTATTCTCTTATATATTTTTATTTTGGGGAAACTTGTCTTTATTTTTTTCTTTTGTTTCAATTTTAATAGATTTAGGGGGTATAAGTTGAATTCCATTACATGTATATATTGTAGAGTAGAAGTCTGGGCTTTTGGTGTACCCATCACTCAAATATTGTACATTATACCCCATAGGTAATTTTTCATCCCTCACCCACTTCCAGCCTCCCCGCTGTTGAGTTTCCCACATTTAGATTTGAAGATGCAGTAAGCACATGATAGAAAAAGAAATAGCTACTGTCCATAATAAATTTACTATATTAGCTGTTATTCTTCAATATCTCATTTCCAAAAAAGAAAAAATTATGTTAACTAGTAATCATGCCCAAAAAGCCCTTCTCACTAATTAACCTGAAATATATTTTCCTTCCATATCACAAACAAGTTTGCATACCTATAAAATGCATTCTAACTTAAATAGTAGCCTCAGAACTAAAATCTGGAGAAGAGGAGCTGTAGCACTTAATAACTCTTGGTACCTGTTTTATTGCTCTGGTCAAACAAGTCTTCCTGAGTTGACAAAACCTCAGGCTCTGGTGACCTCTGAATCTGCAGTCCACCTTCCAAACTTTCTTGAGCAGACATTTGTTCTTTTGTTTCTATAGCAGCAGGAGACACTTTCGGACTAGAAAGCATATCTTCTGACCTAGAAAATTCACATCATCAGCAAAGAAAGTTACTAAGTCAAATGATTTCATCCTTTAACTAAAAAGCTTTTCCTGTTTTGTGTTTTTCTTTAATAATTTCAAAAATTCCAGTGGCTCTAATCTACATAATTATCTACTGAAAATAAAATAAGCTATTCTTTATAATGATATAAAACCCCTTTGCCCATTTCAAAGCCTGTCTCACTCTCTCACACAACAATACCTCTCTTCAACTCTGTTCAATGCTGTGCTGCATGCTTTCCAGGATTTCTGATGAGTGATTTTGGGATTTTTGTTACATATGCTGTTCTCTAAATCTCTATGAAGGATTTTGATCCAGACCATGATACTGGTAAGGAGAGCTGAGCAAACAATGACCTTCCTCAGAAAAATGCTTGATGTGAATTATCCTCCATACTAGTGCTACACACATCTTCTGCTGACCTTTTCCATTTGATCTACTCAACCCAAGCCCCAAACCAAGATTGTTTCACACCTATACTATTAACATATGTAAGACATACATTGCTGGCCCCTTTCCAGAGACTTATGAGGTTTATTCTACCACTCCCCAGAGTACATAAAATAGAATAACTACCAGGAAGGCAACATACTAAAGAAAAGCCTAAAAAGTTAGCCACTGTTAAGCTGAGTGTTTTACATTAGAATGAAGTGGCTCACTCTGGGAGGCCAAGGCTGGAGGATCCAGGATAGCTCAAGGTCAAGAGTTCAAAACCAGCCTGAGCAAGAGCCAGACCCTGTCTCTACTAAAAATAGAAAGAAATTAATTGGCATGAAAACCAATTATCAGGAAAAGGAAACAAAAGAAAAGAAAGGATAAAAATATATGTAATAAAAAATAAAAATTAAAAAAAAAGAAATTAATTGGCCAATCAAAAATATATAGAAAAAAATTAACCGGGCATGGTGGCGCGTGCCTGTAGTCCCAGCTACTCGGGAGGCTGAGGCAGAAGGATTGCTTGAGCCCAGGAGTTTGAGGTTGCTGTGAGCTAGGCTGATAACACAGCACTCTATCCCAGGCAACAGAGTGAGACTCTGTCTCAAAAAAACAAAAACACAAAAAAACAAACAAAAAAAACCTCTTGATATTCAACCTTGTGCAGAAGGAAATAACAAAACACTACTTAATGTTTATTCATCCTCTCCCCCAAATTGGAAGCTCTCCAGTTTTCTTTTGCCATATCCAAACTTCAGCTGTTGGCCAGAGGCAATGCTTTGGGTATAATAATCACTGTGGGACAGAGCAGAGGTATATTACCCATTTCCCACCAAGTTAAGAGCCTAAAAGACTTGAAAAAAATCCCTACATCTGTCTGTACCATAATCTACCAGAAGCAGGATACCTGAGGACCCAAAGGAATCCAGGTGCTCCTCAAATATAGAAATAGTACACTTTCAAATATAATATTCATGCAACTCTTCGTAATACCAGAGAGGTTAGGAAGACATCCCTCAGAAAGAGCCTATACAGACAAAGATCACAGAGGAGGACTGGAAGCCAAAGATTAAGGAGTCATGCTCATAGTTATAAGAGCAATAAAACAGCTTTAGAGTATGCCTAAAGATGAGTAGCCAGGCCTGGTGGCATGTGCCTGTGGTCCCAACTACTCAAGAGGCTGAGGCAAGAAGATAACTTTACCCTAGGAGTTCAAATCTGGCCTGGGCAACAAAGCAAGACCCGTTTCTTAAAAAAAAAAAAAAACAGAGGACACAAGACAATCTCATAAATAATCAGTGTCTCTTCTGGACCAGAAATATGCCCACTATATGGAGAAAAAAAATCAACAATTTCTAAAAATGTTTCCACCTGATGAAACAATGTTTGTATAACCCTATAGCAAAAACTCATAAATACCTTAGAGAAACAACATGCTTTACCTTGTAGGTGGTGGATTTTGTTCTTCTACCACATGTACATCTTTACTGGGCTGTGCTGTCACAGGGACATCCGTGCTGGGCTGTTCTGCCATGGGGATATCTTCCTTAGATTGTTCTTCGTGCTTAATTACTTAGAAGAAGACAGGAAGGAGATATTTAATTTTTCAAAGTACTAGAAGCAATTCTAAATGCTTTCTAAAGGGCAAAGATTTTAATAGAAATAAGTTCAATTTAAATATATATACATCATTCATTTGCTGCATGTAAAGGTGTTAAAAAAATAAAATAAAATAAAATAAAATAAATATATATACATCATTCCAAAAAGGAAAATAACCAATAAGCCTCTTACAGAAAACTTCAATTGCAAGCCATCAACAGACAAGTATCTACCAGACAACTTCACAACCATACTATATTACTTAGATTATATTAACTTGGATAACTATAAAACTTATCAAGGAAAATATAACTACCTCTATCATGAGAGGAAAACACTTATAAATAACTCCAAATGTCATAAAACATGTTTCATACCAGTATTAGCATCCACATCAGATAGCCTAGAATAGCCAGAGTTGGTGGTTACTGACTGTAGATGCTCTTTGTCTACTTCATATGTCATAGTATGTTCTTCAACATCCTGACTCTGGGAGAGTTCCAGAACCCCAAAGCCTAACTGTGATGAGGCAGGATCTAGGAACAAAACTTGAAGAAATCAGGAATCATCCCACATTATGCATTGTGCAAGCTGCTATTCCTCAGTACAAGAGGGTCCACATTAAGTCCTTCACATCAAAGCTCTGCCCCTCTAAAGTTTTCAAAATACAAAAAAAAAATAATAATAATAATAATAAAAAAATGTCTGACCTCTGGGCCCCCCCAAAAAAATAATAATAATAATAAAGTTTTCAAAATAAATAAATGCATTAAAAGTGAAGGAGGAAAATGTGTAATGAAGTAAAAAATTGCATACTTATAAAGACTTATAAACACAGCATTTCACATTGTACTTCTACCCCAAAAAGCACACATTCAAAAAATATTTGAAAAATAATAAACAAAAGGAAGAAAACTCAATAAACAGAAAGGGAGCTATCTAATGAGCTACAAATTCCTAAACACTAAATTAACTGGAAAATTTTATCTTACTAGCAAATTTTTTAATGACTCTTAGTTTAGCCATGAGAAATCTATAACCTGATAAACAGGAGAAATTTAGATATCTGCATGCTCATGTTAAAGAAACTCAGAACAATCTATCTACTATTCTGAAAAAGTCACAAGGCTACCTTCAGCACCAAAGGAGTGTGTGGTATTATCTGAAGTATCTTCTTTCTCCTTTTCCTTCTCTTCCAAATCTTCTTCCTTCTCTTCCCCCACAGCAGGAGTAGATTCCACTGACATTCCCAGAATACTATACAGCAGAAAGATATGTTCTCAGATAGGACGGGACACATTGCTCAAAGCACTCTGAATTTTATTGTTACTCCACATACACACCAACCACCTCTTAGCTAAATCTGAAAAGGTAAAAAAGACTTCACCCTTACCGCTCATCTTTCTACAGGAAGCACCTAAGGGTTAATAACTCAAAATATTGTATAAAGTAACACAAAAATTAAACAAAAGGCACAAACATATTGGAACTGTATCTTTCTTGAGCAAGGATAGAAAAATCCTGCATTCAAAAGAATTACTGCTGGGCGCGGTGGCTCATGCCTGTAATCCTAGCACTCTGGGAGGCCGAGGCGGGCGGATTGCTCGAGGTCAGGAGTTCGAAACCAGCCTGAGCAAGAGCAAGACCCTGTCTCTACCATAAATAGAAATAAATTAATTGGCCAACTAATATATATATAGAGAGAGAAAAAATTAGCCGGGCATGGTGGCGCATGCCTGTAGTCCCAGCTACTCGGGAGGCTGAGGCAGGAGGATTGCTTGAGCCCAGGAATTTGAGGTTGCTGTGAGCTAGGCTGACGCCATGGCACTCACTCTAGACTGGGCAACAAAGTGAGACTCTGCCTCAAAAAAAAAAAAAAAAAGAATTACTGACAAGTGATAAGAGATGTACACTGGATGAGCAGGGAAGGGCCTCAAAAAATAGTTGGCCAGGTACAGTGGCTCACGCCTATAACCCTAGCACTCTGGAAGGCCATGGCAAGAGGACCACTTGAGGCCAGGAGTTCAAGATCAGCCTGGGCAACACAGCAAGAACTTGTCTCTGTAAAAAAAATTTAAAAATCAGGCATGGTGGCATACACCTGTAGTCCCAGCTAATTGGGAAGCAGAGGCAGGAGGATCACTAGAGCCCAGGAGTTTGAGGTTGCAGTGAGCTATGATGATGTCACTGCACTCTATCCCAGGCAACAGAGTGAGATCCTGTCTCAAAAAAAAAAAAAAGCCACTTTAAGTTGGACAAAGTTCACAAAAATACTTTAGTAAAAAATCTTAGATACAGGCCGGGCGCGGTGGCTCACGCCTGTAATCCTAGCTCTCTGGGAGGCAGAGCCGGGCGGATCGTTTGAGTTCAGGAGTTCGAAACCAACCTGAGCAAGAGCGAGACCCCGTCTCTACTATAAATAGAAAAATTAATTGGCCAACTAATATATATAGAAAAAATTAGCCGGGCATGGTGGCGAATGCCTGTAGTCCCAGCTACTCGGGAGGCTGAGGCAGGAGGATTGCTTGAGCCCAGGAGTTTGAGGTTGCTGTGAGCTAGGCTGATGCCATGGCACTCACTCTAGCCTGGGCAACAAAGCAAGACTCTGTCTCAAAAAAAAATAAAAAATAAAAAAAAATAAAAAATCTTAGATACATATATAAAACCCGAGTGTCCAACCAAAACTCAGGTAAGAGGCAACAATTTAGAAAAACATATTGGCAACAAATATAACAAAATATTAGTTTCCATAAAATATAAAGAATCCATACAAAGAACCCCAATATATAAATGGACAAATCACAGAACTAAAAAAAAGAAACATACAAATGTTTAGGTTACGTAAAATAAAAAAAAAAAAAAAAAAGAAAGAAACATAAGCATCTTTAAGCATGTAAAAAAAAAAAAATCAGAGAAACCATTTGTTGCCAATTAAATCAGAAAACAAAAATTTTTACATAGTGTACCACTATTCGGTGTTACCCAAACTAAGGTGAGATAAGTATCATACAATGCTTATAAAAATATAAATAAATGGATCCTCTGGAGAACAATTCAGATATACGCATCAAAAGCTTTAAAAAATATTCATAGCCACTAATTCCAAGAAATAATTTTAAATATGGAAAGATCTTTATTTGTAGAAATTTATTTCTCAAAGTTTACTCTTATTAAGAAACAGCCTGTTACAGCAGACCTTTACTAAAAAAAAACAAAAACAAAACAAAAAAAAACAACCTGTAAGTTCAGTATTAGAGAAATGATCAAATAATTTACATAATCTATTAAATGAAAAGTTACGCTACCATATGGGAAATGTGTGTGAACCTATATTGGATCCTGGATACAATCAATCCATCAACCAATAAAACAATATAAAAGATATCTTTGATAGCACTGAGAAAATCTGAATATGAACTGTATGTAATATTAGGGATTATGGAATTATTATTTTCTTAAGTGTGACAATGGTACCATGATAACATACTTATTCTTAGAGAATGAATACTGAAGTATTTAAAGGGAAGTATGACAAGGAACTATGATGTCAGCAACCTAGTTTCAAACAATTCAGCCCCTCAAAAAAATATATAATATATGCATACACACAGACAGGGAACAAATATGTGCTCTTTTATCTCTTCTGTGGGTTTAGACTTTTAAAATAAAAAACAAGAGGAAATGTTAAGAGTTTTAATTGTCATGGGAAAAATGTTCATGTTGTGAATCCAAAAGGTCAGCAAACATACAAACTTTTACATTCCACATTATGTCAACTATGTAAAACAAATGCATTAAAAAAAGAAGGAAAACTGCACAGCCAAGAAAACTATCATTAGAGCAAATAGACCTACAGAATGGGAGAAAATATTTGCTCTCTACACCTCTAATAAAGGTCTGATAACAAGAATCTATCTAGAGCTCAAAAGAATTAACAAGAAAAAAATCAAACAACCCCATCAAGAAATGGGCAATGGAAATGAACAGAAACTTTTCTAAAGAAGACACAATAATGGCCAGCAAATATATAAAAAAAGTTCAACATGGCTAATCATTAGAGAAATGCAAATCAAAACCAGAATGAGATATCACCTAACCCCAGTGAGATAGGCCTGTATCAAAAAAAATCCCAAAACAACAAATGCTGGCAAGGATGTGGAGAGACAGGAATACTCTTACACTGCTGGTGGGACTGCAAATTAGTGCAACCTTTGTGGAAAAGAATTTAGAGATATCTCAAAGAGCTAAAAATAGAAATACTATTCAACCCAGCAATAGCATTATTAGACATCTACCCAAAAGAGCATAAGACATTCTATTATAAAGACATCTGTACCCGAATGTTTATGGAAGCATAATTTACTATTGCAAGGATATGTAAACAACCCAAGTGCCCGTCAATTCATGAGTGGATTATTAAAATTCAGTATATGTTTACAATGGAATATTACTCAATTCTAAGAAACGACAGTGAGCTAGCACTGCTTATATTATCCTGGTTTGAGCTTAAGCCCATTATCCATAGGTGACACAAGATCAGAATAATGGGCTCAACATGTACTCAGCATCAAATTGGTACTGACTGATTAACACTATGGTGCTCAAAGGGTGGTGGTATTCACCAGGGATTCGGGGGTTGGGGGAATAGTCCCACATCTGAGGGATGTGGTGAGCACTGTGGAGGGGAAGGGCATACCTCTAACCCTTGCTAGGGCGAGGCAAAGATATAAAATGTAACCAAAATGTTAAAAAGAAAACAAAAAACATTTATCAGGAGTCAGACAGGTAGGGGGAGGAGGGGATGGGTATTTACATATATGCTGAGTGCCATGTGCATCTGGGGGATGGACACACTTGGGGCTCTGACTCGAGGGGGAGGGGAGGCAAGGGTAATGTACATAACCTTAACGTATGTACCGCCATAATATGCTGAAATTTAAAAAAAATGGGAAAATATACCAAAATGTTGACAACAATTAGCCTCTGGGTGGCAGGATTACAGATGCCATTTTTGCTTCCTTGCAGCTTTCTACACATTAACATTTCATATAAAGAGCATTTAGCATACCTTTAATAAACATAAAAGAGGTAAAAACAAATTTGCAAAATTGGGAACTGTGACTCAAGAAAAAGAAAAAGGACTAAGTAAAGCTTTTTCACAAAAACAAAATAAAGCATCTACATAACTAGGAGGACCAGATACATCCTTGGGAAACACAGGGAAAGAAAGTTCAAGAGCAAATGGACCGGCCGGGCACAGTGGCTCACGCCTGTAATCCTAGCACTCTGGGAGGCCAAGGCGGGTGGATCGCTCAAGGTCAGGAGTTCGAAACCAGCCTCAGCCAGATCCTGTGTCTACTAAAAATAGAAAGAAATTAATTGACCACTAAAACCATATATACAAAAAAAAATTAGCCAAGCATGGTGGTGCATGCCTGTAGTTCCAGCTACTCTGGAGGCTGAGGCAGTAGGATCGCTTGAGCCCAGGAGATTGAGGTTGCTGTGAGCTAGGCTGTCGCCACGGCACTCATCCTAGCCTGGGCAACAAAGTGAGACTCTGTCTTAAAAAAAAAAGAGCAAATGGACCAAAAGTAGAAGAGAAACAATGAAGGACAGCACAAAACTACACACCTTGGATCCTTTCCAGTCTCTTGTGGTGGTTCTTCCTCATGTCCCTGACCTCTAAATACTAGTTGACCCAGTGAGTCTTTGGACCTCTTCTCCAACTATATTCACCCCCTTAGTGATCTTATCCAGACTCATGATTTTGAATACTATACATATGCTTATGAGTTTGCTCATTTTTTTAAAAATAAGAAATAGGTATGATTCTACCACCTAAGCTGGAGTGCAGTAGTCTGATCACAACTCACTGTAGCACAAACTCCTGGTCTCAGGGGATACTCCTGCCCCAGCCTCCCAAGTAGCTAGTACTACACAGGCGCCTGCCACCACGCCCAGCTAATTTTTTTAGTTTATATTTTGTAGAGATAGGGGTCTCACTATGTTACCTAGACTGGTCTCCAACTCCTGGCCTCAAGCAATCCTCCCACCTTGGCCTCCCAGAGTGCTAGGATTACAAGGATGAGCCACCTCACCCAGCATGAGTCTGCAATTTAAATCTCCAGCCTAGACCTTTCTCCTGAGCTCTAGATTTGCTCATCCAACTATCTCCTCAACATGTCCAACTGGCTATTGAAAAGAAAGCACAATTTTAAAATGTCTAAAACTAAAATTCTCCTCCTGTAGTCGTCTCC